TAATCATTAATCAGTTAAACTTACTTTTAATATTATTAAATACAAATATTTTTCTTGTGTATCATACATGATGATTTTTAATTATTTGTATTATAAAAGCCAATAAAACATATTAATAATCATAAATTATCATTTTAAATCAGTTTCAATAATCAGATTATACTTTGAATATATCATTATATAAATTCAGATATATTTTTTCTAATATTTTATTTAAAAATTACAAACAAAACAAGATATTATATATACTAGATATATTCATTATTTATCTGAATTAAAAAAGAATGCTTCATATTTAATGATCATTCTTTTTTTATTCATGAAGATTTAAAATAGTTTTATAAGCATTTCCAAAACATATGCATAATATTTTTTAAAAATAATTATAATTTTTGCCAATCATATTTCTTCAATTGTTTTGATTCAAGATATATTATCTTTTATATTTTATATGAAATTATTTTAACGATTTACATAATGGTTGTTGTATTTTAGAATAACAACAAGTATTTTTTTCATTAATTCTACTTATTTTGGTATATTCTGTTAAAATATAAATCTCTTACTAAATGAATTAAAAGAGTATTGATAAATTATAAAAGATTATTAAATTAGATAAAAAATTATTATATAAAGAAAAAATAAAAAACCATATTTCATAGCAAATATTTCTTAAAATAAAATCTATTATTAGTAATTTAACTTTTCAGTAAATTTTTATTATTGAATATTCAAATGAAAAATTTCAGGTGACTTTACTGAGATATCATAAATACAAGAAGTATTTTTAGTATAAATTAGGTTCGAGATATGATAGTTAATTTTGAAAGATTTCTAAATAGAGCTTAAATTAAAGTTTTAAAAATAGGCTATAGAGAATAATATTGAATATTAATTGATAAGAGTTTAGGTGAATTTAAATAATTAATTGATAAAAAAGGAGAAATTAATAAGTATTAAACAAGATTTTATGATGATTAGACTTAATTATTTTTGAATAAATTGATTTTACAAAATTAAAAAAAAAGAATCAATGAATTTACCAAAAATTTCTTTTTTTGATGATCCAAAATCAAATTTATGGATTAAAGAAGTATTATAAGCATCAGATCCAATAATTAGTGGAACACTGTTAAAAAATTCTAAATTAGGAATTCAAAAAGAAAGCAACTATTTTCTATAGGATGGAAAACTTGCTTGTTAACAGAAATATATAGATCTAGAAAATGCTACTCTGGAGAAAATAAAAAATATAGGATTTAAATTAACAAAGAATCGTAAATCGGTTGAGTTACTTACTCATAATGAACAAGCTTAGGGAATGTGGTATAATTAGCTTAAATAGTCTTGCGTTTAGAGAGGGTTCAATAATGTGTACTCCATAAATAAACTGATTGGGAAAGGAAATTTTGCAAAGGTAAAGCATTATCGAATAAGTAAAGGTGTACAGTGCATCCAAAAAAGGTGATCACTCTATGTATGCTGTAAAGGCCTTCGATAAGCTAAAATTTTAAGATATTAGAATTGACAAGGTAAATTAAATGTATAATTATAGCCTGCTTTGATTAAAGAATTATCAATAATGAGAAAGATGGAATTTGTGGGTGTGATAAAATTACATGAAGTTTTTGAGAATGATAATTACATATTTTTGGTATGTGAATTACTTGAGGGAGGGGAGTTGTTTAATTAAATGAAAGGTAAAGCATATGATGAGAAAACTGTTGCTCATATAATGTTTAGAATTTTGCAATCTATTGATTACATCCATTCAGTTGGGATCTTGCATAGAGACATAAAGGTAACGAAAGTAATTTAAATTTAGCCAGAGAATTTGATACTCAGATCAAAAAGGGAGATGGCTGATGTGGTGATTGCAGATTTTGGATTGGCTGATTTTTATAATGCTGATGGAGATTATATGTTTAAGCGTTGTGGAACTCCTGGTTATGTTGCTCCTGAGTTACTTTAAGATAAAATTTATGATTATAAGATAGATATCTTTAGTGCAGGAGTGCTTATGTTTATCATGTTGACTGGTCAATCTCCATTCAAAGCCAAGTCATATGATGAAATAGTGATGAAAAATTATCATTGTTAGATAGAATTCAGTCTAATTAATAATCAACCTCTAAGTGAAGAAGCTGTTCATCTCTTAACTTCATTACTCGAAAAGAATCCAGATTTAAGAATTAGTTCTGAACTTGCTTTACAACACCCTTGGTTTTAGAAGTAAGCAGATCATAAATTAATCTTGTAAATTTTTATTTAATTTTACAAGAGCGGACGCTTACCCTAGACATAAAAAGAACTCTTAATTATATGCAAAAACACCGTTGATGGGATAAGAATTAAACTAATCTATCACTTCGACTCCACTAAGCGTTACTCCTTAAATGAGGAGTAAATCTAATACAACAGATATACAAAGAGAAGAATAACTTTCGTCTACTTCAAGATAGTAGAGCTAATCATTGAAAATTTAAAAATAAGAATGCATTTTAGAAGAAAATGATTATAATGTTAATGAAGAAGATGACATTCCACATAGTAATCAAATTAAAATGTATCAAATCCAGCCAAAATTGAAAAAAAGTATTTATCTAATCAAATTTATTAGATTAAGAGGAATAATAATTAAAACAAATTGTTGAAACTGCTAATAATAAAGGGTTACTCTAATATAAAGTTTGAATAAATTAAGAGTATTTTGTATTTAAAAATACAAAAATTATTTATAAATTTTTAGTTTTATAAAGAAATCTAGAAAATTCTTCATTTTAACAGCAAAATACACGCAAGAGAATTAATATTTAAAAAAAAAATCATGAAATTCTTCTTATTACTAGCTCTGACTCTTGTCATTATTTCGACAGAACAAATTCCAGAAGTTGATGGAATATTGCAATTAAGTCGTAGAAACTTTTAATAGGCTTTGGATGAGCATCCAAGATTATTGGTCAAATTTTATATTGATACTTGTGGATACTGGTATTGAATATCAATTGATCTTAAGCTAAAAAATGAAGCCTGTATTTATTCAATTGGCTTAAAGATTGAAGGAATATGGATTTGTATTAGGAGAAGTTAATGCTTAAGAAAGTAAATCATTAGCAGCTAAGCATGATGCTAAAGCTTATCCAACATTGAAATTGTTTAGAAATGGAGTATCACATGATTTTCCAAATTCTTCTGATTCTTTAGAAATGTTATTTGAATTTGCTCTATAACATTCTTATGGACCAATAACAAAATTATAGACTTAAGAAGAGGTATATTAATATTTAACATTTGATTAGATTGATTTGTTTTTGAAAAGATCAAATATTGCAGTTCTTAAATATGTAAATGATTAAGCTGATTTATCAAGTGTAAGTTTGGATCATATATAAGTGAGATTTGGAATAGTGGAAAATAGTTAACTATAATAAGGTTATCCTCATAAATATACATTAATAAATAAGGATATTGAGAAGCCAATTCATTATAATGGTGATATAGATGGGTTATCAGAATTCATTTCAACAAAAGGGTATCCACTTGTATTCTCTTTGAATGAAGAGGAATTCATGAAAGTAGAAAGTGATAAGAAACCTTTAATTGGATTTGCAGGATAAAAGAATGGAGTTCTTCATAAAAGATTAAAATATATTGCTGAACAATATGCTAATTCAACTAGATTTGTGATAATAGACCCATAACTCGAATTATGTAACAGAAGATTTGAATATTTGATTAAATAAAGTTAGGTTGCTTAGAATACAATATATTACTATGATTATGAGTATATATATTTATTTATGTTTTAGAACCAAGAAAACAACTACAACAACATTTAATGATGATTCAGTTGGATCATTAAAGAAGGCTATTGATTCTTTAATAGAAGAAGTAACAGCTCCAAAAAGAGAAGCAGAAAGATTAGCAAAATTAATAAAAGGTGATGGTTAAGTACATAAATTGACAAAAGAAAATTTCATAGAATAAGTATTTGAAAATCATAGACATATATTTGTTAAATTCTATGCTCCATGGTGTGGTCATTGTTAATCTTTAGCACCTACTTTTGAGAAATTGGCTTAAGAGTTAAATAGGGATGATATAGTAATTGCTGAAGTAGATCATACAGCAAATCAAATTGATGATATTCCTATTGAAGGATATCCTACTTTATATCTATTTAAATAAGAAGGTGATACTAAAACAAGAAAGGAATATGAGGGAGACAGATCTTTCTAAGGGATGAAAGCTTTCTTAGAAAGAAATTTAGGTAAAGTTGAGAGTGGAGAAAAGAAATAACCTGAATTCAGTGAAATAAAGAATGAAGGCACAGTTATTTCTTTAACAAGTGAAAACTTTGATCATGTTGTTTTGAATAGCAAATAAGATGTATTAGTAAAGTTCTTTGCTCCTTGGTGTGGGCATTGTAAAGCTATGGCAGAATCCTATAAGGAGCTAGCTTAGAATTTGAAAGATAACTAGAATGTACTTATTGCTGAAATGGATTGGACTACTCATTAAACAAGTGCTGTTGAAATAAAAGGATTCCCTACATTAATATTCTTTAAGAAAGGATAAGATAAACCAGAACAAATAAAGTATCAGTCAGCTAGAACAGCTGAAGCCTTAGCTAAGTTTATAGAAGACAACAATAGTTTTGTAAAGAAAGAAGATTTGTGATTAAGTAAATTTGTTATAATTAAAATATACAATTTATATTAATTTTATTCTATATGAAGAAAAGAGTATAAGAATCATATAAAAAACTGATGGATATTGTTATATTTACATAGATACATATTAATTCAATAATCATCACCTCTAGAAAGGACTTCTATACAGCTTGGCTTTAAGAATATAGTATGTTCATATTATGATACATAGGAACCTCTGATATCACAAAGGGGAGGGTATCTATGAAATGATTTATTATTTATACGGGTTAACAATTCCTAAATCACATAGATTTTTCAATCCCAATAAATAATTGGATTAGCCATCTCTATCTAGGAATCTTCTGCAGAATGCCAAAGTATCATAATGATTATCTATGTGAGTTAAGAGTGATTTAGCTTTTGGAACTCTAACAGCTGTAGGTTTTGCATAGAAATCTTTCATATAATGTGAGCATTCCAAATCTTCATTTACATATCCTTTTCCAGTTGATCCAAATGTTTCAATTGCATATAATTCTCCTTCTTTCATTAAAGTATTATCATTTGATTTGACAATTGGAACACTTTTACCCCCATGAATATGATATTTACATATCAAATGTCCATTTAAATTTTTAACTGATTTAACTTTATAAACTTTTCCTCCAATTTCAACTTCATAACTTTCCATAGTTTCTTATATTGCTGCTCCAACATCTCCTAATCTAACATCAATTCCAGAATTTTTGATTCCAGTATCAGTTGCATCTTTAGCTGCTTATAATAAAGTATCATAAACTGGATTAAATGCAACAGTAAATGCACAATCTATAATCCATCCATCTACTTATGTTCCAAAATCTATTTTGCAAACATCATCATATCCTAATATTGTATTATCTCCATTATTTGGTGTATAATGAGCTGCACAGAAATTTAAAGAACAACCTGTTGGAAATGCTATACCTGCATTTAATCCATTTTCCTCTACTAAATATCTATTCATATTTTCCAATTTCTCACATATATCTATCAATCTATATATATATATATATTAATAAATACTTGTTTCCTGGTTTCAACAATTTAGCTTAAGCATATTATCTTACTTATCTATGACATTCAGCTGCCTTTCTCAAAGATTATAATTAATGTTCATGAATCAAGTCCTTTTCTCTCATTTCATCTTTACTAATTCTTGATGACTTTTCACCCAAATATGGAATTTCTTAACCTTTTGGATAAACAGCTTAAGGAAACTATTTGGAAACTGGAATTGTTGGTGGTTGAGTTTGTTTCCATTCCTTCTCTTCCCAATTTCCTAATTTTCTGATACCAGAATTATCGACGAATCTTGAATTAGTCTTTGAATATAATTATAAATATATACAATGGGATCTCCTTCATTATAATCTGGTCCCAATTATTTTTTCTTATCTTCTATTACTTATTGTTATTATTATTGTATTTATTACTATTTTTAGGCTTCTTAATTTTATTATATTAATTAATCTAAAAAGTCATCATCTGAATCAGCATCCTTCTGATTCTTTTTGTTATTACCTTTAGCTTCCTTCTTTTTATTTTTGTTCTTTTATGCTTTTTTACTTTGATCTTATTGTTTAGCTTCCTCTTTGGAAATCATAAATTAATTATTAATAAAAATAATTCATTTATGTGATTAATATAATATTAAATAATAAATCATATCTTATGTACTTACTTTACAGAGTATATCCCTATTAACTATTCATTCATTTTAAGTTTAAGTTTATATATATTATTTTTTAATTAATACATTATTCTTTATTGTAGATTGCTTTTCATATATTATAAAATAAATTCATTTGAAAAATAATATAATTTTATATAATCATTTTTTATAACATTAATACTACATTCATATTATGAAAAACCTTAGTGTCTTTTTTTCAACTGTATCCATTTTAGAGGTTATGTGTTAATTAAGTTTTTTTCTTATGGTTTCTTTTTATATAATTATTCATTGTTATTCTTACTTTTTATATTTAATATTATAATTAATAGGATTTAAAAACTAAAATAAAATCAAGATTAGATCTATATATGATTAATACTAGCATATTAATAGAATAAATTAACAAAAAATATAAATTCAATATTATATTTATAGATATAATTTTGTTTTAAGTTAAAATAGAAAGTATTTAATTTCTTAATTCTTTTATTGACAAATTGAATATTAACAATCACTTAATTAAAAATTTATCAATTATTTACTTTTAATCAAATAATCTGATGTATTGAATATTCACTAATTTATAACTCATTTATGTTTTAGACTATAACTAAGAAACACTTTTAATATACTCAAACTAGTAGTTCTCTATCCTTTATAAATAAATCATTTTACTTTTTAAGAATAGATTTTTCATACTATGAAGATTTTTTAAAGCTACTATCAAATCAAATAAATGAAAGTCTTGAATTTTTTAAAGATTATTATCTTTAGATGATTACATAGTTAAAAAATATTAGACCTAAATCTCATCAGAAATCATTTCAATCACATATCTCATATTTCTATAAATATTTCAAGTAATCATATATCATTTATCATCAAATCAATAATGTAAGTTCAGGAATTACTAAAAAGAATCAAATTAAAAGTAGAGATTGCAGGAACTAATTGTAAGAAATGCAGATCTGCTTCTTTATATGTTATGTTAAGAATTTAAATTTAGACTTATTATCATATAAGTTATTTATATCTAATGCATAAGTCATATAATATTGACATTTCACTTCCAAAATCATTTACCATCTAATAAATATTCATACAATTATGATTATGGTGTCTATTCACAATTTGAATATGCACAGTCAATCAAATTATAAGAATTTTCATTCTTTTTCAAACAGGCTAACAAATTTATTAATATTTTGAATTACATAGAACATTAGAAAATGGTTTACTTTTGCTACCTTATTTAGGTGGCTTATCAACTTTGGGTCTGCATTTATTCAATTATAATTAACAAGCCATGTCATCGTAACATAATTTCAATTATTCTGGACATTTCTCTCTTATACATTGTTGTGTCTGTTCATTAAAATGGATTCTTTTGCTCAATAAAATTGTCATGATTGACAATAAAATTGCAATTTAAATTAGTTTCATATTTTTTAAATATTGAATAAAAAGACAATAGTATAATATCAGGCCTATCATTGTAATATTTTGCAATCATGGTTCATGCATATAAAGTATTCATCATTATTAATTAAATATATTGATTATTTTTAATATAATGTCTTTAATCAATTTGTGATTATATGGGACCATTAATTTTTTTCATATTGTCAACTCAGTAATTATTTCAATTAATGTTATTACTTATCACAAACCTGAGTTATTATTGTATCTTTAATACTATTTCATATATTATAAAACTAAGTTAACCGGTTCTTAAGAATCTTATTTACTTTTCACAATTTATTTTGTAATTAATTGATTATATAAGGGAAATAAGTTTAAATAAATTACAACTTTACCTTTAAATCAATTATTGAAACATATATTTGATAAAAAGATATGGGTTTACTCATTTTTTTTAAATAAATAATAAAGAATAATGACTTATTAATTATTAATATTTGCTTACCTTAGATTTATTTAAATGTGCATAAAATAATACTCTAAATAAGAATGGAATATAAGCAAGTAAATAAATATGAATTATATTTATATATATTTATAACGAGAAAAAATTTTCTATAAATTAAAAAAGACTTTCAATTATTTAAAAGATATATTTGGAATTGTTAATCATAATGTATCTTTATTATTGATAATTTTCTAATCTAAAAATATTCTTTAGACAATAAATTAAAGTAAATTATACTATATTTTCTATATTTTCTAAAGTATTTCTCTCAGCTATTCCATTAATTCCTTCTCATAATAATTATTTTTGGGATTCTAAGTTTATAAGGTGTCAGATAAAGTTCAAATAATGAGAAAAGTTTACATATTTGTTAAAGTTTGACTACTAAGATGTTGCCTCTTTTATGGAATTTATTTTCAGTAATATTTCAATATTTAATGTTAATTGATAATATATTATGATTAGAATTTCAACATTAGACTGTTTTACAATATATATTACGATTAATTTGAGATCTTAGTTTTTTATTTTCTTTATGCAATATATTTAACTCTTAGATTATAGATTTAAGATCTTTTTTTTAGACAGGTTAGGGTCTAGGAGTTTGAGATAGATATGGACTAGGCTTTCTAATATAAGTGAATTTATTGTTTTATTTAGCTAATTTTTGTAGTAGAAATTTATCTTTGGTAAATCTAGAAATATCTAAATACCTATTGATTTAAGCATTTGACCATAGATCACATATATTCATTGTTCCTTTAGGATACAATATAATATGAAACCTGTTCTTTATAAATTTGTGCCTTTTTAAAATTGCTTTATATATATATTTTCTTATCTTTCTTCTGTTTTGAATGCAAATTTGAGATAAGTTAATTCATTTTCTTTCAAAAGTTCATTAAAATCCATCAATTTTTTACTTCTTTCTTATTCTATTGAATGAAGTAAAGCTGCTCTGAAACGAGGACTATCTTATTTCATAATATGTAAAATAATTTATATTTATTTAATGACCCAGATGAGAGAGAGATAATAAATTTTTTGAAAAAATTAAAAAAAATCAAAATCTTTTTGCATGACTCAAGGAAAGAATAAGAAATTAGGAAAGAAGAAGGGATAAAAGAAAACAATTGACCCATTAGCTAGAAAGGAATGGTTTGAATTAACAGCACCTGTACCCTTCAGTGCTGGTGGATTTGGCTATACATGCATTAATAAATCTGCAGGAACAGGTATTTGATTATAAATAAAGTTTTAAGTTGTGGCTACCGAAGCAATTAAAGGAAGAGTGGTTGAAGCATCTTTAGCTGACCTTTAAGGATAATCAGATTAGATGGCATGGAGAAAAGTGAAATTGATTATAGATGATGTTGAAGGTACAAGATGTAGAACATCCTTCTATGGTCTTGATTCAACAAAGGATAAGATCTTCGGTATGATTAAAAAGCGATAAACTTTGATTGAAGTATTTTAGTTTATCATTCTTTTAGACTTAAGTTGAAGCCAGATCTCAAGATGGATATATCCTCAGAATCTTTGTTATTGCATTTACTAAGTCAATTAAAAATCAATAAAGAAAAACAACATATGCTTAAAGAAGTCAAATCAAAGACATCAGAAAGAAGATTGTCGAAATTGTCCTTAAGGAAGTCTCTAAAAAATCAATTACCTAATTGCTTAACTTCTTCAATCAAGAGACTCTTGCCAAAGAAATTGGAAAAGCTACCAGAGCTATTTTCCCATTGTAAAACATTACATTGAGAAAAGTCAAATTAGTCAAGAGACCCAAGGTTGATGGTATATATGTTAAATTAATTAACTCTAGCTTAAAAATTGAGAGAATTTTATGATGATTCTTAAAGATCAAAGACATCTTAAGTTAGAAGAAAAGGATAAGCTGAAGATTAAACTGCTCTTAATCTTATTAAATAAGGAGAAATTGACAAAGAATAAGCATAAGTCTAATAAGAATGATATATTACAGTATAAACAATAGTACATATATAATATTAACAAATTATTTATTATTATATTTAATATCTTCAATCTGATAATATTTCAAATATAAAGATTTTTTTTATTTTAATTTGAGGAAATAAGATGTCTTAATAAGCTCAAAAGGGTGGTAAAGGAGCATAACCTAAAACAGATGCTAAATAATAACCTGCAGCTTAAACAAAAGTTGCTAAACCATAAGAAACTAAAGAAAATGTGATGAGAAAAATTAGAATTGAAAAATTAATGGTTCATATTTGTGCTGGTGAATCAGGAGATAAATTGACTAAGGCTGCTAAAGTCTTAGAAGACCTTACAGGATAAAAGCCTGTATTTGGTAAAGCAAGATATACAGTGAGATCATTTGGTATCAGAAGAAATGAAAAGATCTCTGTCTTTTGCACAATCAGAGGTGATTAAGCAAGAGATATTCTTGTTAGAGGTTTAAGAGTTAAAGAAATGGAATTAAAGAAGAGAAACTTTTCTGATTCAGGAAACTTTGGATTTGGTATTCAAGAACATATTGATTTGGGATTAAAATATGATCCATATACAGGTATTCTATTAATATAATATCAATAGGTATCTTCGGTATGGATTTCTATGTAGTCTTATCTAGACCAGGACTTAGAGTTGCTCAAAGAAAATCAAGAAATTCTAGATTAGGCACATAATAAAGAGTAACTAAAAAAGAAGCAGTTGAATGGTTCAAATAAACCTTTGAAGGAAATGTCTATTGATACAATACAATATTACATTAAATACATATAAAATGCTTTATATTTATCTATTATATTATTATATCCACTATATATTTCTTTTCTATATTTTATTTAGTCTATTCTCTACATCTATTAAAATTGTTAACATCAAAATATTACTTTAATGTATTCTTTAATTAATTATTATATAATGTCATTGTTCTCTAAATTTACATCCATTTTTGGTTCAAATCAAACTACTTAGGCATCAAGCACTCCTATAAATCAATAATTATAAGAGATATTGACATAAATAATTACTTCAAATGGAAAATTAGATATGAAGCAAAAGGGTGAAGTTTTAGCATAATATTTATTAGATAGAGATGGTAAATTATAATAAATTTACATATAGAGCATATTGAGTTTCTATTTTAGTTTTTAGAAACTAAATCTAAAGATCTTTAAGGTGTTCAAGTAGTAAACTTATTAGCAGCTATACATTAACAATTTTAATATAATGAATTAATTTAGGATGTGGCAATAAAATTAAGAGAAACAAAAATGTCTTGGGTCTAATTGGAGAAATAAGAATGGTATTCTACATAAACAGAACCTGATTAATAAAAATATTAGCAAAATTAAAAGATTTTGACTGAATATGAGGATAAGGCATAACCAGCTCGAATTTATGCTTAATTGTGTTATGTTTATTTATAAAAATTGGCAGCCAACGTTGATCTTTATAGAGCAGTATTGAAATTTACGTATCCTTATGTTACAGATAAAGAATATATTGAAGCAAAACTGATATTTTTATGGCATTACAAAATATAAAATCTAATAAATTCAGGATCTATATTGATACAATTTAATCCAAATTTAATAGAAATATAATTAGCATTATATTTAGATGTGTGGAGATTTCAAAAGTTTATTTGTACTGAAATTGAAAAAATCATAGATTAATATGCTACTTTACCAAATAGTGATACTTTAAGTCTTTATGAGATTTATTGTGAAAGTATAAAACATTATGAACATTTGAATCAATTTCATCAATTTACTTAAACTATAACAAAACCTCCTCCTTAATGTTAAATCAATAATACACTTCTTTAAGAATTCTTTGCATTTGTAACAAAATTAAAAGTTTTAAATTAATTCAATTTCAAAAAGTCTATAAAAGTTCCTAATAAATAGGATCCTATAATGGGTATTCCAACTAAAAATCCAAATGTATTATTTAATTTCATATATTTATAGGTTATAAATATTAGGAGATCAAGTTAACAATTAGATGATTCATAAAGTAATGAATCAGAATAAGAAGATGATTTTACAAACAATAAAAAATTTAGATCTGATCATAATAGAGTGTAAAGTACATTTTAATATGTGTAAAAATGATTTATGTATTTTGTTATTGATGATTTTGATTTAATTAACTTAAAGAATTATAAATATATATATATATATATTATTATATATATATATATTTAGTGAAAAGTTTGAGAATAGAATAATTATCTATACTTTAAGAACTTTGATAAGCTAGACTATTTAGTATCAATAAATTAAGATAGAATATATTCAAAATAGTTTACTATATTTGATTGGGCAAATTCTGCTTAATTTGAATTTAATAACCGGGAATATATTGGCGGCTGAATAATATATTAAATTTTATGGAAATCACTAATTGTTAACATCCAAATCATGATTCTCAACGCATCAAATATGTTTGTGTTGATCCTTAATGCTCTATTCCCAAAAAAATAGGTATTGCATTTTGAGATTTTAGGTTGTGCTGATTGTTTTCTTGATGATCACATTACTCATATTAGAAAAACAACTACTTAATTCAAAGATTTTGTAAATGAATCCATTTAACAAATCAATTAAGTTGAATTTCAATAAGCTTCTAATTCACCTCAAAAGGATTTAGAAAAGTAAATTGATACAGAATTAGACAGCTGTATGGATTGTATAAAATAAAAATTCAATTCAATTAAAGGGGATCTCAAAGGATAAATTGATAGTGATATGATTAAAATATCAGATAATTGCACTTAATATCAATAAAATATGAATAATGAACTTGAACCTTTTAAAACAACTATTAGAAATGATTTACATATTTTAAATTAAACTGAACTCAATTCATTAGTTAAATTTTATTAAGAAGCACCTAAAATACATAAACATTATAGTAAAGCAGCAGAATAAATATAAGAAGAAAAATAAAAGATTAAATAAAAAAAATAAAAATACTTAGCAAAAATGCGAAGTATTATGCAAATATTACTAAAGGATTTTAATGAATTAATGACATCTAAAAATGTATAATTTGATGATTGTTTTGATTATGAAACACCTCAAAAATAAATTATGTCACCAAATAAAATGATTAATTTAGTAGAAACAGCACGTTCTTCAAGAAGATTCCCTATGTCATAAACATAAAAAAAATATTTCTTAGCTGCTGTAACCAAAAAGTTGGAATGATCTAGTTTATTTATTTATATATAATTAAAATCATTTATTTTAGGCTTTTTTATAGTCTTCTTTACATCCTTAAATAATCTTTTTAAAATCACTCAGATACAAAGATATTATTTTTAATTTCTACATTGCTTATTAACTTTTAACTTCATAATTGTCTTCTTCTTCTTCTTCTTTTTCATCTTTATTTTATTATTTCTTATTATCTTCTTTCTTTACTTTTTTATCATCTTTTTTATTATTTTCCTATTTTGTTTCTTCCAATTCATGTTTTATCTTCTATGTTCCTTCTTAACATCTATTAAATAAATTATCTATAGCCATTAGGATTCTTCCTAAACTTAAATTCTTAGATGATGCTTCATTTGCAGATGCCTCTACTAATTATTATAATTAATTTCTCTCTGCTATCTTTTCTTCCAATTTCTTTTGGAGTTCTTTAATATCATTATTCAATTATAATATTTCATGATTTTTATCCTTCTCATATTAAGTTGATTCATATTTTAATTTTTCATATTCTTTTTCCATTGCTTAATGTTCTTCTACTAATTTAGAATTCTAACTAGACAATGTACTATGTCTCTCTAATATAGATGCCATATCATGATATTATTCTGGATATTGTTTTGCAACACTATCTAAATATTCTTCATATTTTTTCATTGAAGTAACTGTCTTGATATTAATCTATACATACCCTTCTTCTCTAATTTTTATTATTTCTTTTCTAATTCTTACAATTATCCATTCAAATCTTAAATTTCTTTTTCTTTCTATATTTTTTATCTTCTTTCTTCCTCTAATCTACCTTCAGCTCTCTTCTTTTTTGCTTCATTATCTTATAAAAATTTGCAAAATTTAATTAAAGACTCTTAAATTTCCATATCCTTTTATCTAATCTTTTCTTCCTCTTATTTAAATTTATCTTCCTATCTAATATTTATTTATTCATTTACTTTTTGAATTCCTCTCTTTATGCTTCAAATGCTTCATGCACTTCATACATTTTTCTTCTCTTTTCTAGTAATTTAGTAGCTGGACTTACAGTATCATATTATAAATGATTAGGTAATTTTCTTTTCTCTTATTTATTCATTAATAATATATATATATATTTAATATCATTTTATTTTTTATTCTTTCGATTTACCTAATTCTCCTTTACAATTATCTATTATCTTTTTGAAATCTGACATAAATTATACTATTTATTTCAATTTCCAAGCAGCTTATTAACCTAAAATAAAAATTATTATTAACTTTTTAATTCATAATTATCTTCATCATTAAATTATAAGTCTTAATTTTATATTTTATTATTTGTAATTTTATCCTTCACTTTCTCTTTATTTTGTTTATCCTACTTATACTCTTCAAAATCTTATTTCATTCTCTAAGTTCCTTCCTAACAACGTGTAAATAGATTATCAACAGCCATCAATATTCTACCCAAACTTAAATTTTTAGATGAAGCATCATTAGTTGTTGCTTCATAAACACTTTAAATTTGATTTCTTTCAGATGCCTTTTCTTCCAATTTCTTTTATAAATCCTTAATATCATTATTTAATTAAAGAATTTCATGATTCTTCTCCTTCTCATATTATGTTGATTCATATTTAAGTTTCTCAAATTCCTTCTCCATATTCTAATGTTCTTCAACTAACTTTGAATTAGAATTTGTTAATGTTGCATATCTATCCAAAATTGATTATAAATCATGATATTATTCTGGATATTACTTTATGATACTATCCAAATAATCTTCATACTTCTTTAAAGATGTAACTTAAGATATAAGAATTAAACTAGTTTACCTTTCTTTTCCAATCTCTATTGATGTCTTTATAAATCAGTCCATTATGCGGTTAAATCTTATATTTCCTTCTCTTTTTATTCTTTATATGATTTCTCTTCTTAAAACCTAACTAATGCTCTCTTTTTCTTTGCCTCATTTTCCTATAAGAAATTACAAAACTTTATCAATTCTTCTTATATCTATTTGTCTTTCTCTCTTATTTATTCCTCTTATTTCTTGAATTCCTCTTCCTGTCTTAGAAAGTTTCAAGTAATATATATACTTTTTATATTCGTCTTATTGATGTTCATATGCTTCATGTATCTCATACATCTTTCTTCTCTTTTCTAATAATTTAGTTGCTGGAGAGGCTGCATCAAATTATTTGACTGTAGAAGACTTTTTGATAACTTTTTTTTACATAAATTATTAAAAATGAATTTCTTTCGTCCTCCTCTAACTTCTTTTATTAAAACTCTTGCTGATCCATAATTGGAATCAGAACAATTTATGATTGGTAATGAATCTATTACAAGCAAAAAGGATGTTATTAGATAGTTACAAGAGTAAATCCTATATTTTAAGGAGGCTCATAATTTTACATAGTCAGAAATAGAAGTGATAAAATAATTTGAATTACTCATAGAAAGCAAATATAAGAGAAGAGCCAATGACATTCAGTCTCATAGTCAACTTACAAATTTAACAAGGAAAAAGAAGTCAGAATTGTTTAGAATGAAGCGTGTAAAGAAAAGAGCTAAGATCAAGGTATATGCTAAGAAAATTAATGCAGCAAGAAATAGATTTCGAATATTGGGTTAATTCATATCAAATGAAGAGATTCAAATAATAGAGGAAACATTTGGTTCATATGTTTTCAGTGACAATCATAATTTCAGTCTTAANATTTAAGTTTCTCAAATTCCTTCTCCATATTCTAATGTTCTTCAACTAACTTTGAATTAGAATTTGTTAATGTTGCATATCTATCCAAAATTGATTATAAATCATGATATTATTCTGGATATTACTTTATGATACTATCCAAATAATCTTCATACTTCTTTAAAGATGTAACTTAAGATATAAGAATTAAACTAGTTTACCTTTCTTTTCCAATCTCTATTGATGTCTTTATAAATCAGTCCATTATGCGGTTAAATCTTATATTTCCTTCTCTTTTTATTCTTTATATGATTTCTCTTCTTAAAACCTAACTAATGCTCTCTTTTTCTTTGCCTCATTTTCCTATAAGAAATTACAAAACTTTATCAATTCTTCTTATATCTATTTGTCTTTCTCTCTTATTTATTCCTCTTATTTCTTGAATTCCTCTTCCTGTCTTAGAAAGTTTCAAGTAATATATATACTTTTTATATTCGTCTTATTGATGTTCATATGCTTCATGTATCTCATACATCTTTCTTCTCTTTTCTAATAATTTAGTTGCTGGAGAGGCTGCATCAAATTATTTGACTGTAGAAGACTTTTTGATAACTTTTTTTTACATAAATTATTAAAAATGAATTTCTTGCGTCCTCCCCTAACTTCTTTTATTAAAACTCTTGCTGATCCATAATTGGAATCAGAACAATTTATGATTGGTAATGAATCTATTACAAGCAAAAAGGATGTTATTAGATAGTTACAAGAGTAAATCCTATATTTTAAGGAGGCTCATAATTTTACATAGTCAGAAATAGAAGTGATAAAATAATTTGAATTACTCATAGAAAGCAAATATAAGAGAAGAGCCAATGACATTCAGTCTCATAGTCAACTTACAAATTTAACAAGGAAAAAGAAGTCAGAATTGTTTAGAATGAAGCGTGTAAAGAAAAGAGCTAAGATCAAGGTATATGCTAAGAAACTTAATGCAGCAAGAAATAGATTTCGTATATTGGGTTAATTCATATCAAATGAAGAGATTCAAATAATAGATGAAACTTTTGGATCACATGTCTTTAGCGACAATCACAATTTCAATCTTAAAATTGGAAGAGCATTGAAAAATAAATTTGGATATGAATATTATGATAAATCTTAAGTGATAAAGGAGATTAAAAGTATAAAGAGATAACAAGACCAGATTTTGAGTCGTATATAGGGAAATAAATAAATATTTTGCATAAAAACTAAATAATTAAAATAATGAATGAATTACTTAATTATGCTCTTGCAAAATGTTTCCAAGAAAATATCTTAAATGTTGTAAAAGTGAAGACAAGAGTACATAAGCCCTTGCTCACTTCTGGTTCCTAAGTTATAGATTTACCATAAAGAAATTAATCAAATTTTATGTCAAAAAAGTCTCATCCTTCATGCGATTTTTAATTAGAAACGGAACTTGAATATTCTCATTGTAAAATTAGATAGAGATCTATAAATGATGTCTAATTACCTCACATTTAGTTAGATGCTATAAACAGAAACTTCTTTGATAATTAAAATATTAACGATTCAGATTGTCCAACAACTAAGAGATATGATAGATTTAGATCATTTTCTACAAAAGCAAATAAGAATCATAAAAAAGGTTACTTAGGTCTAGATATTAACAATTAACAAATAACTTTAATTTATAAGAAATTACTGATAAAATTAAATTCAGAATTTACAAAATTCTAAGTATATATTATTTTTAATATGTATATTAGTTAACATTGTATTTAACCTAATATATTGGATGTTTGGATTATGTTAGTAAATTATTAAATTTATTAAACTTTCCATCTAAAATAACATTACCATCTTTTAAATAATTGATTTATTAGATTTAAGAAATGCAATAAATTGGTATAAATAATGTAATATAGAGATTCTATAATTTATATTTTAAACATTTGATCTTGATTGCAAAGGATTCATTTCATCATCTGATTTATTTAAAATGTTTACATCAAATGGAGCAATTTAAAAAGATGTAGATTTTATTTATAAAAATGTTCCTATTGAAAATGAAAGAGAGAAAAAACTTTAAAAGATTTATTTATGTGAATTTAAAGAAAAACCAAGACCAATGTTAATAACAATGATGAAGAACTCCCCTAGAAATAAATATAAAATTAAATAATTTTAAGGGAATATTATTAATTTTGAAATGTTTTGCAAAATATACAATAAAGAAATACCTGAATTTTTTAAGGAATTTATTAGTATAATGTTTTATAATTATATTTGATAATTTATTTTAAAATTTAATAGAATTATGTATGTCAATGAAGAAGATGATAATTGGTACTCAATTGATGATGCCCATCCTTTAAATCAAGATTAATGGTGTTATTCAATTGTTTTTAACAAAGAAGGCAACATTATAATTAGTTGTTCAGGAAAATTCATTAAAGTTTGGAAATTTCAAGGAGGAAATATGACCTATCAAAAAAAGAAATATATAATAAAGGCTCATAAAAAAGATATTAATACATTAAGTTATAGTAAATAATAAAATATGTTTGTCTCTGGAAGTGATGATAATACAATAAAAATATGGACATTAAATGCAAATAATACATTTTAATAATCATAAGAGATTATAACATAATCTTGGCCTTTATCTTCTTTGTTGAAACAAGATGATTCATAATTATTTGCTGGATTATGGAATGGTAATTTATTAATATTTAATAAAAATGGAAATGAATATAAATTATAAAAAGAAATTTAATCTCATAAAAGTTAGATTTATAGCATAAGTTTAAATGATTCTTAAGATACACTTTTAACATTAGGCTGGGATAAGTAAATTAAAATTTATTTACCAGATGGAAATATTTGGTAAGAAACTTCAAATGTTAAACTTGATAAAAATGGATTTAGAGCTAGTTTCATTAGTGATGACTAGATTATTTATTAACCTTTAGAATCAGGAAGTACATAATTTTTTTAATTTAATAAAAATAAAAAGATGATATACAATTAAAATATAGATCTGAATATTGGAGTTGCTAAAGAAGATAAAGCTTTCTTTCCAATATAATGGAATAAATAAAAAGGATTATTCACTATCAAATTAGAAAAGAAATTATATGTTATTAAGAAAGAAAATGATAATAAATTTTAAATTGTTAAAACTTTTGACTTTTCAGATGAAAGAACATTTGGTGCTGTTACTCCAAACTTTGATTATGTTATTGTTTGGAATAAGAAGGTTAAAGGATATGAAAAAAAAGCAATATGAATCATTTATTATTAATGTTATAATTTAATTATGATTATTTTATTACTAATAATAATTATAACAAATAGAAAATATTTATTAAATTAATTTATAGAAAAATATCTAATTAGATTAATTTGGAGATCGAAAAATTAATGATAATTATCCATCTGCCATAAAAATAATATTAGAATAGTGTAAGGATCCTAAGAATTTACCTATCGAATATTGCAGACAATAATGAAAATGGTATGATGATAAAAATTACAGATTTGTAAAAGCATTCTTATCTTTAAAAAGAATTGTGTATATTTTTGATCTAATTTTATTAAAATAGATGTATCCATACAGGGATTTAGTGATATGTGTTGAGGTTTGTGTATAACAAAATGCTTTTAAAGGAAATTAAAATGGTTTCATCTTTCATTGAATTGATGAGAAATAAGATATATCTATTATAAATATAAAGATTAAATTAAGCCATTATTTAAATTCAATATTATGTTTAATTCAATAGATCATTTATTGAAATACTCTCTAATTACAATAATCTTGTTATTGTTTTATATAAGAAGTGTAACAATACTTAGATTCCTATATGAACAATTTAGTATAGTAAGATTATAGTGTAAGATCTAAGTTAAATTAATTTGATCAATTCTTTCATTTTTATTTCATACTAAAATTTACTTTAAGAATTATTAAATTCAAAAAAAATAAACATAAGTTAGTTGATTCATTAGTAATCTAAATAATATAATCTTAATAATTAATTAGTTGAGAAGAATCTTGAAATTTTCATATCATTTGGTCTTAAAATAAAGAAATACCAAAAATATTTTATCTGAGTCAATATAATCAGTGTATTTGATTGTCTTACTATATATACCTTATATAATTTAATATTATTTATAGTAGACTACTCCTATTGAAATTTAACTATTTATATTATTTTTTAAAATCAAAGAACTTTTATTAGATATTAGGTCATTAAGATGTTTCAATAATTTCTAAATTATAACTTAATGTTCATTGTCACTGATATTTTGATTCTTCTTAAAGATGCTATTATAATTAAATCAGTATATATAATATATTGTTATAAAATTGAATTTTATGAATTATTCAAGTGGATGATTATTAAAAATAATACTATATATTTGAATTAATAGTTAATAAATTAGTTTATTATCTATATGAAATTTTTATAATTAATCATTTCTACTTCTACTTTTTTTATTATTTAACATTGTTTTTTTTAATTTTTGTTCTATTATTGTATTTTATTTTCATTTAATTATTATATCCTTAAGAACATTACTTATTATCTGCATTAATAGGTTTTTCTTTAATTAAATACTCATTCTCTAAGTTTTCTTCATAATCATCTAATTAAGTTTTAAATTCCTCTTCTTCAAAATTTTAGACATCAAAATTATCTTTATTCTCAGTTTACTAATTGTCTAATAAATTATTAAAAGTTTGGTCATTTGTATCATAATATTCATATAGACTTATTATTTCTTCTTAACAATCTTCAGGTATGTCGTGGTCTTAAATTAAATATTATAAATCCATTTATGATGATAGATAAAGTTCATTAAGATCATTTTCATCATATTCATACACTATTTCTTCATAATATTCCAATATTTCTATTAATTGTTAATAGAGTTACCTTCAAACCAATGCTCTTGATTATCTATAATTTTCTTAATTTGATATTAATTGTTTTTCACTTATAATTAGATTTTCTTATTATGATTGCTCAGATCTCTAACATAAATGTATATAAATACTTGAAATTATTGATGATTCAATTAAAGATATTATGATCACTAGCAAAAAATAATTCAATTTCATAAAAACGTATTTTTAATATTAACATCATTTATAAAATTAAATCATTAAGTAAAATTTAATCAATCATTAAATTTATTATCTATCTTTTTTATATGATATTTATCACTAAAAATAACAATCTTATCCATTAAAATTGTTAAATACTAAATAACATATTGAAATACTAAATATATAATTAACTAATTTTTAATTTATTAAGAATTTTAATGTGATATTGTTATTAAAATATGAATTAAATACATAATAGATTAAAAATAATCTTATTATTGTTTATAGTGAGTGATTTCTTTTATTAAATTGAAAATCTATTAAAATAAATAGAGAATTTGAAGTGATTCAGAATTGCTTTAATAATATATAATATGAATAATTAAAAAATAGTATAAGTTCAATATATTATAAATGAATACATTTATGTAGGATATTTAAGGAATAATAAAGTGAACTTTTTCACTAAGTGAAGTAAATATCAAGATATTTTTAAATTAAAATTAAAATTTCATGAGTCGTCCTTCAGCTTCAACTTCAAGTAGTAATAGAAGTTCAAGATCTAGATATGGAAAAGAAGTCAAAGAATTACAAGATGCCTTGAATTAAAACAAAATAGAGTCTAAAAGAGATGCCATCAGAAAAGTACTTTGAATTATAATTCATAGATTATTGATGCTATGACAAGAGGCAAAGATGTTAGTATGTTATTTCCAGATGTGGCAAAGAATATGGAAACATCAAATTTAGAATTAAAAAAGTTAGTGTACTTGTACATAATCAATTATGCCAAAATTATGCCTGATCTTGCTGTTATGGCTGTCAATAGTTTTCGTAAGGATGCAAGAGATAAGACAAATCCATTTCTTAGAGCTTTAGCTATCAGAACAATGGGATGTATCAGAGTAAAATTGATTACAGAATATTTATTGGATCCATTAAAAGAATCCATCAAAGTAATTTATATATATATATATTATAAGGATGAAGATTCCTATGTAAGAAAGACAGCAGCTATTTGCATTTCTAAATTATATGATGTGTCACCTGAACTAATTGAAGAATAGGGTTTATTAAAACTTCTTGAGAATTTGTTGAATGATGGAAATGCAATGGTTGTTGCAAATGCTGTTTGTGCATTATTGATTGTATAAGAATCAAAAGGAACAACTATGTTATAATTGAATCCTTATACAATTTAAAAAATATTGACAGCTATGAATGAATGCAATGAATGGGGTGTTATATATTGTTTAGATGCATTGGCTATGTATATTCCTGAAGATGGAAAAGAAGCAGAAGCGTAATTTATAATTTATATTTTAAGAATATTAGAAAGAGTTAGTCCTAGATTAAATCACAATAATCCTGGAGTAGTATTATCAGCATGTAAAATTATGATGAAATTTTTGGATTATCTTTAAAATCCAGAAACAATAAGATAAAATGCTCTTAAAATGACTGCACCATTGATTTCACTTTTAAGTTTAGGTAAAGAACCAGAAATTTAATATGTTGCATTAAAAAATATTAATTTGATTATTCAAAAGAGACCAATCATCATTGAAAAAGATATTAAAGTATTCTTTTGTAATTTTAATGATCCAATATATATCAAATTATAAAAATTAGAAGTCTTATCAAAATTAGCTAATAATGATAATATTCAATAGATTTTACATGAATTAAAAGAATATACTTAAGAAGTAGATGTAGAATTTGTAAGAAAATCAGTTAGAACAATTGGAAGATGTGCTATCAAATTAGAAAAAGCAGCAGAAAAGTGTGTTACAGCTCTTTGGGAATGTTTAAAAACTAAAGTTAATTATGTTGTTATGGAAAGCATAATTGTTATTAGAGATATATTTAGAAAGTATCCTAGAAAATATGAAATGATTCTTAAAGATTTATGTGAGAATCTTAAGAGTCTTGAAGATCCAGAAGCAAAAGCTTCTATGATTTGGATTATTGGAGAATATGTTGATACTATTGAAAATGCTGATTCTCTTTTAGCCAATTTTAGTGAAAAGTATTTCTGTTATTTATTATAAGTTTTAAAGATGAACCTGCAAATGTATAACATTAAATTTTAGTTGCTGTTATGAAATTATTTTTATAAAGACCTAATGATGGAAAAGAATTAATTCATAATCTATTAAAAACAGCTACTATTGAATGTGAAAATCCAGATCTTAGAGATAGAGCATATATATATTGGAGAATGTTATCTACTGATCCAGAATTAGCTAAAAAAATAGTTTTTACAGAAAGACCAACTATTTCTGATTCCAGTTATACAATTGAAAATGAACTATTAGATAAATTAATAGAAAATATTGGAAATTTAAGTTCTGTTTATACTAAAAAACCTGAAAGTTTTGTTAAAAAATTAAGAGATGTATTAAATTCTAAAATTGCTGATAAAATTGATGATGTTTATGATTAAGATTAATTAATGGAAGGAAGACCTGAAGATTATAGTGATTAATAGGGAGGATAATCAACTGTTTATGAAAATAATTATGATACATCATCATAGATTTAATCTTAAATTTAATAATCATAAATATAATAAGTTTCTTAAAAAATTGATTTATTAGAATTAGATGATAATTAACCATAATAATAATAATAATAATAATAATAATAATAATAATAATAATAACCATAAATATAAACATAAATACCTACTTAATCTATTTAAAATATTAGAATACCATTTGCTGAAGTATTAACTGCTATTACTCCAGGTTCATAAACATAAATTTAAGGATTATCAATTGAAGCTGCATTCCAAAAAAATGGTGATAAAATTGTACTTGATCTTAAATTTACAAATAAAACATAAGATAAAACATTCTCAGAATTTGGAATCAAATTTAATAAAAATCCATTTAAATTATAACCTGATACTATTGAAATATCTTGTCAACCAGTATTTCCAGGTTAAACATAAATTGCTTAATTATCCATAAATACAAATGGTCCTGCCTTAGAAGAACCTCCATAAATGCCATATAAAATTTAAGTTGCTTTAAAGACTAATTTAGATGTATTCTATTTCTTTATTCCAATGTCTTTAAGTGTTTTATTTGTAATATAATTACTTATAATTTTAGAGTAGCACTGCAAGTATTACTTAATAAAAATTCATTGAATTGAGTCAAGCATAAAATCTAGCAAGAAAACAAGAAGTTCTTTAGATTACAATTGATCCATAGAGAGTACTATATTCAAATTATAATGTTAGATGAAAGAAAAATTTGAACGCAATTACTTTTTCTTAATTGGAGCTAGAAAGGATGAAAGAGGTGTTGAATTACTATCCTATGCAGCTACATTAGTTAATGGAATGCCATTATTAGTGAATGTAATCCATACATAAACTGCAATCAATTTACAACTATAGGTTCCTCATCCAACATTAATGCCATTATTATATTAAGCAATAGGATTTATTTTAACATTAAATTGATATATAACATAAAATATAATAAAGTTTATTTAAGAGTATTATAATTTATCTTTTAAATTTATTAATTATTTTTTTCATTATCCTTATTTTTAAAAACTATAATATATCATTTAAAAATCTGAAATTTTGAATTATTTCATTCAAGATAAATAATAAATTTTAGATATTCAATATTTAAATGATAAATAATAATTAAAAAAAAAAAGATCAAATATATTGTTGTTAGATGTTAAATTTGGCCATAAATTTTCTAAATTAAAATTGGTTAATATAATTATTTAATGATATTAGCAAATTTTAATTAAAAAGAAATACTCAAATGAAATTATGAAAAATAAATTCTTAAAAATAATAGATTTTTTTTTAATTTGATTAATTTTTTTCCATATTTCATATATTTAATTTGATAAACAAATATGATAATGATTTAATAGAAAATCGTTTATCAATTTGATTAATTGCAAAAAGAACACCATTATATTAATTTATATATAATTAATTTCTTTTATAAATAAAATAGATAAAAAATGCCTTACTCATATAATTATTTATTTTTTAATTATTACATTTATAAATCTTTGAATTTAACTTATAATATTGAACTTATAGCCAAACAATTAAGCTATCTAGATTATATTGTCATCTTAAAATATTAAAGGAATGATTTTAAGAATTATCCCTTTCTTCTTATTCAATAATTAAATTTGTCAGATTATTTTCAAACTGAATAAATAAAATGGAATTAAAATCTAATTTCAGTGGCAAATCATCTTTAGAAGTAAATAAATCTAGGACTGAAAAATTACTAACTGAAATCAAATTAATTTGCTTCTAAGTCACATAGCTTTTATTAAAGAATGAAGAATCATCAATAGTGTTAAGCAATTTAGCCATAATTGTGTAGTTTTTTTAGGTGACATATATCCTATTTAATCGTCAAATATGGCCAGTTTGGATGACTTATGATGTCTCACGTTAAATAAATAAAATTTTAGGGTAATACTATTATATTAAAGAAGATATTCATTATTAGTTCCCTATTTTGAAATGGTTTCCTTTATTGGACTAATTTCAATTATGTATACTTGTTTAGGATTAGTTTTATTTGGTTACATGTTAGTAATTTTGCTTAATTATAGATTATAATTAAACTTTTCATGGATAACAGAAATTTTGAGAGCATTTATTAAGCTCTTTTTATCAATTTTATATATGCCCATAATGGATTTATTTTTTTCAATCTTTGCTTGTACTAAAAATGAAAATGGAAATTCTGTTCATTAATTATTTTCTGATATAAAATGTTGGGAAGGAACACATATAGTACATGGAATTGTTTCAATATTTGGAATTATAATTTTTTATCTTTTTTGCATTACATTTGCACTTATATATTATGAACCTCGTTATATACCTTTAAATCCATAATCAAAAAAGAATGGAAGATTTCTAGTTGTATTTCTAACTTATGAACTTATTATGATTATATGTTATACTTTTATGGTTGGGAAATAGTATGATTATATATTTATTTTGATACTTGTCATTGGAAGCTTTTTAGTCTTTTGGATAATGCATGTTGAGAATCCTCATAACAATAAATATATTGCTAAAGCATGGTCTGTTTTGGCTGCAGTAAATATGTGGGGTGTAATCATATTATGTTTTGCTAAATTCTTAGAAGGATAATTATTTTTTGGAACTATCTATGCTTGGTTATTTGGATTACCTTTTATGATAGCTGCAGTATTGAAGACAGATAAATTAAATTATGAATTGTTATTGACTAATTTAAATAAAGTTTCTGATCCTTAAGAAGTCCTTAATTTAACAGATTATTTAATCCAATTGTATAAAACTTAAGATTCTGATTCCTAATTGATGATTGATGGTTTTCTAGAAATACATAGAGCAACTTGTGCCAAAGAAGATTGTTATCTCAAATAAAAAAGATGTAACAATCAAAGAATTTTAAAATCTTTCTTTAAAGATCTTACTTTATCTGAAAGAGATGTAGACATTTTGATGGTATTAGGATAAGTGTATTTTAATTAAATCAAAAGATTTCCAAATAATATTACCCTAAGAATAAGATATTCTCTTTTTCTTTTTGATTTAATGAAATAAAGATAACAAGCCCTTAATGAGTTACTATAAGCAGAATAGTAATACCCAAGTTTTGATTATGAATTCATAATTTATAGATATAAATAGATTATCGAAATTGAGATGAATTTAACATAAACAGAAAATTCAAATGAAAAACTAGATGTAGCAACAGAAATAGCATTTTAAAATAATATGAGAAGTTTTTAAAATAAAATAGAAAGAGCAACATTAATGCATATGGATTTTTGGTCTTAATTATAAGAAGATTCACCTGATTTAGGTAAAATGAATGAAATTGGATCGAAAATTAATTAAGCAATTATTTAAGTTGAAGAATTATGGAATAAAATGTAAAAAATGACTTAAAATTTACCTAAAGCTATGAGATTATATGCTAAATTTATTATTGAAGTACTTTAAGATAAAGATTATGGAGAATCATTATTAGATAAATCTAAGAAATTACAATTGCAGAATTAAAAATAAAGGAATTAGTCAATGTTATCACTTTTGAATAATGATGATTTATGTTATGAATCAAATGCAACTATAATTTTATCTACAGCTCCAGAGAAATTTGCTTAAATTATCAATTTAAATCTATCTTGCTGCAATCTTTTTGGATTTTTAAAATCTGAGATGATAAATCGCAAAATAAATATATTTATGCCTAATTTATATTCTAAATTTCATGATGCATATTTTGATAGGTTTATGTAAACAAATGATAATAGAACAATAAATAAAGAAAGATTAATATATATAAAATAAAAATCAAATTACATTTTCCCTTGTTTTTTAACTCTTAAAATTATTTAGTCTTTAGATGATAATTTATAGATGGGAGCTTAATTACGTCCAATAAAAATGTTCAAACCTACTTGCTATTTGATAGTAGATGGTGATGAATTAGTAGATTCTATATCTGCATCATGTGTTGCTTTATTGAATATTGATTAGAAATAAATATCAAAAGGGAAAATAATGTTAACAGATATCTTTCCAAATTTTAGTTAATCAAAATAATAGTATTTAACTAAAAATGGGGGAATTTTAAATTATAAATTCAGTGAATAATAATTAAGTAATAAAAATATCAAGGATGAAAATGTAGAATATGAAATATAGTTTACATGTTATATGAATGAAATAATTAACAATACTATTGGAGAGTTAGCAGGATATGTAGTGAGATTAGAAATATGTGGGAATGATAAAAGTATAAATTAGGAATTGAATGTACATTATCATCATCAAGGAGGTTTAAGCTTGTAATTTAAATTCAATCCTCGTTTGAATAGTTATTATGGAGAATTTGTAGCTGAAATGAATTCATAAAGAGTAGATTAAACAATAATTTGGGATTAGGGTGATCTATCATCTATGATTTCATCTAATCAACATGAAATACAGAATAATGGTAATTAATAGTAATTAATGAAAGTTAATAATATTGATTAAAAGAAGGATTAGATAGATTATGGAGAGGGAATAGTAATTGTAAGATTATTTGAGAATAGAATTTAGGATATAAATGATCCAGATATAATATCAGATGAAGAGAATGAGGATAAGAATAGTGTATTTTAGAGAAATTAAAATTAAGATATTGAGAGATAAGGATAATAAGAAATAAATGAAAAGAATAATATATTTAGATCAAGAAAACAATTATCTTAAATAATAAATAATTATTAGATTCCTAAAGTAATTACAAAAGTTAATTGGACTGCAAATATTTTAACTATTATATTAGTAGTATTATCATTTACTGATTTTTTCATTATTTATGAATAATATGAGGATATATATAAAACAATATTGTTAGTAAAAAATCAAAATTAAAGAAATGCAGAACTTCAAACAATTACTACAAGTATTTAAAATTTATTGATGTTGAATATGGATGTTTGGGAATTTTAAAGTGAATTGGAATAATAAAAATATGAAACTTTATGGAAATATAAATTAAATTAATCAATAAATAATGTTGATAGTTTAAATAAGGAATTAATGTTAACAGAAGTTAGTTTGAGTGATGTAATTTTAAATATGATGAATTCTGATGTTGTGAGTATGAAATCAAGTGAAGGTATTTCATAAATGTTTGATTTATCAGAATCTATTTAATAATTATTAAGTAAATCATTAATTATAAGAGATAAACCAATATATGATATTAGATTAGATGATATTGATGTTAATTTTGTATTGTTTAATTCTTTAAATAGCTTAGTATTCCAATTAAGAGCTTTTTCTACATTATATGCAAATGAATTGAGAATTAAATCAGAAAATAATAAAGATACATTTTTATTGATATTAAGTATTTCAGCTGCTGCACTTGGAGTTGGATTATTTATAATGTTAATTGCAATAGTTTCAGTAAATAAAACTATTGAAGAAATTTTAGTTATTTTTATAGATATACCAGATAAAATGATTAAGTATTTATTTAATAGAGCTGAGAATTTTATTTCTAATTTATAAATGGGAGAAGATGATGATTTAATCTCAGAAATGGATGAAATAGAAAAAGAAAATCAAAATGAATTGAATAAATAATTAAAAGCAAAAAGAAAAAGAAAGAAATATAAAAATTCAAATAAAGAATAACGTAATTTTACTTTAGGAATTTTAATAATTATTCTACTTGCTTAAGGATATTTTATATTAAATTATTTATTGAGTAAAACATTCTTAACAGACTTAAATTAAATGATACCTGAAATTAATGCAACTGCTAGAGCTGAAAGTTTCTATAGATTTGTAGATATAAGTGAAAGATCATTATTTCTAAATCGCAATCAAACAATCATGAATTAAGATGCATATGAGATTGTCAAAAATAATCTAAATGGATTATATAGCTTAGATTCATCCATACATTAAGAACATGCCTCAAATATTGAAATTACCAGTCAATTATATTTAGATTCTTATAAATAAATATTTATGGAATAACCATGTACAATAATTTCAAATTTCTTAAATGAAATAACAGAATAAGAATGTCAAGTATTTGCTGATGGAGCAGTATATTAAGGAATGGCTGTTGGTATTGCTAGATATTTTGAAAATCTAAGATACATAATGACTATATATGATTAATTTTGGGGAAATCCAAATGTAAATTTTACATTGTTAGCTAGAGGATTTGGAAAATTTAAGAACATAACCAAAGACAGTGATAATGTAAGAAATTATATTTTAAATCTTAATAATTTCAATTAAACGAAAGAAGCTAGAGAAATGTAAGATAGTTACAACAGAGCAACATTTCGATTTCTCGTTTCTTAAATGATAGAAGGGATTAGTCAAGATATGGAAGATCATAAAACTTAAATACTTGGACTCTTTATCGTTTTTGAAGGATTGATCTTTATTGTTTACTTTCTATTGTGGTTACCTTTAGTTGCCAAGTTTACTAAAGACATATGGAGAACAAGATCAATGATCTTAATGATTCCACTTAGTGTAATACAAAGTATTAAATCAATTAAGACATATATAAAAACAAATATTTAGATCAATGATGTTGAAGTTTGATTTCTTTATCTATATTAATTATCAATTAATTAAATTAAATGGAAATAAAATCCAATTATGGATCGACTAAGAATTCATTTGAGAATGATAATATTTTAACACGTTTACAGACAGAACTAAAATTGATCATTTTCAGAGTATTCTACCTTATTCTAAAGGATGAAGAATAGTCAATTGCAATTCAAATCTTTCTGTAAGTCATTTCCCTTTTTTAATATCTCACATTCATATTTCATAGACAACTATATTTAGTTTGGAAGAACTAGAAAGTGTCTTATCAATTATATAAATTCTTTGGATATTTCATGCTAACCCCATATTTTGAAATGCTCAACTTTTCTAGCTTTGCATCAATGATGTATGCATTAATAGGAATCATCCTCATATCCATCATGATAATATTACTAATTGGATACACTAATATTAATAAGCTAAATTCATCATATACTTGGCCTGTTTATGTTCTCAAATTGATTTTCATCTTATTTACTACTATACTATATTTACCAATCCTTGATCTTTTTTTTTAAATGCTCAATTGCCGCTATGATGATAACAATTAACTCATCAATGTACTATTTGATTCCATTTGTTGGTAAGGTTCCCATGTTATTCATGCTATTGTGGCTATACTTGGAATCATAGTATTCATCATTATTACAATGACTTTTAATTTACTTTATTTTGAACCAAGATATAATCATAAGGATGAATTATCCAGAATTTCTGGAAGATCAAAAGCTGTTAAATGTTTTATCTTTCTCATTTTTGAAATCTCCTTTACATATATAGATTTAAATGAATTTGATTATGTTGCTATTTATATCCTATTAATTGGATCATTTATCACTTTTTATAAATTTCATTTCGAATAACCATTCAATCATGTATTTATTTAGAAAATCTCATCTATATATGCAGCCCTTATGTTATGGAGTGCGTTGTTGATGTGTTTTTCATATTATTTAGAGGATACCATATTTCATGGAATTATTTATTCTTGGTTTGTTGGAATACCTCTTATTATATTTGCTATCTATAAAAAAGAAAAGTATCTTTATGATCTATTATTAATGAATATCAATAAAGCAGAAGATCCCAATTAAATCATACTATTAACTAATTATATCTAAAAATTATTATCAAGATATTAAACCAATTAACATTTTCATGTTATGTTAGATGCACTTATTGAAGTACATAAAAATACTTGCTAAAAAGAAGATTGTGTATTTAGGATTAAAAAACAATTGAATTAAAGATTGGCAAAATTAAAAGATACAAATTTATCGTAGAGAGATTACTAGATACAATTATTACTTGGGGAGATATATTCCGGATATATTAGAAGACATTAGCATAACGTAAGATTAAGAATAAATTATGCCTTTTACTTACTTGATTTTTAAAAATAAAAATAACAATCTTTAAATGAATTTAATTAAATAGAATTATTATCACCCAGCTTGGATAATGAATTTATAATTTTTAGATATAAGAGGATAATTGAAGATGAAATGAACATATCATAAAATGAAACTCTAAATGGTAATTTAGATGTAGCAACAGAAATAGCATTTTAAAATAATATGAGAAGTTTTTAAAATAAAATAGAAAGAGCAACATTAATGCATATGGATTTTTGGTCTTAATTATAAGAAGATTCACCTGATTTAGGTAAAATGAATGAAATTGGATCGAAAATTAATTAAGCAATTATTTAAGTTGAAGAATTATGGAATAAAATGTAAAAAATGACTTAAAATTTACCTAAAGCTATGAGATTATATGCTAAATTTATTATTGAAGTACTTTAAGATAAAGATTATGGAGAATCATTATTAGATAAATCTAAATTATTATAAACTTAAAATAATAAAATGAAAAATAAATAAAGTATATAGGTGTTTAGTAATGATGATATTAATTTTGAACCATTACCTACTTTATTAGTGTCCACATCACCTGATAAATTTACATAAATTTCTAATTTAAATTTAAGTGTTTGTAATTTATTAGGATATCATAAGACAGAATTGATAAATAGGAAAATAAATTTATTGATTCCATAAATATTTGCTAAGTTTCATGATAATTATATTGAAATGTTCTTGTAAAGTAATGATTAATCAAAGATTGCAAAAGAAAGATTAGTCTATATTAAATTAAAGTCAGGTTACATTATGCCTTGTTATATATGTATGAAAGCAATATAATCATTTGATGAAAATATTGTAATTGTAGCTTAATTTAGAACATTACGTACCTTCAAAATTGGATGTTATCTAATTCTTAATAGCGATGATGCAATTGAATGCATTTCTTCATCTTGTATTTGCTGCTTATTTATAGATTAAAAAATAATTAGCCATAGAAAAATCTACTTTCATGAGTTATTTCCAGACTATAACAGGAATGACTATTTAAATAAGACAGGTTGTGTAATAAGTTTGAACTTACAATCCAATCTAGTTTCAAATTCAAATTATCTTTAATATTATATTAATGAATTAGAAGATCAGACATAAATTTTATTTTAAATATAAGTTACTGAAATTTCAAATGAATATTAAGATTAAATTATTGGATATGTAATAAAATTAGAGAGAGTGAGTAATGATTAGAGTTAAATTTTGAGTCCTGATTTATAGCAATAATTAGTTGTACCAAATTTAACTATGAGCAATTTTTAATTTAAATATTTTGCTGCAAAGGCATTATATCTTGGAGAAAATCAAGAAGATGGAAATTCAGCTAGAGTTGATTAAACAGTGATTTGGGAGCAATCATCTAGATTGAGTGAAGAAACTCAAGTTGAAAAGAAGGAAAAGGTAGAGGATGTAAAAGTTGAAAGAATTAATTATGGAGAAGGAATAAGAACATTAAAATTATTTGATAATAGAATTTAAGATATTGAAGATATTCGAATGAGCTTTACAGATTAAGATGAAGTCTAACATTCAAGTGTATTTTAGAAAAATTAAGATAATCCAGATGAGATTGAACAAGGCCAAAGGAATAATGTATTTAGAAATAGGAAAGCTTTGAATTCTACAATAAATGATTAATAAAGACCAAAAGAAATAGTACTTTTAAGTTGTATTATAAATATTTTGATGGTGGCTGTTCTAACATTATCATTTACATCATATTTTTTAGGGTTGTATTTGTTTGAAAATATTCAAAACTCATTAAAATTAATTTCATATGCAAGTTTAAGAAATCAAGAAAGTACTCAAGTTGTGATGAATGTTTAGAATTTAGAAATGTTGAGGATTGGAATATGGAATTTGACAGAAACAGAAGCTATCATCTATGAAAATTAATAAAGAAATGAATTAAATAATTCAATTTTGGCATTAACAGATGCAAATAAAAAAATAATGTTAAATGAACTATATATAAATGAATAAATTGAAGAATTACATTCAAAGAGTGTTGTAAATGTTAGAATTTCAAAAAATAGTTTTTCTTATTATGATTTAATTGAAGCCACTTAATAAATAATTAGTAAGGCTCTTATAATTAGAGATAAGCCTTTATAAAATTTGACATTAGATGATGAAGATGCCACTTTTATTACTTATAATTTACATAATGGAATTATATTCTCATATCGTAACGAGACAAGTTAATACTCTAATGGAATACAAGACTTGGCAGAGAATAATATTAAAATATTTTTTATTTTTTTGATAGTAGCTGCAAGTTCCTTTTTTATATTATTGATAATGATTATAATTCTTATAATATAGATAAATTAGATATAAGAATAAATATTGCAATTATTTATGGAAATTCCAGAAAAAACAATTAAATATTTGTATAACTAAAGTGAAAATTTTATCTCGAATTTATAAGTAGGTGAAGAAGAAGAATTATCTTCTGATTTCAGTGATGAAGAATAAGATGAACATAAAGAACTCAGTAGAACTCTTAAATCAAAGAGGAAGAAGAAGATGTTTAAGAATACAAATTCATAACACAGAACACAAATACTTATAATTACATTTATTCTCTTTACTTTTTAAGGATATTTCTTATTAAATTATTTTCTAAATCAAGTTACTTATACTAACTTGAAATAGTAGATACCTGAATTAAATGTTACAGCTAGAAGCGGATCATATTATAGATTTGTTGATAATTGCGAAAGGTAACTATTTCTAAATAGAGAGGAACCAATCCTTTAAGAAGACTCATACTCTATTGTAATGAATAATATACAATTAAACTATGAAGTCGACTCTGATTTACATTAAGAACATGCAAAGAACTCGGAAATAATGAATTAAAATTATTATGACACTTTTTAATAAATTTTCATGTTGAATCCTTGTGAAACATTTGCAAATAAAGGATTTACATAACTTGAATATTGTGAAACATTTGCAAATGGATCTATTTCTTAAGGTATGGCAGTAGCAATAGCAAGATATTTTGAGAACATAAGGTACATCATGACAATTTATGACATGTTTTATGGATATCCTGAGGTTAATTTCAGTATTGTTGCCAGAGGTTGGGGTAGATTTCGAAATATCACTAATAACTCTGACAATGTTACTAATTATATCTATAATTTGAATAATTTCAAACAGACTACAGAATCACGTATTATGCAAAATATATTTTTAAAAGGTATAAAAATTTGAAATTTTTAATTAGCTGCTTTTCGATTTTTATTAGATGAATTTTTGGCTGCTTTGAAATATGACATTGAAGTAACTCAAACTTAATTATTGGCAATATTTATCGTTTTTGAAGTGCTGATATTTTTTGTGTATTTCATAGTTTGGTTACCAGCTTAGATGAAAATGACAAGAGACATTTGGAGAACCAAAGGATTGATCTTGATGATTCCATTACGTGTAATATAGAAGGTTAAAAAAATTAAATCCTTTATTGGCGTTTTGGTTCACAGCTAAGATAAGTGAGATATAATAATTAATAATTAAAAATGGAACTTAAGTCAAACTTTGGTACTTCAAAAAGTTCCTTGGAGTCAGATCGATCTATTCTTGAGAAATTGTAGACAGAGATCAAAGGAGTCTTTTTCAGGGTTATCCAATTAATGTTAAAAGATGAAGAGTAATCTATTCCTTTTACATGTATTGGTATTGTGATACAGTATATGCAAATAACTTATATCATCTTTAATCGTTAGATTTGGAAGGTGTGGTAAAATGAAATCATAACTAAACAACTGAACAATATCTTTGGGTACTATTAGATCATTTAATTTTATAGGTATGTCTTATTGACTCCATACTTTGAAATGATTAGTTTTTAAGGATTTGTGGCCATGATGTATGTATGTTTGGGATTGCTTCTCTTTGCTATGATGCTGATATTTTTGCTGAGCTATAGTATCAGTAAATCTAAATCTTCATTTACATGGCCAATCATGTTGCTCAGATTTTTAATGTCTTTATTTTTATAGGTGCTTTATATGCCAATAATCGATTTACTATTCTCAATGTTGTCATGTACTACTAATCAAAATGGTGTACTTATGCATGTACTCTTTGATTTTGAATGTTGGGTAAATATACATATTGTCCATTCTGTCGTAGCAATTTTTGGAGTTATTTTATTTGTTATTCTTTGTTTACACTTCTCATTACTTTACTTTGAACCCAGATATTAACCTCTTGAGGCATCCTCTAAATTGAGCGGAAGAGCCAATGCTGTTTTCCTTATTTACTAATTAATAATGGTAATTTGCTATACCTTCATGAATGGCAGGAATTATGATTATTTGATGATTCTTATTATGCTCATAGGTAGCTTTATTATTTTTTGGAAAATACACATAGAATAACCATTTAACAATCTATACATCTAGAAGGCATGGTCTATGTTAGTTGCATTAAATTTATGGGGAGTAATTCTTATCTGCTTTGCCAAATTTCTTGAAGGGGTCTTATTTATTGGTACCGTTTATGCTTGGATAGCCGGTTTACCTCTAATGATAGCTGCAATCATCAAAAGTGAAAAATTACATTATGATTTGCTTTTATTAAATCTAAACAAAGTCTAAGATCCTGACTAAATTGTTTAATTAACAAATTATCTTCTCAAACTTCTATACAAAAGTCCATTAAATTCAAATTGTTCTTTGTTAATTGATGGTTTCTTAGAAATACATAAAGCAACATGTACAAGAGAGGATTGTTATCTTAAGCAGAAAAAAATGATTAATCAAAGATAGTAGAAACCACTCTTTAAAGAAGGCACTATTATTGAAAGAGACATCGATCTTTTAATGGTCATGGCCTAGATCTACTTTAACTAAATTAAGAAATTTCCTAATGAAATAAATCTTAGAATACGTTATGCTTTTTTTTTATTAGACAATATGAAATAAAGACAATAAGCCATTAATGAACTCATATAAGCTGAAACTTTGAGTCCAAGTCTTGATAATGATTTTGTGATATTTAGATACAAGAAAATTATTGAAGAAGAAATGAATGCAGCATAAAATGAAACTTTAGGTAATTTAGATGTAGCAACAGAAATAGCATTTTAAAATAATATGAGAAGTTTTTAAAATAAAATAGAGAGAGCAACATTAATGCATATGGATTTTTGGTCTTAATTATAAGAAGATTCACCTGATTTAGGTAAAATGAATGAAATTGGATCGAAAATTAATTAAGCAATTATTTAAGTTGAAGAATTATGGAATAAAATGTAAAAAATGACATAAAATTTACCTAAAGCTATGAGATTATATGCTAAATTTATTATTGAAGTACTTTAAGATAAAGATTATGGAGAATCATTATTAGATAAATCTAAATTATTATAAACTTAAAATAATAAAATGAAAAATAAATAAAGTATACAATTAATTAGTAGTGAAGAAATTGGATATGAATCTCAACCTATATTGTTAGTATCAGCAGCTTAAGAGAAATTTGCTTAAATAATTAATTTAAATTTGGCTGCTTGTAATTTATTTGGTTACAATAAATCTGAGATGATCAATAGGAAAATCAATATTTTTATGCCCAATCTATATTCTAAATTTCATGATGCTTATGTTGAAAATTTCCTTTAATCTAATGATAATAAAAATATTAATAAAGACAGATTAATTTATATTAAAATGAAATCTAACTATATTATGCCATGTTATATTTATTTAAAAATCATTTAATCTTTAGATGAAAATGTATCATTAGCTGCTTAGTTTAGAGTATTGAAAAGTTTTAAACCAACTTGCTATTTAGTTTTAGATAATGAAGAAATAATAGATTCAATTTCATCATCATGTATTCCATTATTAAATCTTGATTCTAAATAGATTTCTCATAAGAAAACTTCAATTTCAGAAATATTTCCAAATTATCTATAATAAAAATAGATATTTCTATCAAAAACAGGGGGTCAAATATTGTTCAGTTTGGCCACTTCATCTGCTGTAAGTAATAGTCAATTAGCTTCTTAAGAATTTGATGAAGGTGAGAAAAAGGGTGAATGTATATAATTTTAGTGTTTTACTTCTGAAGTATTTAATGAACTTGGAGATCAAGTTGTAGGCTATATTGTAAAATTGGAATAATAAATGTAGGATATTAGTATGAATTTAGAAATTAATTAACCTCATTAAAAAGTATTAACAAATAGTATGTAATTTAAATTCAATCCATCTAAATTCTTATATTAAGGGGAATTTGTATCTGATTCTAATTCTTAAAGAGTAGATTAAACTATTTTATGGGATCAAAATGATTAGTCTTCTATGATTTCATCAGTATAACCAGGTGCTGATTTAATTAAATCTTAAATTAAGTCAGAAAGATCAGATGATTGTAATATCTAAATTTAATCAAAAATAAATTATGCAGAAGGAATTAAAATAGTAAGACTCTTTGAAAATAGAGTTTAAGATATTGATGATAAAGAGGATATGATATCTGAAGAGGATGATTAATAAGGAAGAAGTGTTTTTTAGAGACAATAAGATGTAGATAATGATCAAGATGGTTAAATATAAGATTTTAATAATATATTTAAATCAAGAAAAAATCTTTCTTTAGTTGTCAATAATTAAATTACACCTTAAGTAATAAAATAATTAAGTTGGACAGCCAATTTTATCATATTATTATTAGTAGCACTTAGTTTTTCAGATTTTTTTGTTTGTTAAGCTTAATATGATGAAATTTATTCAACTTTAGAATTGGTTGAATTCACTAATTTAAGAACAGCTGAATTACATTCTATATTAACATCAGTGCAAAATCTATAAATGTTAAATTTAAATATTTTTTAAATTAATTCAACAGAAGCAATTATAGCATTTGAAAAAGCTCAAAAAACGAAGCTCAATAATTCAATTTAATTAGTTTCTTAATTGAATAAGGGTTTAATGTTATCAAATATATTCATAAGTGATTAATTAAATGAATTATAGAGTAAAGATGTTGTGAAAATGAAATTTGGAGAATAATATCAAAATTATGATCTCATGGAAGCTACTGAATAAATAGTTAGTAAGGCATTAAATATAAGGGATAAATAATTATCTAAGATTATATATGAGGATGATGATGTTGAATTTATAATTTACAATTTGTTAAATGATTTAGTTTTTTAAATGAGAAATTCAAGTAATCTATATGCAAATGGATTGACAATAAAAACCAGTGAAAAAAAGGAAACATTTTAAATTATTTTAGGTATATCAGCAGGAGCTTTAGGTTTGGGATTATTGATGTTGACAATTATAACACTTTCAGTAAATAAAATTCAAGAAGAAATTCTATCAATGTTTTTAGATATTCCAGATAAAACAGTAAAGTATTTATACAACAAAAGTGAAAATTTTATATCAAATCTCTAATTAGGTGAAGATGATGATGTCTTATCTGATTTAGAAGAATTAGAGAAAGAGGAGTAAGAAGAATTAAACAAAACATTAAAAAGTAAAAGAAAAAAGAAAAAATTTAAAAATACAAATAAAGAATAAAGAAACTATATTTTTGCATTCTTTTTTGTAATTCTCTTAATTTAAGCTTATTTTATTTTTAATTATTTTATGAGTGATGCATTACTTAGTAATTTAGCCTAATTAGTTCCAGAGATTAATGCTACAAGTAGAGCTGAAGGTTTTTATAGATTTGCAGATAATGCATAAAGATCTTTATATATTAATAGAAATATCACAATTGAAAATGATGATTCATACATAAAAGTGAAAGAGAATATAGATAAACTTTATGCTCTTGATTCTTCAATTCATTAAGAGCATTCTCTAAATGTTGATATAACAAATTCTATATATAGTGATGCATTCAAAGAGTTATTTATGTTGTAACCATGTACAATCCTTTCCTCTTATTTGGAAGACTTAGAAGAACCTGATTGCCAAGCTTTTGCTGATGGTGCAATTTATTAAGGTATGGCAGTAGGAATGGCAAGGTATTTTGAAAATTTAAGATATATTATGACAATATATGATTAATTTTGGAATAATACTAAGGCCAACTTTACATTAATAGCAAGAGGATTTACTACTTTTAAGAATATTACAAAAAACTCTGATAATATTAGCAATTTTATTCTAAATTTAAATAATTTCAATCAGTCAAAAGAAGCCAGAGTAATCCAAGAAGTTTATAATAGAGGTACAAAGTGAATTATTAATTTTAGGCACATTTAGGTATTTAATGGATAAGATGTAACTATCAATAGGTAAAGATATTGAAGATGCAAAAACATAGAGATTGGCATTATTCATAGTATTTGAAGTGTTGCTATTTGTGATTTATTTTATTTTATGGTTGCCTCTTGTTTTAAAATTGACCAGAGATGTTTGGAGAACAAGATCAATGATAATGATGATACCTCTAAGAGTTATACAAAAAATAAGATCAATTAAATAATTTATTAAGGATTTCTTACACACAAGAGAATTAGAAGTTTGATTTTTAGAATGTGTGTTATTAGTAAAATAACTAATATCTGATTAATAATTAAAATATCAATAATTATTATTAAAATGAATAATGTAAATTAATTTGATAGATCATTGTTGACAGTTGATATAGTAGGTGCTTAACCAAAATAGAAGAGTTCTTACTTAGACAAGATAATTCCATAAGATATTCGCTAAACAAATAATATGAAATTGCAGTTTATCTAATATTATAATATTTTCTAGATATACAATACCTAAATAAGATCCCCAATATGGACGTAGGAGATATTAGCATGATTTTCATCATTTCTGCAATAGTTGTGTTCCTTAAGGAGAGAACTATTTTGATGGTTCGCACAAAAAACATTATAACTTACATTAAGGAGAAATCAAATAATATAGAGCTTTAGAGAATTATTATGATTAACCAAAGTATTAGTATATAATATAAGGAAATTTATAAGGGGACAGATTATTGGCAACTAATGATATAGAAGGAGCTATTCCAGGGACATATACAAGTAAGGTTGTGAGAAATTAAGAGAAAGCATAGAAAATAAGACAAGAGAGAGATTATTTAAGAGCTTAAAATAATAAGGCACTTTATCTTTCTTAATTGGAATCAAATATAAATTATTAATCTGAATTTGAAAAATAACCATAAAGAAATAAATCATATTCTATCTAAATTACTCCTTAAAATTAAGTATTTGAAAATAAGGTTACTGAAATACAATAACCAAAATATGAATACATGAATAAACCTATGAAACTTCCACCTATATTAGAGAGAGAAACACCTGTAATCAATCCTATATCTAATAAATTGTAATTACGTTAAAATTACAAAAATTATCTTTTAGAAGATTATGATAAGACAATATCCATGTTATAATAAAATTAACCTATGAGATTATTTGTATGATAATATCAATTATTCAATATTAATACTTCTATGATTATATTATAATAATGATATTAAATCAATATTTCTTTTTTATAGGATTATTTTCTTAAATTAGAAATATAATAATAAATATAAATAGGAAATTTCATATAATTGTTTTAAGTAGGTAAAAAAAAAGAATCTATAAATTAATATGATATAACTTATAATATAAAAGATTGTTTACAGAAAATATAATTATTTCATATTTAATAATCATATTAATGATCACATTTCTATTTCTAATAGTTCAGTTGATTTATTTTATTCTAAATTTTGCATTTTAATTTTCTTCCAAAATTCTATTACCAAAGTTGTACAAATTATTATTGTTAAAACCAATAATATCCATGCCCAAATAGAATTACTTAATTATTCAGGTTAAATAGTAATAGAAATATTATAATTATAAAATGAATTTGAAGCCACTAAATAATAATCATAATTTTAATTTTCATATAATTAGCTTACATTAGAGCATTAAAAATAAATGGTTTAATTAAAGACTAATAATGTAACATCTGTTTAATTCATGGTTTCATTTTTTGATAATACTAATAAAAATTAACTTATATTATTAGTTTGATTAACTAGGGCAATTTAAAGAATATTTTCGAAACTTTCATTAAAATAATAACCTCCTTCCATTTAAATGGTGCTATTATAATTTAATTGATATGATAAATTGTATGTTTATTTGATTTTTGATATATTATACATAGCAACTATATGTTAAGCTTTTTAACCTACAGGTGATCGAAATAGCAAAGCCAAATATTAATCTTGAAGTACTCCAATAGGAATTTAAGTATAGTTGCCATATGGAGGAATATAGGCAATGACATCTTCAAATTGAAGTGATGTTTAAGCATAACTTAATGGACTATAACTCATAATAATAACTAAATTGTAAACATTGTTTGATGTGAGAACAAGTATAATCTAATCATATTTTACAAGATAAATGAATATTTACAAGAATTTAGAATCAGATCTGTTTACATATTATGTTATTACATCTGATACACGATTTGAAACTTTTGAAAAAGTAAGATTAGTTGAATTAGTAATATTAAAACTAACATATTTTAATTCACTAGGATTTTAACATAAATAAAATATGACTCCTCTTCCACTATAGGTTGAATTTATTAGAGACTTATTTTATAAAATAGTAAAATTATAATCTGAAATACCACCTCTACATTAAATTCTTCTAATTTATGAATCATTTTAATCATCCTTTTTAGATTGATTTTTTGTTTAATTAAGATTATAAATATAAATTGATTATGAATTATCATTTTAACCCATTTTACCTAAAATAAATAAATAATCATTTAATTATGAACTTTTTATTATAGAAGTATAAGGTGGGTTAAGAATTTGGTAAGTGTTATTTGATGTATTCCAAGGTTAAGAGGAAGAACAAGTATAATTAGTGGAGTTATTGGAAGGACTGGCATTAGGAAATAGTGAAAATACAGTTATACTTTTATCTGATTTACAAATAGCATTCATATAAATTGAAGGTCCATTAATAGTTACACTCAAAGATAAACATTCTGTAAAATTATATTTGCTATAGCTTGATAATTATAATCCTTCAAAAATTACATAACTACTTTAATAAAGTCCTGAAATATTCTAATAAAATAATGAACGACAAAAACTAGTCATTTATGTAATATTTGTAATATATTTTGTGAAATATTAATTTTCGTTTATGAATTAATTTGTTATATTGAAACTCTAATTACTTTTGATTTTTCCATTTTGAGTAGCAACTATATAATAATTCGTTACCTAACCCATTGAAACATTTGTCATATTTAAAGGTAATAAAACTGGATTTTTACTGTTTTTTTTAGAATAGAATGTTAGATATTTAGTATTATTATTATCATTATATTAGCTTACATTCATTGAGATTTACAAATAAATATTCACTACTATTAATTAATAATTAAATATTTTGTTATTCCATATATTTGAAATCATTGTTTGAATAGGAACTTAACTAATCATCTTATCTTATTGTTTAACTTAGTAAAATTAAAAACTATAAGGATTATTTTAAAAGGCAGCATATAAATTATTTTTTATTGATAAAATTGAAAATTAATTTGTATTTGTACAACTAATACTATCATATTAATTTAATGATAAATTATAATATAAGGAACTATGATAAGGTAAATCTATACTGTAAATAAATATACTATAATCTATTTATCTTACATAGAAAAAGTAGTTATCTGCTATAATTTACGAATTAGGCTAAATAGTACAATTAGGTAAAGGTTTATAAAAACTAGGATGATTAATAACAGATATATCATAAACAAAAAAGGATACCATATTTGATGAAGAATTTATAATACTTGCAAGAATAATATACATCTGAACAACAACAATTTAAGAAATATTATAAGTTGTTTATTGATAAGATAATATATTAAAATTATTATTCTGTATAGTTTTTTAATATAGCTCCAAACTAATGAAACTATTTTAATTATTAATAAACAAGGTAGATTAATATAATTATTAATTTACTTAAATTTAGATTGGCTAAAATTAAATATTATACTATTATCCTCCTACTTAATTAATAGTTGTTTGATTTATAAAATAAGATGTAGATTTATTATAATTATAACAATTTACAATTATTTCACTTTAATTATAAAGTACTATCAATTTATTATATAGAATTTAAAATTGTAACATTTAATATTAATTGTTAATGGTGTAATTATAAAACAAAGAAGTATTAGTAATGTTTATATTAAACTATATTTTATCTGGAGGTTAAAATTAAATAGAATAAACCAATATATTTTAGGATTAATCAAATACTAGCACTAATTGTGTTTAATTATATTAAGACATTTAAATACTTGTCACCTAACTGACATTGCATGAAATATTCTAATGAGTTGTACAATTCAATATTTCATTTCCTATCCAACAAATCGAATAAAAGATATTTTTAGTATCATTACTTGATATCCAAGCATAAAATAAAAATTAATATTGTTCAACAAAAAACAATTGAGTCTAATTTTAAAATAAACCTGGAAGATTGTCATTTAAATATGATAAGACTTGATTCTAAGGTGGAGATATACTAATATTTGAATCATTCGATAAGTTGTATTATATACTTAATTGCATTAAAGGCCCTGTAAAATGATTATTTAAATGAAAAATTTCTTTAACATCTTAGATTGTTGAAAATTTGTTAATATTTGATGTATTATAGATGTTAGTATTATTTTAATTTAATAATTAATATGAAAGAGTAAGATTACATCCAAAAAAAAATATATCATCATGAACTTCTGGATTTTCATATGCATAAATAGTTATATTTCCACTTTAATTCTAATTAGTGATATTTATTATTAATTTTGGTTTTGATAAATGATGCAAAGTAAGTTTTGAAGAAAATTTCAATAATTTGTTATCATCATAATTTAGATACATTTAAAAAGAATCTTCAAAATATCTATTTTTATATATCTGATTGATTGTTTGATATTCATGAGAATTAGTAAATTTACCAATATAGAAATAAGTTTCATATTCTTTTTGTTAAATAATTAAGAAACTTGTACTTATATAGATTTTAACTGGATCTGAAAAATTCCATTCAAATTATTAGTATGAGTCATAAATATGTGAAACATTAAGATTAGATCCATTATATTGAAATTCAAATATATTATCATAATAATTATCATTAACAATAATAAATGAAGTCATTAATTAACCATAACAAAATGAGGGAAATGATTTTATAGCTAAAGACTATCCATAAATGAATTCTTATGTAATATTGATTTGTTAATATTAATTTAAATCTTCTATAGGTGAAATGAAAATGCAATTTGTAAGATTTAAAATAGCTACAGAATTTCCATCAACTGTCAATGAAAAATCTGTAAATGTAGGTATCATAAATCTACTGATAAATTTAGCTTTTTAAGTAGTTTCATTGTAATAGTAATTATGTAAAAAAGATTCATTATTATTTAAGTATATTCCATAAATGATGTAATTATTTATGTAAACTAAATTTGTGTAAGCTATTGAATTTGTAATAAAACTTGGTTTATATAATTCATATATAACAATTGGTACATTTTGAACAAATAATAACAACTAAAAATAATCATTATTATAACAATCAGTTATTATATTACTTGAAGATGCAAAAGTAGAACTATAGCTTTAACAATCATAATCTACTTCAATTTTCAAACTATTTAATTATGTAATTGAATCAGATGTGTAATTTATTTCAAAAATGTTTAATAATTAATTGTTCTAAATAGTAGAAATATAATTTTTATATCCTGAAACACTATTAGTATTTTATGTTTTTTTATTAACTTTTGGTGTATAATCTACTTCTGTAATGACATTTTTTATTTCAATTCCATATTCTAATAATTCACATATTTTTATATCCCTAATATCACTAATTGGATTTTCATCTCCAATTATACACATATAAAATAAATCCTCACCATCAAATAATTCACTCATATCTAATTTATAAATCTCTTATTCAGTTGGATATAGAAATTATAAATGTTAATTCTTTATTGAGCAAGCCATACCTATCGATATCATCAATAATCTAAACATTTGAAATTATTTAAAAATATTATATATATTTATTTTTTTACAAAATTTCAGATATTTAGTTTTGGATATAATATCATCTTTATTCTTCTCCTGGATTGCACAATTTTATGTATTTAACATAATAAATCTGTTTGAAATTCACAATCAATTTTGGATTCATAGGATCAAGATCTTTTGCTCTACCAAAATCTTCTGCTGCTTTCCCATATTATTATAATGCTTTATGTGCAAAAGCTCTACCAAAATAAGCATGTGAATTATGTGGCTATCATATAAAAATTAATTATAATACTTGCATTTCAATCACTTTATCAAAATCTTCTAATGCTAATTGATTCTCACCTACTAATAAAAAACACTTTGCTCTTTCATGAATATAAGCAGGTTCATATTTCTATAATTCAATTGCATTAGTTAAAGGTTCTATAGCTTTATCAAACATTTCTAAATTTGCAAATGAAATTCCCAAATGATAATGAATATCTGGTACATAACTTTAAAATGGTTTATTTTCAAAAGCTTTATAAAGATCAGCAATGCTTTTCTTGAATTCTTAATTTTTATAATATGCAAGTCCTCTTCTATAATATATTTATGCATCATTAGGTTTTCTATCTAATGCACTTGTCAAATCTATTATTGCTTTTGGATATTCTTTCTTATCAATAAATATATTGCTTCTTTAAACCAAAAATTCTTAATTATGAGGAGATTCCTTCAAAGCTTTATCCAAATAAAATAAAGCTTTTTCATAATTTTTCTTTAATCTATATGCTTATCCTAAACCTGAGTAAATTCCAGGATTATTGGAATTAAGTTCAAGAGCTTATTCAAAATCTTTGATAGCATCATTTAATTCATGCATTTCAATTCTTGCCAATCCTCTATTATAATATGTTTCTGGATATGTAGGTTCCATTTCTATTGCTGCATTGAAATCTTATATAGCCAATTCATAATTTTTCATATCCATGTAAACTAAACCTCTTGAAGAATAGACTAATCTATCTTTGCCTTCAGCATTCAAAACTTATGTAAATAATGATAATGCTTCTTTTAAATTATCATTCTTATGATACATTAAACCTAAATGAAATATTGAAGGCATATGATTAGGTGTTATATTCAAAGCTTCTTCAAACATTTTAATAGCCATTTCATATTCTTCAGAATCCTAATAGGCTAATCCTTTTGAATGATAAAATTTAGAATTTTTAGGCATCAATTTTATTGCCTTATCATAATCAGCATGTGCTTCTGCTCTTTTACCTAAAGCTAAATGAGTATTTCCTCTATTATATAATGCTCTAGCATCTTGATCATCAATACCAAGAGCCTTATTAAATTCTATTAGACTTCCTTTCAAATCACCTAAATGATATAATGCTAATGCTTTATTATTATAATATGTTGCTTTTGATTCATCTTATTCAATTGCTCTTGTAAATCTTTCTAATGCTAATTCATATTATTAATTTTCAAAATATGATAATCCTAAATTATTATGAGCAGGTGCTTCATCCTTCTTGATATCACAAGCCTTTTACAAATGTTCTATGGATTAATCATAATACTTAATTTGTCTATAACAATTTCCCATATGAAAGTGAGCTTTAAATTATGCATTTGAATCCTTCAAATACTTAAGAGCTTATTAATAATCATCAATAGCCTTTTTATAATTATCTAATCTAGCATACACAAGTGCTCTATTTAAAAATAGGAAACCGTCTGTTGATTTAATTTGAATAGCTTTATCATATTCTTTCAATGCATCATTTACTTCTCCTAATTAAAGAAAACAGTTTCCTCTTGCACCATAATGTTCTGCATTATTTTCCTCAAATCTTACTGCAGTAGAAAAATCAAAGAGTGCTCTCTAATACTGACCAGTCTGCATGTAAGCATTACCTCTGGCTGCATAAAATTTGGCATATTAGGGTTCTGTTTGACTTGAATTCTAAAACTATTATATATTTAAATAACTTATAACAATGTGATTGCTTCAGAAAACAGTTAGATTGCACGATCAAAATCATTAGCTGTCTTATTCTCTTTCAACATGATCTTCTTGCCTTCTTAAAATCTTTCATTTGCATCTTTCTATTTTTATGCTAATTCTTTGTGTTCGTTGAGCTTCTTTTGTTACTTCTAATTAAAGGAAGACATTTATTTATTTTAATTAAAAATCTTTTGATAATGAATTATCCTATGGATCACTTTGTATAATTGTTATACTTTGATAACTTGGAGCATTTGGAAAGTGGGTAGAACCAAACAAGATAGAAAATCAAAGAAGGAAAAGTCTGTGATGAAATCATATTCTAATCACTTGTCAAGGTTTAGTTGATAAGAATTGTTAAACCTGGTTATAATGTACATTAGAATCTCAAAAAATTAATTACAATTACTCAAAGTGAAGAGCCTATTCGTAATTTAGAGATTTTTGCTAAATCTTATTAGTCTAACAAACCATAATCGAGATATCAACTTCTCTTTGGAAGTCCTGAAATCTCATCCAACAATTGTGACATCCTCATCACACTTGAATAGCCAGTAAATTAATTATTATAATAATAGTACATCACTGATTTTATAGTATTCAGAGGATAATATAAAAGACTTACAATTTGTATGTATGGTGAAATAATGTCAGGACATTCAATTCAAAGTTATAATCCTTCTTATGGTAAGAATATTGGATTATAGGAATTGAATGATGTAATTGATGCCAGAATTTAAAGAGTACGTACTATTACTTAACCAGTTGATAATAAAATCTATTAGTAAATAATTAAGTAAAGAAATGAAGTTTTAGATCATATTTATAATTAAGAGAATTATCATTTATGTGTAGATAATATTTAACCATAATTATTACTTGAAGATAAATAATTCAATTAATAAGAATCATAAAAATAAATAGAAATATTAGCTAAGGAATTGAAATCTATAGATTAAGACTATGATTTTGTAGATAAATAATTAGTATCATTATATCATGAGAAATTGGAATAAATGCATAGAGTTTTAACAAAACATTTAAAACATTCAAAAGCAGATATACATTCAGCTGCACATTTTAATGATGTTGATCGTATTTACAAATTATTACCAACTTCACTTGTTGATTCAGTTATTTTTGCTATTCATGCATCTTATTCTTCAGCAATTAGAGCATTTCCTATTATTATTTAATTATTGAGTTCAAAATATCATGCTTTATTATTTTTAGATAAAGGAGGTTTAAATAAATTATTAGAATTTCTAATTGAAATACAATCATCACCTAGTTATTTTAAATTAAAGGTGATTGAAACATTATATAATTGTATGAATCATGTAGAATTTTGTAATGAATTAATAACAAGAAATGTTGAAATAAAAACATAAGATTCTGAGAAATCACCTAAGAAAAAGAAGAAAGTAAAGAAAGATAAAGAAAAGAAAAAGAAAGAAAATAAAGAAGGTAAGAAAAAGAAAAATAAGAAAAAGAGTAGAAGTAGAAGTAGGAGTAAAAGTAAATCAATTACTTAAGAGTAATAATAATTTACAAATGAATAAGTTAGTAATTTTAATGGATTTCAATTATTAGCTTATACAGCATCAAAAAGTGAAGATGAGAAAATTGTATAAGCATGTCATGTAGCATTAAATAGATTATAAATTTATGTGAGATTTAGAAAATTAAAGAATATGATTGATTTGGTTTATTAAGGAAAATTGGCATTTAATGAAGATGGAACTATGGATTTCTTATTAAATAATTTACCATATTAATGGGAATTTGAGAATCTTGTTGGATTGGATTTATTTTTATTTGCTGTTTAAAAAGATTTTTATTGTGATAAACAAAGAGAATTAATGTATTGTTTATTTGATGCTGAGAAGACAAAGACTGCAAATTTTAAATTGGTTAAAGAAATATTGTAAATGAAAGATTTATGTATAACATATGCAAATGCAATGTGGTTTAGATAGATGTAATTTATGAAATATATTGCTGCTATGATGGTGCTTAATTAGAATTATAGTTAGTGTTGTTAATTGATTTATCGTATTCTATAAATTAAGGGGGGTATAGTAGTCATTTGTCAAGAAACTACAGCCCTAAAGTTGATTATAAGAGTTTTAACCAAAAACAATGATATATAATTATTAAATTTAATAAAATCATCATTAGTTTTAATAAATTTAATGGATTAAATTTACATTAAATTATTAGGTTCTGATTATGATTATGAATTGATATCATTATTAGGTTAATTATAATAATATACTGAGGAATAGGATGAAATAACTCAAAATTGTGCAGCTGTTACTCATTTAATGAATAATGAATTCTTTAGTGAATCCTTATTATATATTATGTCAGTAACTAAATTGGATGATATAATTGAACATGAAGTTGAAATCACTATCATGTCTTATATCTTTATCAATAGTAAATTTTGAAAATAATCATAGTTCTAAGATACAATGATACACATATAGGACTCTTTTTAGCAGATCGTCTTATAGCACCTAATGCTCGTTTTATTAAATATATTAATACAGAGAAATCCAGATTTAGTGCAGATTTTCGTTTATCATAAATTCTATTAGCAGGAGTATTAGAACCTTATGAATTATTTTTGGCTAAAGATACAACTAAAGCTATAAGAGAATCATTTCATTAAAAATTAAAATTTGTTGCTATCAATTAAGATCCTGATAAAAATAAATTAAAAGAATATTTTGGAGTAGGAGAACATAAAAAAGGTATTCATGAAGAATTAAAATCTGAATTTAGACTTTTAGGAACATTTGATTAACCTTATTAAAGTTTATAATTTTTAGATGGAGCAATAAAAATATTTAAATGGTTGTGTAATTGTAATAAATTTTATTTCATTCCATTTTTTGAACATGAAGTAATAGCAGGAGTAGAATGTTTTGCTGGAAAATTAATTAATTTATTTTCAGCTATGACTTCAAAAAATATATAAACTGAATATATGTTAATTAAATTACCAAATTAATAATAGATTTTAAGACATTATTTTGATCTTACATATAATACTATAGAATTGATATAAGAAAGATTGAAATTTAGAGTATAATTAGGATGTGAGAGTTCATTCCATTCAAATGATTTATGTAAGATTTTAATTGATTTATGGGTTTCATTATAAAAAGTATAACCAAATGGTCTTAGAGGATGTAAATAAAAAGTAGAAAATCTATTGAATATTCTTAGAAATTGTTTTAATTATGTTATTACATTAAATTCATTCTAAGATGAAGATAATGATTAATTGAAATTACATGCTTAATAAGGAAGTTAAGAAATATAAACATTATTTTAATCTTTATATTTATCAGCATTCAGAAATTAAGAAGAATAAAAATATATTCTCAATTTGATGTAATTCTTAATTAAAGATAATTAAAATAAACCTTAATTCAGTAATAATTTATTTAATGTATTATTTAAACCTATGCGTAAAAATGATGATGAATTTGAAAATTATACAAAAAATGGAGATCTTGGATTTTTAATTGATACTATGGGAGATTAAAAATGTCTATAAAATTTAATGTAATCTTCTTTAAGAACATTTGATACAGCTTTATAAAATGAGATGTTCAAAGTCTTAAGAAATCTATTAGAATTGTATGATCATAATATTTCATAACATTTATTCAAAATAATTGAAGATCAACTCAAAAATTATTCCAATAAAATCAAGGCTTTAGCTAAAAAAGAAGATTAATAACTCTATTTAAAATATAGATAAGATTGGGTGCTTTTAGGATTATTCTTAACTTAAGCTATAGATATATGTCTTTGTAATTGTGGTTTTATGTACATATTTAATTATGAACATTTGAATGAAGATATGATCAAAATATATAAATTAATTGATGCTGAAAATGATTACTGTGATTCTCAACCAACTGAAAAATCATATAAATTATTAATTGCAACATTACGTAATCAAATTTTACAGATCTTTAAAAAAGCTGTAGATCATGAATGTGGTGTTAGTCAATTTCTATAATCTGAATCTCAATCCTATTAATATTTAATTGAAGACATTCCCCATATCACATATTTATAAGATTTATTAAAGAGTTTAGCTAAGAATTTAGTTAAACATATTGAATATTCAGAAGATTCAAAAGAATACTATCATCTTAATTTAATATCATCTAAATTAATCATTGAAATCTTGGAATGTACTTCGAAAAATATTGTTGGACAAAATATACTTCTCTATTCAGATTATACATAAGCTCCATATAAAGCTAAACCTATTTTCTAATTATATACTATTGTAGAATTAGTTCAACAATCAATCTTAAATTACAATAATTTACCATTTTAATCAGTCTACACATCAATTATTGAATAGTTTATTAGTTTACTATTCAGATTATTTGTATCTATACCTAACAATGTTATACATCCAGGAGATGTAAGAAAAAGAGCCATATAGACACTCATGTTTAATAAATAAGAAAACATTCTAGATTTCATTACTAATCTATCCAATTATCTATCTAACATCCCCTAATTCATTAAACATGTCAAATTACTCTAATTCTTATTGAAATAAATTGAATCTAACAATAAAGAAATTAAAGATCAAAATGTAACATTACCTAGTGAACCACGTACACATCTCGTTGTCTTCTAACTAATACAAGAAAAGATTTAATAATAGTAATCCAAAGGAAAATAATAATAAATCTTGAGTTCATTTTTCAAATAGACTGTTCTAGAGGGTGATAAAATTTTAAAATACTAATCTTTAACAGTAAGTGAAGTAACCCCATGGAAATTGGCTTTTAAAGAATTGAAAAAAGAATCCTCAACATTATCAAATACATTTGTATTCCCAGAAGTGCTTTATAAAGATCAAATATTTAAATTAGTTCCCTTAGAAATACCAGCTTATCCTAAAACAATCATAAATGACATAATGTCTTTATAGATTAGACAACCTTTGATTTCCAAAGACAGAGTAGGTTTTGCTAAAATATCATCTGTTCAACCTACTTTAGAACCAATAAGACCTGCTGTTCCTATCCCTATAAGGACACCAACAGTAGATGCTCCCCCTCCTCTTTATAAACCAGAAATGATGTTCCCATTATAATAGCCTAATGTGCAACCTCACTAAAATCCTATTAATAGTACTCCTGTCATTCCTATTAGGCCATAAAATGCAACTAGCAATTACAATTTAGTAAATAATATATGAAATTATAAATAGCTGGATTCGATAGCACCTCCTGTTACTTTCCATCAATTAGAAGATCCAAGACTATAAAGAAGACAAGATTACAATATGCATCCAATGCAATAGATTTAACAATAAAGTGGAATTTAGTAGCAATAATAATAGCAATTGTAATAATAATAAGCTATGCAACAACCTATTCATTAACCTTATCAAATATCTTAAATCCCCATGTTTATGGTATTTAATTTTATTTAATTACTTAGCCATAAATTCCAAATCAAATAGGAAATTAATTACCTAATTAAATGGCACCTCCTATGCAATAAGTTTAGCCTCCTTAAATTCCATAATAAATACCTCCACAATAACCTGTTTTATAATAACCAATGATGCATATGCATCCATAACATCCAATATAATAGCCTCCTATTTAATAATAAATGCCATAATAACCATTATAACCATAATAATAACCATAATAATAACCATAATAATAATAATAATAATAATAATAATAATAATAATAATAATAACCAAATGAATTAGCTGAATTGATTGCAATGATGAATGAATAAGAAAAGGCAATTCTGAGGGAATTTCTAACTTCAAGAGATCCAAGAAAACTTGAGTAGTTAGAGTAGAAGAGAATAGAATATCCAAGAATTGATCAATTTTTAATGGCGCTTTAACAATAACAAAAAAAGAAAAGTTAATGATAAATATATTAAAAAAAATTATTATAATTAAATTAAAATGTCTGAATAAAAGCAGCCAAATATTATCAATTACTTCTAGTAATATAAATAAAGCATTCAGAATGCTTTCAAAATATTAGAAGATGTAGATTTTGAATTGCCAGAAGAGGAATTAAAGTAAAAAGTTCCTAAATAGGTAATATCTGTTAACCAATTAATTAGATTGAAGATTAAAAACAATCTATAGAACCTAAATTCATTTCACAAGCAGATACAAAAAGAGCGCTTGAGAATATTGATAAATTAATTTGTTAATTATAATTAGTAACACCATTATATAGTGATCCAAAATAGTACAATTATCATTAATTAGTTTAAATTTCGAGTCAAATGATAGGACTAAAAGATAGACATAGATGAAGCATTAATAAATGTGGGATCAAATCAAATTGCAATAGAAAGAGCGATTCGCAAAGTTTTAAGATTAAGAAATTTTAGAAAGAATACTAGAATTAGACTCTTAATTGAAAGAGGATTATGAATATAATTTCTAATTTTCAAGTGGTACTCAAAAAAAGACAATTTAAATCAAATATCATGATGTTTTAAAATTAAATCCACCCAATTATTTGAATGATGGAATTATAAACTTTTATTTAAAATTTATTGAGTTTGAATTACTTGATGAATCCTTAAGATCTAAAACATACATATTTAATACTTATTTTGTAGAAAAATTATGTCTATTTGATAAATTATAGACTATATAATAGAATGATAATCATAGAATAAATGAGCTCTTTAAATAATCATATGAACATATAAAAAGATGGGTTAAAGAAGATTTGACTGAAAAAGAATATTTATTATTTCCTATAAATTTACCTGAACATTGGTCTCTTTTGATAGCTCATAAATAAAGTAAATCTTTTTAAGATTCTGTTATAATATATTTAGATAGTTTTGGAATAATAGATTAAAAGTTAGTTACAATAATAAAGATGTATTAATTTAAATATTTATATTTAGGTATTTACATAAAATGTAATGTGATAAAATTTAATCAGATATAAATTATAATGATTCTCCTATCAAATAAATACCAGCCTATTAACTTTTAGTACCTAGATAAGTTAATTATGTTGATTGTGGAGCTTTCCTTTTAGAATATGCAGAATCATTCTTATCTGATCCAAATTATCTTTTATCAGATTTTGAATCACCTGAAGGCATTTACAAATTGAAACTCTTCCCTAGAACACTTGTTAATAAAAAGAGACTTTTAATGAAATAATTATTAATTGAACTAGTAGAATTAGGCAAAGAATAGGCTCTCATCAATTACAAATAAAGAAGATAAGAAATAATTTAAAGTTGCTGTAAACAATGAATGCATTCTAATATTAGACATAAACGAAGATGAATACGATAAAATAGACCAAGATTTATTCAAAGAGTTCCTGAATCAAAAGAATTCCATTAGTGTGAACACAGATTAGTAAAGATCTATGTTACTGGACTTTTACATGAATCCATAATAAAATTATTATGAATAATGAGAGTGTAAATTTTATCTTTATTATTATCATAATGATTAATTAAAAAATACAACAATACAACTAATATCATCTACTACTACATCATTTTCCTTCCATTATTGCTAAGCTTATTATACTAAATATTATGCTGCCTAATCTTATTATTCATATTTCTCATACACCAACTTTGCCACTTATTAATTTGTCATATATTCCCAAACTCCATCTGATGCAATCACCATAAATAAATCTTACTTTCTTACTTTTGATTCATAAATTGTAGGTTCTGATGTAACTCCCACTGATTACATTTATGTATCTCCAAAACTTCTTGACATAGCTAAACCTGAACCTTACATCTCATCCAACCATACTCTATATGGACCTACTGGTTGTCCATTATGTTATAATTATGCTATTGTTCCTCCTTTCTATTTAATTCTATTCCTCTCCTCTACTACATCTAATCGATGATCCATGCTCAATTAATTTGTTATTAACCCTCCTCTAACTCCCTTACTTACCATCATAGCTCTACTATCTCCTACATTAGCACAGTATACTACTGATTCCTTTTAAAATTCCTATTAAAAATCCCCTAAATCTGCTGGTACTATATTTTGTTACAGTAACATCACTATATTACATGTACATCCACTTCTACTTATTGGTAGAGAACTCTATTCTAATAGACTGGATGTTTTAGCAAATGCACCTTTTATTACTGTCTTATGCAATTAAGTGTTGTATTATAACATATATTGATTTCTTTGCATTCCTTATTCAATCTATTGTATTAAGGTATTCAAAACATAGTTAGACACCAAATGACCTGAAGATCCATGACCATCACAAACGATAAACAACTAATAATTGTTCAAGTTTTAAACTAAAATAGCATCTTAATTATGTTTCTAACATGCTAAGGATTAAATACTTTCTATTCTCCCCCCACTATACCAGTTTCACTATGCCATACACAATACACTTTCTCCATTTCTAATAGATAACTCTAACTTAAGGGTGATCCCATTGATTGCATTTTTAATAGAGGTATTTCACTTCTCTAAGAAATTTGAGAAGTGTTTTTTTAGATTTTAGGCAAAGATGCCCTAGGTTTTAAAGTAAGCAAAGAAGTGTGTGTAATTTGTGTTTTCAAATGTTCTCTATGAGGATTGAAACGACTCACTTTGAATTTTGGAGAACTAATTGAATTTGGTTGCATAAATATAATTATATATTCAAGATATTTAATAATACATCTCTTTTTTTTCTGTTGTTTGACTCATAATAATTAATAAATGTTAGTTAATTAAATGAAATGTATGTTTTGTGAAAAACTACGAAATGATGGATCATTTCACCTTATACTCAAGAGAGCCTTGTATTGCAAATACTCTCAATCATAAAACTTTTTTTATGAAAAACACATAAATGACATAATTGAAGATCGATGTGTGAAATGCAACATCCATTATAAAGATCATTTGAACTTTAATGATTAAAATGAGTACATGCGGAGGTATATACCCTCAACCAACTGATCTAGATATTATCGTTTTTTCGAAAGTGAAGATCGATTGCCAGCCTTACTTGAATACTATAAATATCATATCAATATACCTAGAAATTTCTGTTCAATTATAATTAAGAAAAAAGAATGGAAAGAAATAGAGAACTATAATATTGTAAAATTAAACAACAATTAGGTCTCTATTAAAATATCAAATAAGATTCTTCATAGAAAATCAAAGATACCTCTGAGGATCAATCTGTAAGTTAAATGAAAAACTTATTAAAAGATTTAAAAATTGAATCAACTCAAACTAACATTTCTACAAATTCCACTATTTTAAAAGATCTTGTTAAAATGATTGGAAACAATGTTCAAAAATCTTAACCATTTCAAATACTCAATTATAATAAAATCATTCAAAAAAAAATCAATCCTGTCATTGAAGCCTAAAAACTAAAATATAAATAAATTGAAACTAATCTAATTTAAGTAAAAGAAAATAAAATTAAAATTATTAAATCCCCTCCTAAAACAGAACGTAATATAAGATCTCCTTAATTATCTAGATAATCATCAAATACAAAAATTAAAATAGAAAATCAAACTACAAAACAACCTCCTTAATTAAAATCTAGATAAGCATCATTAGGTAATATTGAATTAACAAAGTCTTGTTAAAATACTGCTAGAAATAATATTTAATAAAATGAAATATTATTAGAATTAGCAAAAAAAGTATTCTCAACTAAAATTGCATTTAATAATAATTTATTAACCAAAAAGAAACCAATTCCATATTAAACTAATAATTTTTTTGTTAAAGGTAGAATTAATTTATAATTCAATATCAAAAATGTGGAAGAAATTAAAAGTTTAACTATTCGACACAAGACTCCAAGTTAATTAATAAAATCACATTAAGGAACTCCAAATTATAAAAAGAAATAATTATGAACTTTAACTAATAGTTATATATTCATTTTTTTTATTTAAATTAAATATTCTAAGTTTAAGGATGTTTTTTATGTTGATATAATTAATTTTAATTTTGTAGCTGTTATGAACAATCAATAAATTCAAAGTCCTCAAATTTTCAATACTCACTATCTGAGAACAGATTATAAGGGAAAAACATAACCTTTAATTGTCAATTTAAATTAATCTAGATAAAGTTCAAAGGCACTTTCTGTGGATAGGGGTAAACGATTCATAAAAATTAGTCTTTTTTAGTAAAACTTAAGTAAGCAAATGAGAATGTGGAGTAACTTATAGATCTATGGCAAAGACATAAATCGATAACACAATGCACTCCAACTCATATATCATAATCATTTCATTATCATTCTACTACATAGAAAAATGAGAGTTTTGTGATTGGTATATATTTATATAATTAAATCTTAGAGGAAATACCAGAAACAAGAGAAGTAAGTCCATTGAAACCAGAAGAAATAATAATAAAACCTAGATAATTATTTGAGATTAATTAATCAACATCTAAGTTACCTTAAACTAATCAATAATACTAAACTCACAAGAAAACAAGTTCTTTATATGTTGGTGCTTTATCAAGTAGAAATATATATCAATTAAATATTTAGAGAGTGATGCTTTTTCAGGTACTAAAAAGGTAGCTAAAGAAAATATCAAAATATCAAATAATGGAGTATCTAGCAATAAAAAATCATAATTTAATTCATCTTCTAAAAAATTACCTAAAGAGCTTTAATCTATAATTTTATCATTATAATCAATTTAAAAGTCTTTAATACCTTATTATTAAAAATAAGATAAAGGTAAGAAAACAGAAATAGATGAATAATTTAATATTTTGATAAATCAAATCAAGAGCGATTTCACAAAATGAATGATACTTATAATACTTTATTTATTTTTGTATAAATTTAATTTATATAATAATATATATATATATAAAATGAGTTTATAATTTTAATTTAATCATGTAAAGATAATATATATTAATAATTGTATTTTCTATTTGATTAATTTAGCTTTGTTATTTACATTTTTTCAATAAAAGTATTTGTAAAAATGCATTTACGTATAAAATTTATATAATTAAAATTAATTAACAATATGAGTTAGAAATTTAAATTCGTAGAGCAATCCAAAACTTTACCATTAATAGTTAGATAGCCAATTGCTGTTATGAATCTTAATCTGTATAAGAAATATTAGCATTCTTAAAATTATTATTACATTAGAGAAATTAATGAAATATTAAGTGATGCATCTACAAAACATGTAATTCATTTCAAAGATTGGCTGACTATGGATGAAGAAGTATCTTAATTGATGCATAACAATAGGATGAATACTTCAAGCGGTTTTATAAGATAGAGGAATATCCATAAAAAATTGGATTACTTACAGAGTATTACAAAGTATGGTATTCGAATTGAAATAGTTCCATGCAGATATTGCTAGAATATTTTAAGAGCCAGTGTGCACTGTTTTAAATAAATATTATGATAAGAAACGAAAGTATGATTATTTTCGGATAGCTAAAATCATTGAAGAAGAGAATAAACTAAATCCATAAAAACCACCTAAAGGTATAGTAGGTGATAGACCATCTCCAGCAAATTCATAAGAATCTTTACCTCAAGAACAAGAAGAAGGTGAAAATGAAGTTGTGCATACTTAAGTTCTGAAAGAAATAAGTTGGTTAAAAGTAAAAAATTATTAACTATAAAAACTACTTAGAATTAAAAGACCTTAAACAAAGATGCATCACATACAATTAATCAGATACTTAAGCATCTCGAATATTCTGCAAACCTGTCTTCATTCTCGATTGCTCCTATACCTAAGAAAGATAAGATTAGTTTGGATAATTTCTTACTTTATATTGGAACCAAATTTAATAAAAAATAAAAAACATCCCCCAATCCCAATAAATAATCTTAAGAACAAAGGATTTAGGATTTAATTTTAAAACAAAAAGCTAAAATGCAATAGAAAGGATAACCTAGTTATAGTTTACATAAAAAGAGTGATACAAAATACAGTATAGGTTCAACTGAGAAGAAAATAACCTTCGTCAAAGATCAATGTAATAATTTATCCAAAAAATCAAACAGATAAGCATCAACTGATATAATTGAAAGTCTAACAAAATTAGATACTAAACCATAAGAGTAAATTAAAAATAAATCTAAAATTACAGTAGCTAAAAATCAATTAAAAATAAATAAGATTATACGTGATGTTAATCAAAATAATACACCTACACCTTCTTTACATAAGGTTTCTATTAGTTCTACTCATCTAAAAACATAATAACCATAAATTATCCAATAAAATAATAATCTTAAATTGAATTCTTTAGCTAAGTTATTAATTGAAGATACATATAATGATCATTAACATAATAAATTAAAATAAGGTGCTATTACTCATAGACCATTATCAGGAACCAATACATTATTTACTTCTTATTCTAATAGAAATAGTCCATCTATTAATTATAAAAAATCCAATCTTCAAAATTCTAAACCAGAAAAAAAGAAAGGTAAATCAATTAATTCAACTTAATAATCATAATAATTTGGTTAATTAGCTAAGACTTTATTCAAAAAAGTCTTGAATTCTAAAAAGTCAAAACCAATTAATCATATTAAATAGAGTTCAAATCATATATTTAATTAATTTGATAAATTAAAAATTAATTGTAATTCTCAATAATAATATAATGATTTTAGTGAAAAAAAACAACATAAAAAGAATAAGTCAGATGGAAAAGCATTATACAATAAATTATCTATACCAGATATAGGATGCTTGACAGAAAGACATGATAAAGAATCTCCATTATTAAACTTTCATAGTAATAACAGCCATAGTTCACCTTAAACACAACATTTTAGAAGACTTCATAGTGAAAAATAAGAATCAATTTCAAAAAATATAAAAGGATTAATGATATAATAAATGTTGAAACAACAGGCTAAATAAAATTAGTAGAATTAATAAAAATAAGAACTTCGTTCTATTATTAAAACTTCTTAGAAAAAATTTTGATCATTTATTCTATTACCTTATTTAATTATTCTATCGATATTTAAGTAATCATTATTTTAGATCTAATATAAATAGAGCAAACATAAAAATCAATCTTAAATAACAAAGCATTCCATTTTACATTATTTTCGAAAAGTTGCTTATGCTAGAGTCGAAGCTTTTAATTCATTATACAAATTGAATCGCTTAGCTTATTTTACATAATTTTATGTAAGGAAATTCATTTCAATAGAAGTGTTTCTTCTTAAAAAATCTCCAATTAAAGTAATAGGATTTTAGTTTTATTCTTCACTATTAATACTTTTAAAGTAATCCAATAACAATTTCTTAGTTTAATACAACCACAATAATATATTATTTTTATCTTCTTCTTCATCTACAATGTTTCTTTAAGATTATTCTAAATTACTATAAATAAATGAAAATTATATACAGATTTTTAAATATAGAATTTTAAATTTCATCCTCTATTTCCATTTAAATCATTTAAGAAATAATTGAATGTAATTCTAAATTCATTATATTCAATGATTTTTTATAATTAAAAGAATCCTTCTAATTGCAATGAAGTATGCTAATTTCATATAGCAATTTAGAATCAATAGATTTCTACTTTTATAAATGAATTAAATAGACTTAAACAGAAACCTATTACTAAACAATTGGAATTTAATAAAAGAACTATTCAATTGGTAAATTGTCTGAATTTATATCTGTATCAATTGATCCAAAGTAAATCAATTCTCTAATTTATGATTTCCCAAAATTAGAAATAATTTACTTCATTTTAATTCCTCCTCCTCCAAATAATTTAGATTTTTGTATACAATATATACCATCTACAGCATATCCACAATCTATTAAGTATGATTACCAAGTGGATCCTCTTAATCCGCACTCAAATAGGAATATAATATAAAAATTTTTTGACAATCTTTATGTTATTCATGTTATATATACAATTGCAATATTGATTTGAGATCTTTTTGTAGGACACATGAACAAAAGGAATTATCACATTATTAACCAAATAACTTAGAACATAATTTGATTTCACTTGATTATTCCCAAAAAGACTTCCTTTTTCCCAAAATTAAATCTATAAATTTATTTCATTATAATACTATCAAAGTTGATAATAAGTATTTTATCAATAGTGTCTAATCTTTAAGAGGAATATAAACATTTTAAAGTTACTCCTTTATTTAATTGATCATATATTTGATATCTTGAGTTAATAGTAATTATATGATCAATATTTTCAGACTTACTAAAAAAGGGTTTATAGATTGATTCCTTCATTTTTGTTTAAATAAGTTTCCTAGGAGTTTCAATAGGTGAATAAATTCTAGGTAATAGTAAATCATCTTAATTTAAATCAAGATGATCATCTTTCTTTTCATTTCTTCTTTTAAGTTATGCACTTTTAGTGATTGTTATTTATTTTTCTTCTTTTTGAGTTTCTTACCTTTCCTATGGTTTAAGGATTCTAATTTGAAATCCCTGAAATGTTGAGCTATAATCCAAAGACTACTTAGTCTCTTAAATAGTATTGTATTTTCTGCTGGAATTTGGAGAACCTCTTAAAATGTTGAATCTGCTAGCATTCTCAATATCTGGAAATTTGTATTGTCTATGAACCTAATTTTTTGATTTGAGTTTGTGATTTGAATGATATTGATCATCATATAGTGATTAATTCAGCAAACTAATCATTTTGATTATCTAATTTAATAACATTCATTGTAAACATGAATTGTTAAAATAATACTATTACTTATAATGGAAATAAAGTCTATAAAGTTTTAGCAAATGATTACATAATAACTAATTACAAAAAAATAAATATTTATCAAAACTTATTTCACTTTTATGGATGATAGATAAACAAACTATCCCTCGAATGATTTTATAATTACTGATCATATTATGGTAGTTCTGAATTTAAGAGTATCTCCTAACTTTAAAATGTTAAAAGATGTTTTTATTGATTTTCATCTGTGATTACTGGTTGTAATGTATCTGTATCATTTATCTAACCAGATCCTCTAAAAATACTTATTTCATTTAAGAAAGAATGTCCACTCAATTAAAGCCTTTATAATTATAATCATAATAATACTCATTTGCGTTTTATTCATCTGATTCAGTATTTTCAGTATATTCTTTACTTCTTCTATTAACCTTCTTAATAAGACATTTAGAATGAGATTCCCATGCTTTGAAAGCAATGAGAACATTCAAATAATCATGTAGTATATTAAAATTAGTTCTAAGATCAACTAAACAAATATTTGCTCGTTTAATGAATAGATTTCTTCGATAATTCATTAATTTCATTTGCATTTCTTTATTATATTATTTAATCTATTTTATAGCATTTTTACTCCCAGTTTTAAAAATATCATTATAAAAGCATGTTCTAAATAATTCATAAATTAATTAATTATATTGAATATATCCATGATGATCACTTAAATAAATAAAGATTAATGATACCATTTCAATTTAAATGCAGATGCTTATTTAGCAGCATCCCAAAGATTTTCTTCTTTTCCTCTACCCAAAGGAGATCCAAGATCTAATAGAAATCTACAAAGAAATTTGTAATGCATAGCTTTACCTTATGTTTCTGGAGAATATCTATTTTAATATATTTATATAATAATACTTGCACCAAATAGTTTTAATTCTATCTTCATTTTCTACATAAGTTTGTATAATTGAATTTTAAACTTAAAAAAATGACTCAAATTATTCAATCAATCCTAAAACAAATAAGTTTAAAAAAACATAATTGGATAATAACATAAATAGAAAAAAGTATATTTAACTATAAGTAGAACCACAATAAGATGAATCTGTTGAACAATTTGGATTATGATGCATAGTATCAGTCATGATAGTTCTCCAATCATCACCAGATGCACATTTAAATAATGTAAGCATAGCTTAAGCAATATTATGAAAATTAATTTGATCATCCATAACCTATCCTTAATCTATTTATCCATATAATTAACATCCAAATAAAGCAAAGACTAACATTGTATCAATTAAAATAAAGAATATTTTACCTAAAAATGGGAGTGCATAAACCATAACTCTCATGAGTCTCTAAATATTGATTAAACCTTAAAAAATGAGGATCAATCTTAAACTTCTCAATGCAAAACACAATCTATAGATTCTATAATATTAGGTCAAAGGACTAGAATAATAATAGATTTCAACCCAATTATATTTTAGATCAATAACAAGATCTGTGATTGCAAAGAGATTTAAGATGAATAGAAATTGTCTCCAATAATTATCAAAGAATCTAAACAATCCTAAAGCCAAATATTGCAACATACTCCAGATTGTAAAGAAAATTGAAAATGCATGATGAATGTAATTAATAATTTCAAGATATTCAATATTCATACCAAAATGAAAAATGATATTATTAACTACATCCAATAAAAGTATTAGCAAAAAGAAAGATTGCATTATGGAATTATTCATTATGATTGATGCTAATCTTCTAATGACATTATCTGGAGGTGTAGAAAATACAGGAATATCTTTGGTGATGATTTCAGATATTTCAATAAATTCCTTTTAATTTTAATTGTATTCTCCTTATTCAATTTTTCTTTGATTTGCTTTCAAATTAGAGAATAATACACCTGTGAAAAGACTCAAAAAAAACATAGATCCAATAAAACAAAATGTAATAAAAAAGACATAAGTGTGTATGTAACTATTAAAAGGTACTGGCCCAACATTTTTATTGTCACTATTTTGTGCAATTTAGAGCATCTCACCCCAACCATCAAAAGTTGATACAGTAAATAATGTTGGAATAGCCATTGTGATATTATCAAAGTTATGTTTAAAATTAACCCATGTTCTATTTTATGAAATACATTCTTCATAATTTACTCTAAATTACATTTTATCTTCACAAAATCCAAATTATCCTTCATATAATATGATTCCATATACACCAAATATTATCCATACAGAAAAAAGTGTTAATAATACATTTAATATATCAACCAATGATTGATAAAGTGCTGAACTTAAAACATTCAAAAATTTAATTCTATTCAAAAGATTGAATGGTCTAAAATAACCAAAGTAAAGTAAAATCTAAAAAATAGGTTTTACATAATAATCTTTATCATATTAGAAAAAGAAGGATACTATATAAAATACATCTACAATCTACCAAATTGAATTAAAATGTGAACCTATATCTAAAAATAATCCTTTAGCTATTACATTAATTATATATTCAATTCCCAAAATAATATTTAAATAAAATAAGAATTCTTGAGGATACATTTCTTTGTTTTCTTCATAATCATTATAAGTTTGTATAATTAAAATAATTATTGATAATGATAAAGATGTATCATTAATTAATTTGTAAATTTTAGATCTTGCAATCATCATACATATCATTCTAAAATGATTAGTTTTACTAAATAGAAATAATGATTATTCACATTATATTTTATCATAAAGTTCAGGTGAAGCATCTAATATTTTTTAATTAATTTATCTTATTGAATTAATTAGATGTTGAATTAAAGCAGTCTTTTTTTTACTTTTACGATTTTTTATTTAATCTGGTTGAGTAATTTAATTAATTTCCATAAATTATAATTATGTATTTTATGTATCTTATTATATATCATTATTAGAAGAATGCATTTTAGATTGTTCTGTATTTTCTATTTCTGAAAATATCTATCTATCTAAATATTTACTAAATCCATCCAATAAAATAGCAAGTACTAATCCATATGTTAAATAATTAAGTACAATTACCATTGAGTATGAATATAATGTTCCAAATGTTTCATTTATTCCAGTACCCAAAACAAATACTCCATACCAATCATCATTTGTCATAATATTAAAGACAGTCATAAAAGATTTTAGAACATTGTCATAAGAATGTAATTATCCTAATACATCATTTTAATCAAATTCTCCTGCATATACTTCCATACCAACTAAAGCATATAAAAATATAACAATAAACATCAAAAATGTCAAATAGATATAAGATTTAAATGTTTTTGATGCTATATGACCAATAGTCACTGCCATACTATTATATTTTAAACATCTATAGAATAATAAACATTTAGTTCCTCTAATCAATCTCAAATTTTATTCAGTTAATTTAGTCATGTAATCACTCATAGTAAATTCAATAAAGTTTAAGATAACAATTAATGTCTAAAGAATACTCTCATTATTATTAGATAATTCTTTAAAAGAAATACTACAATATCGAAGAAATGTCTCTATAGATAACAATATAGTAGTTATATCTTCTACTTTCGAGATGATTTAAGCATCAGCTATTCCATATAATGCTAAAAATGTGAAGTTAATGAATATTAGTAGATCCAATGTAATTTCAGTAAATTTACTAGAAACTACTATATTTACATATTTCCTAAAGATTTGTAATATTCCAGATAATCCTTTTATCCAAACAATGAAATCAGTTTTATTTAATGTCACAAGTACATTTTTAAAGTTAAAGGAGGAATATTTAGTTTCAAGTACTTCATTACCTGACCAATTTTAATCAATGATTCTTTTTTTTTTAATTTCCTTTATTCTTATATTTTTATATTCAAGATCAAAGTTTAGATTGTTTATTTTATCTTTTTCAATTTTTTATTTTATTTTAAATGCAATTTTATCATAATTCAAATAATACCCTTAAATAAATAGATAAGTAACATTTGATTTTTTAATAGCAAATGGAATTGAATGTTTAGATTTTATCATCAATTTATTAAATCCTTTTAAATTCTTCTTTTCATTTCGGATGTAAATTGTATGAGCAACATGTGAGCGTTAAGATTCTACATCTTTAAATATTTATTTCTTTTTTGCTCTGTAACTTTTTTTGATTGGACATTTAAAACTATGCTTAATGTTTTTGGATCTGAATATTTATTAGTTATGTGGAACCAAGTATTCGAAGGAACAATAATATTTGGTATAATCGATAAGCTTCTCATCAATATTTTACTTGGAAATTCTAATGTTTCTATTTTGATATAGAAAGTATATTAATACGCAAAGGATGGTAACACATCTTCTAAACTTGTATATTTTTGATATTATTTTGGATTGACTTATTTTGATAATTAGGCGAATTCAAATTTGGTTAGATCTTCCAAAATTTTAAGTTAATCTTCGTCATCAGTATAATTCTTAAGATTAATTTATTTTTGTTGCTTACTGAGACATTTGAATTTGGATAACAAAATATTTTTAAATGTCAATTCTCTTAAATATTCAAATAATTAATCAAAACAATTATTCTATGAAATCAATCATAATATTTTACAGTTGTATTATTGTTAAGTCTCTATTTGGCTGATAGCAATCTCGGTTAAGTAAAATTTTTAATTTGAAAATCTTCTAATCTATATTATATTATTTTCTTTGATTGATTAAGTAATTTATAATATTATTAAAATGTCTTATGAAATCCAATTTATCGCAGCATTGCTACATCAAAAATATCAGTTACATCTCTATTTTAATCTGAATTCTCTTCTAATAATGTTTTATTTATTTCTTAATGTTCTTATTATTAAAAAAATTATTCTGTTGCTTCTGCATAATGAGTTTTTAATACAGCTATAACCAAATTAAAACTAAAAAACCCACATATAAAAATTATCAACAAATAATATATCCATATCCAAGGATTGAATATTCTTATTGTAAAAAACATCACCCAACTCCAATCATCCATTGTAATTGTTCTCAAAATTTAACCATATGAATAAATTATATTGTTAAAAGATGTTGGCAACTTTATTGTCTAATCAACAAATTTACATTCCATTCCATTAGGACAATCATCTACATTACATTGAATCCAAACATCTCCAATATCTTCATTTATAGGAACACATCTATAATTAAACAATCCCTAAAATAAGAATACTCCAGTCAAAGCAAAAAATAATGAAAACAATCCTACTATTGCCAAAGCCTCCAATATATATCGAATTGATTATCTTAATGCTGTTAACATAACTCTTAAACCATCAAAAATATCACCCAAATATTATAATAATGTAATAATTCGAAGAGGCGATAGATCTATTATCACAATATCTGGTCTATATAAATTAATTGCTGATAACATCACAATTGAAAAATCAAATATATTTGAAAAATTAACAAAATAAGCATGTTTTGAAAAGAAAAGTCCTTATGATATTATACGTAATCCAATTTCAGTAAAAAATAGTATTGTGATAATCTATTGGATTTGATCAGTATCCTAACGATGTTAAGTTTTCACAATTGCATAAAGAGTAATATTGAAGAGAATTAATACTGTCATTATTAATTAAAATGCTATTGAATTTATAATAGTCTTTGCTATTATAGGAATGATAAAAGAGATATAAACAATGATCTTACGAACATTAAGCAATACATATGGATCGTTATAATTCTAAATATATAAATAAGACTACTTGAAGTTCATGTTTGATTCTTTAATATCCATGTAATTCAACTAATTTAATATAATATGGATCTATATTGTAATTTCGAATGTAATGTTTGTTATATTTACGTAGAATATCTTAATCTATGTCAATATCTATAATTGGTTTTTATTCAACGATAATCTAATCACTTTGATCACCATAACATTTTTTTTATTTGAGTAGATCTGTTCTACATCGTATTCTAATCTCATGTTCAATTAATTGAATTAAAGGAATTGGTTATTCAAATTCAAGTTTGTTTTCAAATTCATCTTGAGAATATCTTTTACTTCTATTTTCTCGATCAGAAATACTAGCCTATGATAATAAAGGATTCTAAAGACCAAGAAAACTACTTTTATCAGATATATTAAGTGAGTGCTTGAATTATGAATGATTAGAATTAAACCGATCAGAATTCTAAAATAGATTATTAGGTTCCACTTCTTCACTTTCTCTCTTTTTTATTCTTAATGTATTACTACTATCACTCTTCTTTTTCTCATGTTTTCTATCAATCATTATATAAAATAATAATAATATATAATCTGTTTCTTCTTTATTGTAACACAATTTTATTTAATTCAAGATAATCATACACATAAATATATATAATATATATAAAATATCAAGCAAAAAAATACACACTTTATTTGACTTTCTCTAAATCAAATTATCCTCTTTCTGGAATTGGAGGAAACTCTAAATGAGGAAATCTTCTCTAAAATGAATCTCTCAAATCTTCCAAAAGTGGTTGAGAGTGTAATCTTACAAATTGATCTCTCAATAATTCATTTAATTTGTCAACATGACAAGCATGAGTCCAATAACTATCATGCACTGCAGCAAATGTTATTCCTCTAATCATAATTAATCATAATATAATACTATTTTAGACATTCAATAGATGAATACATAAGATGTGTTGAATCTAAAGAATGAATAAAGTTTGGTGGAAATGCAGATCTCTATTTAACCTTGTTTATTGGCAACTAAATTTATAATATATAATATTTTACATTAGCAGCATCTGCTTCAATTGATACATTACTTATCAATGTTTTTACTTCATCATATTTATTTAAAGAACGATAAGGTTAAATAACAGGTAGACCAAGTGGAGTAATCCAACTAACTGGTTGATTTTCATTTGATATTATAGTAGCACATTTAATTAACCATTATTTTATTTTATGAGCTCCTTCAAATAAGTCTTTAATTGCATCTAATGTAATTCTAGCTAAATAAATTGAAGCTTAGTATTATAAATGATCATCATCTCCAATAATTCCTTTATCTTTCAATTATCTATGTATTTATTCTCTTGCACCTATAAAAGTAACACCATAAACTGATGTCATAACTGTCTATTTAACTATCTTCCTTTTTATTTGATTCTATAATTTTAATGCTATTATATGATCTTTGCTTAAAGGATCCTTAGCATCAAATTCTACTCTCCTCTCCACCATACCAGCCACATGTGTGTATACATCTCCTGGTTTAGAAGTGTTAGCTAAATTCACTTAGGTAGCACCTTCAACATCTCTACCTAAAGCAGCATAATGTTGTAGACCATTACATGATCCATCTTAATGAACATGCAAATGAGATACATACTCTTCTGGATTTGGTGACTTTATAGCTGCCACATAATCAAACATAGCAGCCAAACTCTACCAGGCATCTTCTAATTATGCCCAATCTTAATATTTTATGGGATCCTCTGCACATTTAATTATTGAATCAATATTCTAATCAACATAATCTTCTCTATCAGCCATTGATAACTTATCTTTACCCATCTTATTTGCTAAATGAATTTTTAACCATCTCAATCCACTCTTACCAAGTTTCTTCCCTTCAGAAAATTCCAATAAACCTCTAGCAATATCTGGACCCATATGATTAAGATGAGGAGGTATTGGATACAATCTACCTCTGAAATCCATATTATGTGGAAAGTAAATCTTAGAGCATCCATTGAAAGCCAAAGCAACACCTAATTTCAATGTAAAATCACACTGTAATGAATAAAGATCTCTTTGTGATTATATCTTTTTTAACAATTAATATTTCTCTTCATAAGACTTACACTCTTTTATTTGATGTTCAAAAACATAAGTCTTATCATGTTGTCTTTTTGGTACTTCAGCTATACCTCCACCCTACTCCCATACTTACATAGCTATATTCAAAACTTTATTATTAACTCTCCAAGCCACCTTACTAATGTTATCTAAAATATCATATAAATTTTAAAGATTAGCTCTCTTTGCTGCATCCTCCTACAAAGATTAATCTTAAATCCTAATTAAATTAGTAGGTTTTAAATAATAACCACCTATTTAAGTATCCATCCATTTGGCTGGAGGATATATCATTGGCAATGCTCTATCTAAATGCATAAAATAAGAATTGTCCTTATGCATTCCAGCTGATAGATGATGCAAGAATAATTAATTCACATTGAATATTGCTACTTCAATATCCTATTTTACTTTCTTATATCCTTAGACTAACACAGGTACCCAAAAATTGTTCTCATTTCTGAATTTAATTGAATCAACCAAGAAATGTACTAATACCATACCAATTTAAGATGCAATATCTTTTGGCATAGCTTAACCATATTTAGCTAAATAAATTCGATTATTTCTAATTCTCTCTCTTAACTTCTCTTCTTAAGTTTTCAACAATTTTCCAGCCTTCACTACTGCTTACTTATAGAATAGTTCTTTCTAATTTTAAATCTCTTCCTCTGATTAATCTTAAGGTATAGTTCCTTCTTCGATCATCTTCTAAATATCTTCTTTGCTTTTCCTTCTTAGATTCTTCTATTCTTCTTCATACAAATGCTACTTCATTATTTACTCTCCAATTCTATTTGCCAAACGAGTAACTCTTATTTAGTAACAATTTAAGGTGGTTTTCTCTTCATGAAATAAAACTGCTGCTTCAATGAATTCCTTCATCAATTCAGATAAGGCAATAATTGCTAATTTTTCACTCTAAATTGCTGTGATATATTGATGGTATCCTTGTTGTTCTTTATTAGGATCACTAAAGCATTGGATTTACTCCTACTAAACTAAAGCACATAACTTAGGAAACCATTCAACAATATATTTCTAAGCAGCAAACAAATGTTGTGCCTTAGACATTCTCTATAAATCATCAAAAACCTACTAGAATTTGTCAAGTGCCAATTCATTAGATACCTATTCAATAATTAATTGTCTTTCAAATAGATTTCTTGGATTCTCATTATCTGGATGTTTAATACCATTAAGTGGCAACTTATATTGTTTACCTATATTGAATAAGGATTTCCTGAGATTCTCATTCAATAGATCAACATCTTAAGTAATTTCAATTTCTCTCTAAATAATATTAAATGTTAGTGGGTGTATGTCTCCAGTCAAAAAACCAATGTTTAATTTGTCTGCAAAATCAACTATTAAAATCACCATTTCATAAATCTATTCAGCAATTGATTATGAATCTTGACCCTAAAAAATAGTGCCTTTTATTAATTAAGGGTTCTTGAGCACTTCCTCTATTTTAGGTATTATTCGCTTGTAGTTTTCTTGAAGAGGAAAGAAATGATTGGTGATTATATTGCAACTTTGTTCTATGAGTTCATGTGGTAATTGATTGATAATTTTACATGATTCTGATACTTCTAAGAGTTAGGATTTCTGTCTGTAAACTTGAGGAAATGATGTTGTTGTAGATGTTGAAATAGAGGCTCTGCAAAAAGTATTTCTTAAGGCTCTAATTATAATCATAATTAAATATGAATTTATTTAACAGGTTTAAAACATTCATTAAACAGAACAAATAGTAAATTTAATTATACTCTTCAATTTTGCAATTAGAAATCATTATAAATTAGAATAAGAATAGATGATAACTATTCTTATTTGTATTTAATAAATAATTTATGCAAAAACAGTAAGCTCTTGCTGTTGTTCGTATTCCTTCTGGGATTACGAAATAGCCATTTAAATCAACTAGCATCACTAACTAAGCACCTCTTCAAAGAGTCAACTCTGCAGGATTTATGAATGCAAGCAGACAATCTTATCAATATTAGAAACCTGCTACACCATTCTACTAAACCCATAATTATAGGTAGGATTGGAAAAATTATATACACTCATTCCCTCGAGTACCAAGAATCAAAATTTTGGCTCCAGGTACTGGTTATGATGCAAAAATGATTAAATGATATTATTGTATTAATATTATAATAATTCACATATTTTTTTCAAATTATACTATAATGAGATTTGATTTTCAATTAATTGTGTTTATTTAACAAATATTGTTTAATTTTATCATTAATTTTATTTATCTAGTAAATGGGAAACAATAATGTCTGCTTAGGAGAAATGTAAAACAATCCAACTCGTTAAGGATCTCCAGAAACTAAATGGAAAAGAGAAGATCTAAAATCAGGTTCTTGTGTCTAATCTTTAATGGATAAGGAAAATGCTAACTTTTTTAAAATGGTATAATGTGGACCTGCAATACCTCATTATAAGAATGAACATTCAAATTAAAGATGGGCTAAAGCTATTGCCACCTTAAATAATACTGATGATATCTAAACAACAATTAACCTCTTATGCAATAAACCTGAATTTGAAGAACTAGTACTTCTGGGACCACCAAAATAGTATAGATGGGAAACTTGGAAAGCTCTTCTTACTAATGGTTAAATTCAATTATCATATGAAAAATATTTGGAATATAAACCAATTGATGAGAAAAATATATTAAAAGACATAGACAGAACTTTGGTCTAACATGCTCTTTTTAAACATGAGAGTTGTGGTCAAGAATAACTTAAAAGAATTCTATTTGCCATATCAAATGCATTACCAGGAGTTGGTTATTGTTAAGGAATGAATTTTGTATGTGCTTTAGCTTTGATTGTATCTGGTTGTGATGAACATAAGACCTTTTAATGTTTTATGTAAATGTTAACAAATGAAAAACATTTGCTTTGCTTTAATTTTTGTCATGATATGCCACTACATTTCTTTTTTATTAAATTGATACATTATTTAATTCGTAGAAAATTTCCAAAACTAAATCTTAAAAATGTGAATGATTCACTTTGGCTCAGCAAAATGATTTTATCGCTTTTTATATATGTATTTAAATTAGATGATTGTATTCGATGTTGGGATTATCTTATGGTCAGAGGAATGATTCGTGGGATTCCTGAATTAATATTAGGTTTCATTGATGTTACATACAAATAATTAGAATAGTTTAAAGAAGAGGATTATGGTTTTAATTTTTAAGGTTATGAAAGTAGTACAATATAATTCAATGTGGGTGAATTGATATATGCAGCAAAATAAAAACATAATATTGATAGATAATTGATTTCAAGATTAGCAATCTAAATGAAAAGAAATAAACCATCTTAATTATTAGATTTACTGTCACATTTCGAAAACATATAAACATACAAAAAACATGTTTAATTTTATATGAAGACTATATTTGATTTATACTGATATTATATTTATTATATTATGATTTCAATTGATCTACTTTTCATTCAAGTTTCTAACAAATTATACTGGATTGCCTGCCCATAATTATCCTGAAGGAATCAATCTTCCTGGAGGTACAACACTATCTTCAGCTATCTATGAACCTCTTTCAATTTGAGCACCATCAAGTATGAGTGTTCTAGATCCAATAGTAACATTGTCATCAATTATTGAATTATTAATAATGCAACTATCTCCAATGGTAACATTTTAACCTAAAAGATAAAAATTAATAAAAATACATACCAATGGTTACACTTGCCAATACATTTGTAGGAAGTCGAGTTCTAGAACATTGGATTGCTGTATTATCTCCAACCACACTATTTGAACCTATTCTAATGGCTTGATCATCTGCTCTTAAGATAGCTCCATATCCAATTTACACATTCTCTCCAAGGTTCACTTACCCAATCAAACTTGCATTATCTTGTATGTTGGCTGATTCACTTATTCTAGGTTTGTAGTATCCAAATAATGGCATAATCTTTCTATGTCTTGATAATGGCTCTAACCAAGCAATGTCATTGGATAAACGAGACCCATATTGATCAAAATCTATACAGTTTACACATATGCTCACTTACACAACCCAGTCTCTTTAAAAGCACGACCCATCAAGTATCTGAATTCGTAGTAGATGGCACCTAAATATTTTTGCATTATTTTTATTAATGTAAAATATAAATGAAAAATAAATATATTCTTAATATGAAATCTTTAAATAATCATATTTTTGGATGGGGTATATGCACCTTTGATGGAACCTTGACCATCAATTACTTGAAATGTCCAACCTTGGCTTCCCTTGTTGATTTACCAACACTAAATGATGGATATGACTTTTTCTTAGAATTCACTTGTACTCCTACAGCAACCCTTTTTATCTCATTAAGATTACTATTTTGTATCATATGTTTAATTCTTATCCCATCCTTCAAAGATCTTTCCTAATTTTGGTCCTTTTGGCAATGTCCAATGAGGAGCATCCTCCAAATTGCTTGTATTTGCAGGAGGCTTCTACAAATATGCACCTGGCCCCACTATCACTGGAGTTGAACAAGTTGGAGCCAAGGCTGATGCCCCTGGTATGTCTCTCCTATATCCAAATGAATATTGAGCAGGAGTAGGTACTTCTGGTTTAATAGCTGGGTCATATTAAGGGCCAGGAGTTCCCTTTAATCTTTTTTCAGGAGGAAACTTAATAGATTAGAATCATACTCTAGATTCTAATCCAATCTTAACGTTTGGATGCTTGGGTTTTCTAATCAGATCTGCTTCTTAAGGTTCAAACTATCATTATTATTGTTAAAGTTTACATCCACATCCTTCCTTTAATAGTAATCAAATTTGGCTCCTGTGTTTAAAGTATTACGTGCATCAGTTCCGAATTTAGTATTTGCATCTTAAGTATAATAAAAATGATCTCCTCCTCGTACATTATACACAGGTCCAGGACTAGCCTTACCTTTAATCATATTTATAATTCTCTTACCAGCAAAATCTATTCTTGCAAGTTCTTTGTTGTGATAAAGTTTAGCTTGATTAGCACGTTCAGCTGAGCCAAAACTAAAACTAGGCAATGTTTATTTAGTTGATAGTGGCATCTTTCCTATTGAACTAAAGGCTTGCTTATTTTCGAATTCAATTAAATCTGCATAAGCATAAACTTTAGGTTAAGCTTTAACTTCCTCTTTCGTTTCAGCCATTTAAATTAATATTATAAATATAAAAAATCTATAAAGAAGTCTGACACTTCCATTACCATAAAATCATGCTACCATATTAAAGTATCTTGTTGTTTTGCAAATGATTACATATTAATTTGTAAAAAAGTACTTTTCAAAAATATATATAATAAAATGTCAGAGAAATATATAATAAACATTTTTTTTGCATAAAATTTATTTACTAAAGAAATCTGTATTGAATTGGATTGAAAAATATTATCAATTTATTTTAATCACTTATCCTGATCATAATATAAGATTGTCTAATGGTATATTCCAAGGATAATTAAAAAAATTTATGATTATATTATGTGATTAGAAAATAATAATGACATCATTAATAAGAAAAGTTGACAATTCAAAAATTGAAATCTTTCTTAACTCCCATAGATGATGTTGTTGAGAAGAATAAAAATTATGAGACCTTTTTTTAATACTCTTAGGACTCTTAGATCAATAAAAAATAACAAATATTCTTTAATCATTGGAAGACATCTGTTTAGGTGTTCTAATCATCTTAATTTTATACAAAAAAATCTGGGACTCCAATTGCATCAAATACTAATCCACATAATTTCACATTATATTAATCTTATTAGCCTAATAATGATAAATAATAATTACAATCGTAATTGTATGGTCTAATTATTACATCTTTTTTTTTGTCTTCTTTTGTATATCTCTATTATTTTGAGTAGATTGAATTTTCACATGTTAATTGTTCTGCCATTCAACCTTATTTAATTTTAATTTTTAATTATTTGATTACTGGACAAATATATATACCCAAAATTGCATAAATGGAATTAATCAATTTTTGTTACTAATTTATTTTTAGTATGTCCTAGATATAATTGATCTAAGAATTGGAATAGATGAATTTTAATAGAAAGGACAATAAACATAAAAATAAGATGAATAAGAAAATTAATATAAAATAACATATAAAATATAAAATATAACATGAATAATAAAGACTATCATTTTGTTATTAACAGAAATTATTACTAATCTCCTCCTATTGACAGTATAAATACTTAAAAATTTATATAAAAAAATACTTGTCTAAGTAGGTGCTAAATTGTACATGTTTTAAAATGAAGATTCAAATTCTTCAAAATTATTCTATATTTATGCAAATATTAATTTAGGATTGACAGCATTAGCATTTCTCTAACGTAATAATTCACCCATTCTTTACATTTCTATTTTGATTTTAAGATATAATTACTTTTTTCATCATTGATTTACTCTACATCTTCAAAACCCACATCATATTTTAATAAGAATTCTACTTCCTATTTTGTTTCCACTAAATGTATACCTCCTAATTTCTTAAGTTGAATTAAGACATCAGGAGTAGCAGTTTATTATTATGTAAATAAAGCACTTGGAAAATGATCTAAAATTTCAATTCTCAATTTAGCTAAAGACAATGCAATTTTAGCATCTTCATTTGAATCATGTGTATCCTAATAAATTTTAATAAAATTTATATACTTTTTAAATACTTAAATTTAAATATTTATAAGCTAGATTTTTTAATGATAACTTTCTGTTACTTTCTGTCATATAAAGAACACTAGTATCTACACATTTATGATGGATAATCTATAAAGCATTTAAATCATTTTCTAAAGAATGACCTATTAAAATTGAATCTTCATCTAAAATAGATTTAACCATCTTTTATGCTTCTGTTAATGTAACAGTAACATTACTTAACATATCCTCAGTTATACCACTATATCTATATAATAGATTAATATTTTATAATACTTAGTGTTATAATCTAATATTTTTGTTTATGGTTTTACTAATATATCAAGTACAACATTGTAATTATAATCTACTATAGAAACTCTTGCAAGTTCTAATCTATTTTCTGTCTACACCATTTCACAATCCATTGCAAATATATTCATTCTATTTGTTTACACTTCTCCATCTAATTTAACATAATCATGATATATTTTTTCATCTATTGGATAAAAATTTAATTTAAGTTATTCTCTATTTAATATAAAATTTCTATATTAATTGTAAATTAATTCTTCTTATAAAATACTCTATGAAATGAGTTATTATTATTATTGCTTTTATGTTTGAAATACTGGGTCTTCATGATATCTAGTATAAAATAATGATTGCCAAAAGTTTCCCTTCCCTTAATCTAATTCTTTAAAATATACAATCTTGTCTTTTTGACTAAAGGTGGATAAAAACTAAGATGATTCTAAATTTATTCCAAAATTTAAATTCATCACTACACCACATCTAATTAAATGTTTATTCTATTTTATTGAATTACAATCTTTACAGTCACAGTTAGCCATAATGGATTTACTTGATTTTTACAAAATAACCACATTAACAAATTTTATAGAGTTTTTAATTTGAAATACTTTTTTGGTGTTTCGTGATCAATCTTAATCTTAATATTTATTGTACCACACTTATATCAATTTTCTAAGGTAATCTTATTGGATTTGCTGCAGGTGTAACACACACTTTTTTTCCTGCAAATAATCAATAGAAATTACCTATATTCGGTTCATCTGTATTTGTATTTATATCCATTAAACAATTCAATTAAAATTTTATATATATAAATATTTAATGAAAGAATATAAATTATAAAATAAATAAAAAATGATATTATAATCATTCAGTAATCTAAGATAATTAAAAAGAATTAATAGTCATTATTAAATATTCTTAATTCACTTAGAGAATCAAATATATTTATCAAATTTTTTCAATTTATTAAATTTTATTTTAGAACTTTCTAGCTGCGGGATTAAATATAATAATTTTCACCTTCCTGGCAATACATTTAATTATTATTCTATTAATAATATTTCATTATTTACTCCATAATTAAATCATAGTATTTAGTATTTTATGATTAAAACAGGTACTAATTTTCTTCTTTTAATTCAAATTTAAAGCTAAAATCTATTTAGATAAATACTTATAAACCATATATCCATTTTCTTTTTCAACCAAACTAAGTTAATCTAAATCAATTTAATTATCTTCATATTAATTATCATGATGAGATTTAAAAAAAAATGAATTATCTTGCTTTACAAAAGTAGGAAATTCCAGTTTTGCTAATATACTCATACTTTCTGATCCAATTTGATATTTTTAGTAGAAGAATAAAGCATCTTTTTTAATTTAATACAAAATAATGCTAAAAGATGTACCACTTCTAGGTTCCCAATCTTTTCTTTGATCTTGAAAATTTAAGAAAATATCAAATGAACCCTCTTTCCTCACATCATAAAATTCATCGTGAAAATTTTTATTTAATTGCTTATAACATTAAAAGAGATAATCTTTAATTTCTTAAAGTTTATTTTCTTCTTATTTAACTCTATTTATTTATTGGAATTATTAAAGATAGTTTTATAATAACTATGAATATTCAATTATTTTACATTAACCCATCTTATTATTATCTTACAATTTTTAAAAATTTTAATTAATTTATTATAAACCTATATAGGTTTAGTAGTTATCATATCTAAACATTATTATATTTAAAAAAAATCAGCTTATTTATTTAATTTTGATAATTTTACAATTGGATTAATTACTGAATCTTCAAATAATTGATTAAATATTGTATATGGTTAATACTTTTCATTTCCATTATTTATATAATCTAAACAAAGATCTTCAGTGTTATTTTCATTTTACCTTATAATAAAATATTCCAAAAAATGGCTCTTTATGTCATCATGTTTAACCATTTATCTGACCACATAAACTAAAGTCTCGTTTTAATCCTTTAATTTAATCAAATTTTTTATTTCTTTTTAATATAATTATCCTAATCTTTTTTAACTTTCCCAAAATTCTAAATTTTCTTTAGTTTTCTTATTCAATAAATCTTTATAATCAAATTCATTCAATTAAATATTGTTAAATTCTTTTATTAAAGGCTCATCTTTTAAATCCAACTCTATAATAATAATATTATAATTCTAAAATGATGATCATAATACTTATATTAGAGATTCAACTTGAATAATGTCTTTTTATGGTAAGGAATCGAAGTTTTCCTATATTAATTTCTTTAAAGTAATGAAACTATTAGTTTTCGATTGGATTTATTGAACTTCTTTCCTAAATTCAGGACCAAATATTTAAAACTGTGAAAATACTTTTTTCTACTCTAAAATACTTAAAGCAAAACTTAGGAAGTGATCTTTCTAATCCAAATTATATTCCATTTCTCTATTTTCTTGTTGCTTAACCAAATTATATGTTTAATTAAATATTTAATAATTAAAAGTTATACATAAATCATAATGTTTTTAAAAACAAGATCTCGAAGCAATAGAAAAAGAATTAGATTGTGATTCTAACTACTACATCATTTTAATAGCAATAAATATATAAAATAAATTAATTGTTAATATCATTTATTAATTCTTTTTATATTTAACTATAGATACATGAATGGTTGGTGTTTATTAATGAGTTTAAAAATATTAAAGAAACTATTAAATTAATATATGAATTTATTAAACATAATTATATGAATAAAAATTCAAAGAATTATTATTGATTAATTAATAGGAAAAAGGAGATTTTAATATCTTGAATATTGGTTAACATAATATAAAATTAATTTAATAGAAAAGCTCCATTAAGATTAATAGAATAATTGATGAAAGTTCAATTAATTGTTTATTTATATTTGCAATTATTATTAATCTTATTACTTTATTAATATGACTTTTTATTTTTATTCCTCAAAATTGATAATAGTTTTTAAATAAGAAAAACAATAATAAATTTCAAATCTATTTCCAATATATTTTTATATATTAAATTACAAATCTTAATTTTAAATTAAATATCACAGAAAGTAATTGTAATAATACAAAAAGCATAAATGATATTAAATAATAAATAATTATTATATTTACTTTTAGTAGAATATTAAAAGTAAGATTAATATCTTATATAACATTTTTTTTGTCAAATATAATATATTTCAATTAATTTTACTGCTTTTCTATTAAGTATATAATATTCTTATAAGAATAAATACATATTTATTAAATTTTTTGTTTAAAAGAATTTAACCTATAGGATTAAATATCAATAACATTTTTTAAATATTTTAATATAAATAATGAGATTTGGAAGGGTTGGTGCAATATCTGCAATTACTAGGGCTAAAAGATCTGAGTAGTATTTGGCTGGGAAGTCTGATGATATAGAATTGACAGAGAAGTAGCTTAATCGTATTTTATGTTGATAACAAGATAGATGCAGAAAAAATAATGAGAAATATTTCAAAAGATTAAAAATCACTCATTTTATATAGAGTTCCTGTATTGTAATATAATAATCCAAATGACTTAGTATTTGGGGAATAGGAATATTGATAATATTATTATCGCTTTATTTGTTATACAATTTAATTTGGGGATTCGAAGGAAAGGTGTTTAAATAGGGAACCACTTGGTGGTAATACTTTGTATCTTTCATTATAATGGGAATAGGAATCAGTTTTTTAATTGCTATAAAGAGGGAGAAGTTAATATTCAATAAAGAAGTACAAAATAATATATACAAAGAAAGATGAGATAATATTATGTTATAGGAATATTTGTTGTCAAAAGAATGTAATGGAATAGAAAATCTCACATCTAAGTAATATGAGAATGGTTAAGAGAGGGATGGATAGTAATAATATTATGGTTAATTGTTGTAGCAATACAGAATTCTACTTTGCATTATAAGATTGTGCTTTCTTTTAATGATGGATAATTCTTTGAAATATTGGAAGGGAAGAGTGAATACAAAATAAAGGGTTAATTTGTATAGATTGCTTAATATATCAATTATGCTTATTAAGATCTTTAAATTGTAGATGAAACATTTCAAGTGAGATGAATATATATACTTAATTTGTATTTATTAAATTGAATTTCTTATTAAAATGTATTGGAATCATGATCCAGAAGAGGAATTTGAGTTGTTAGAATTAATAGGTGAAGGAGCATATGCAACTGTATACAAGGGGAGACACAAAGAGGATGGATAGATAGTGGCAATTAAAATAATTCCTATGGTTGATGAGATTGAGAATTTAGTGTAGGAAATCAAAATTTTGAAAGTAAGATTTCTCTAATAAGGATTGTTAACATCCTAACATTGTGTCTTTTTTGGGATCTTATTATAAAGATAGTAATCTTTGGTTAATAATGGAATATTGTTCAGGAGGTTCTGTGTTAGGACTTATGGAAGTGATGGAGAGAGGGTTGAATTAGGAAGAGATTAGTGGTATTATGTATTCAACATTATTGGGAATTGAATATCTTCATTAAAATAAGAAAATACATAGAGATATAAAAGCAGGAAATATATTACTTGATCATAAGGGTTAAGTGAAATTGGCAGATTTTGGAGTTGCTGCTTAATTAACATATTCATGTGCAGATAAAGTACATTATATATATATTTATTAAATAAAGGGAACATTTATAGGGACTCCATTTTGGATGAGTCCTGAAGTAATTAGTAAATCTCGTTATAATTAATTGACTGATATTTGGTCATTAGGTGTTACAGCAATAGAATTAGCAGAAGGGACTCCACCTTATTCTCATATTCATCCAGTTAGAGCAATGTTTGCAATCAAGAATAATCCACCAATGGGACTTACTAAACCTGAATTATGGTCTAAGGAATTTAATTAATTTGTTTAAGGTTGTTTAAGAGTGGAAGTAAATGAAAGACCAACTGCATAATAATTATTATAATATACTTTTATTAAATAAGGAAAATTACATTTAAAAAAATTATTAAATTTAGTGGAATAATATTCAAAGTAATTAGAGGAAGCAAGATTAAATAAATTACAAAAAAATGAGAATAGTTAATAATCAATAAAGGATTAGGTTCCATTAACTATAATATCTAATTGTGAATAAATAGATGATGATGATGAGATATCTCATGCTGATTATGGGACTCTTGTTATTAAGGATTAGATGATTTAAATGAAAGAGGAACCTGATTTCTTAAAATGGAATAAAATGGATTAATAAATAAGTGATCATTAAAAGAAGAAAGTAGAACATTAAAAAGAATTAAGTTTAGAAGCACAAATATAAAATATGAATTTAGAAGAGAGAAAGAGACTTAAAAATTAAATTGAATAATAGATGAATGAAGAATTAGAATAAATTAAAAAGAAATATTCTTCTAAATTGGATTTATTAAATATTAAGATTAAGGAAGAGGAGGATAAAAGAAAATAATAATATTAACCTTTAAATTTACCTTTTAGTTTTTAAGTCAGTTAGGAAGTATTGTAATAATTGGCTAATGTTAAGACTCCTTTAATAAAATGTCAATAAGTTAAATAAGCCAAACCTCCTCCATTTGAATTTATACCTAAATAGAAATTATGATTAAAAAATACCCGCTAAATATTCGTTATATATATAAAATTTATTATTAAAAATGGATTAAACTGTTGTTGATTAATTGTCTTTAGATGCCATACCTTACTACTAAGAATAATTGTACGGAGCACTGTCTATAGTATTGGAACTGTAAAATAAAATTGAAGCTGAAAATGAGATGACAGAAAATATTGTCGTTAAAATATAAGATGACAATAAAAATGAAATTTATCAACATGTTTTAGATTTTGATGAAAAAAACATAGATGATGTAATATAAGAGATGAATGAGAAATGTTTATCATAATTAGAAGAAATAGATTAAGAGACATGTAAATAAGATGAATAAATATTTACAATGAATTAAGTATATTGTATTTATTAACTAATTTAGAAAATTGATGAATTGGAAGATATTATTTGTTAATGTATGACTCAAACAAATAAGGATTAAGTTATCTTAAATCAATTAACTAATTTAATTAAGGATAAATAATTACATCTATAAGACATTAATATGGAAATTATGGAATAAGAATAGATTAATAAGCAAAATTAATAATTTATGAAAAGAAGAATGAAATAAGAAAAATAAAAATAATAAGAATTAGATGAGAAGATGTTATTAAAATAAAAGAAATAAGAGTAAAAATAATTATTGAAAGAGAAAAATGCTAAAAATGAAGAACTCTTGATGTTATAATTAATTGAAGAGAAATAAAGATTATAATATGAATTAGATGAATTAGTTAATGGTTAAGAATAGAAGGTTTAATAATTATTGAGTTAAATGGAAACTACAGTAATGGAAGAAGAAGAAGAGGATAAATCTGTTGTTACATCTGTTGTCTTTAGAGAAAGTTCAAATAAATCACATTATGAAAGAAGAGAAATTTAAGAACAACCAAAAAACAGAACATGTTGTGGAGAGTGTACTATTTTCTGATTAGTTAATGTATAATATAAATACTTTATTATTAATAATAAATAATATTGATAACAGAATTATATATATCTACACTAAATTTATTTAACTATAAATCTATATGAATAATAGTTTGTTTTGATCATGAAATAGAAATATAATACCTATTATTTAGATTTAACTATTCTAAATAAATTATTTAATATTACAAATTGAATCAATTATATTATTTATATGCTTTAATCAACAGGTGAAACATCATAAACACAACCATCAATTAATTATGCGACTGTGAAATACTCATTCAAATGTGTTCGTCGTCATTTATTTAAAGATAAAGTCTACTATGTTCATGCTCTACCCAATATGATTACAATAGGTGAAGTATATAAAATAAACCATCATCTTAGCATATTAATGATCCCAATCCTAAATACAAATTAGAACTTAATTTGAAAAATATAATTTATTGGAAACAAGAACATGGTTAGAATCGTGCCTTTGGTATTAAATATAAGTAAGTTTTGAAAAATAAGAATAAATTAGAAAGAATGTAAAGTACTTTGAAGCAACTTCTGAATAATTATAAAAGTTTAGACAAGAAATTAGTTGTTTAATTGGGTTCCATTCCCTTGATGATCATTATAAAATAGATGAACTTATAGGGAAAGGATCATTCTCTTCTGTTTATAAAATATATAGATAACATGACAAAAAAGTATTTGCCATGAAATATGTAACAAGTAAATAAAAGAATGATAAAGAAAATATGGTAAAAATACTTATATATAAAAAGTAATTAGTAGAAAATGAAATTGGAATTCTTCACTCTTTCAATCATGATTCTATACTCAAAATTTATGAAGTATATAGAGTAGAAGAATATCATTATGGAATTATTGTTGAATATTTAGATGGAATAGCATTATCTACATTAATTGAATAACTTAAAAAAAATTAATGCATCATCAAAGAATCAGATATCAAAACTATTCTTTAATCTTTATTAATAGCATTAGCTATTATACATTAAGAATAAGTTATTCATAGAGATATTAAACCATAAAATATAATGATTTCCTAATAACATAATTATCGTGTCAAAATTATTGATTTTGGACTTAGCATTAAGAATTAATTATAATATAATAGATGTGGAACTCCAGGTTATATGGCTCCAGAAATTGTTAATATGAGAAAAGATTAATAGAAAGCTTGGACATCTCTTTGTGATATTTTTAGTCTTGGAGTTGTATTCTTTAAATTGTACTGATATTATTCAATCTAATAGATTATCCAAAGGAATCAGTTGCTTTCAAGGTTAAACATCAGATTAAGTATTAGCCAATAATAAAAAATGTCAAATCGATTGGTCTATAGTTTTATAACATAATTATTCTAAAAATTGCATTGTAAAAAAATCAATTTTATAATTAGTAACTATTAAAAGCAATGTTAGCAAAAGATCCTGAAGAAAGAATAACTGCATATTAAGCATTATAACATCCATTTTTTGGAGATGCCTTTTCAACCATAAGTACTGACTATGTAGGACATTCAATCAGTCTAAAATCTAAATAAATTTTAAATCCAACACTTGAAAAACATAATCTGGATTCCTAAGAAAGTGTTGAAGAAAACTCTGTTTAAAAGTAATAAGTATACAACAGAGATATAAGACCATCTATTATAAGTAGAAGGTAATGATTATATTTTGTTTTTTTTCAAAAACAGACATTGTAGTTATCAATAATAATGCTGATAATTCGCAAGAACTCTTAAAAAGTTATCTATTCATTAGGAAACAATGTAGGATCAATTTATTTGTCTGGCATCAGAACCTTAAAAGCTTTAATACATTCTTCTAATGAAAGATTTCCTTCTCCCTCTGCATCTAAACTATCAAAAGCCTTCTTTGCTAATTTCTAGACTTTTTCTTTCTCTAATTTATTCATTATAAAATTAATAATTAATAAAAAATATATCAAATTATTGGATATTTAACTAGACGCTTTAATTATTCTTCATTCATTTTTTTATTTTATTCAACAATAATTGTTTATTAAAAGAATCTTAAAAAATTCCATTCTATTCCTCCAAAGTCAATATCATAAGCATTTTAATCTAAAAACCATGCAGCATATTTTATAATTTCATATTCCCCTAATAAATATTAGATGAATATAAAATACTATCATTTAATTATTCAAATTATTATGATTTCTTTTCCATATATTTTATAAACATTTATCCATGTGTATAATCTTTTTTCTAAAAATTATAAGTGCCTTCAGGATTATTTTACTTAAATTATTTTAAATGAAATTATGCTTGATATTCATGATTTAATTCCTAATAAATTCTACCTAACATTTTAATTTCTAAATTATTTACTTAACATAAAAGAAGTCTCTTATAAGTTTTTGTCAACTTATTCTATTGCTGTTTAATTTTCTTTTTTATACCAATGTATCATAGCCTTCATTATAGAAGTGATCTATTTTCTTTAAGCTCCCATCTCAGTAGAACAATCTATTAAAATAGCATGATTATAGGCTTCTAATGCTTTCTCAAATTCTAATTAAAAAAAATATAAATTTCCTATGTGGAAACTTACATAATGATTATTAAATTATGAACTCAAATTACTCGCCTTTAAATAACAATCTAAAGATTAATCAAATTAGAAACTTTTAAAATGAGCCTAACCTTTTTATTATATTCATAATATTCTACCTTTATAATAATATGATTTAGCCATTTTTGGATTAATACTTATTGCTGTATTGAAACATTCTAAGGCTTTAATATATTTTAACTCAATATAATAACATTATCCTGATTTTAAATCAAAGATTAACCTTAAAAATGCATAGCCTCAGAATCTTATGGGTTGTTTTAAAATAATTTTTAATATTAAATGGCTCCAAATGTAGTCATACCATTTTATTTTATCACTAGAAAGGAATCTTTTAATGTCAAATTATAATTATTATAATTCTGCATTTCTTTAAGTATTTCAAAAGCCTCTGGAATTTTATTTATTTATAGTAAACAAACAACTTCTGTATATTTTAAGTTTTCTTTTATATATGTATCATCTTTTATTTTTTATATATATCCATAAGCGTCCCAAAAATTACAATCTACCATTAATATAATGCCTATTATATATTCATAATAATAACTTTAAAAAAAATGATTCCATCTATTATCAGGAAATGATAATATTAACTAATTACTAATTTAAGTAACTTCCTAGTTCTTTTTTTACATTTTTAATATAAGGCCTATTATTGTTGAAATACATTATTATTATACCTTTCAAGATATATCCATAAATGACGTTTTCTCTAGTATTAATCAACATCTCCGATTATTTCAAAGCTAATTCTAATTACTATCCTTTTATTAGAGTTAAACCTGAATAATATATGATAAATACATTTGTAAATTTAGGCGATCTCATTCTGTTTATAATTCTAAATGATTGTTTCAAATATTTCTTATGCTTGATTGAAATGATGGCATTAAAGTAAGATTTTTCCTGATTTATTATAAGGATTATTTACCATAAGCTAAATTGTAAAGTAAATCCTTAGTTATCAAAGCAAGTTCTTAATATTTTTAAATAGCATTTTCAAAATCATTCATTTTTTCTAAAGCAAATCCTAATATATTTTAATGACATAATCACCTTCAAAAAAATTAATAAATAAATTATTAGTACTCAAAGTATGATAAATGGCAAGATTATTTAAGGCTTCATCATATTTTTTAGTTAATATTAAATTAAGACTAAGATATATATAACATTCTGAAAGAATTTATTCATTTTGATTTGATTAACATAATTTTTCAAAGAATTCAATACTCTTATTATATTCTTTTATAAGATATAGATTTCTTCCTAATAAACATTCTACACTCCAAATATCCATAGTTATCTAATTTAATTGTTAAAGGCTTTATTAAAGAAAATATTTTTTATTTGTTAATTTTAACAAGGTTTAAGACAATTGATGTGCTTCTTTATATCTTTGAATTGAACATAATAACCTACCTTAATGATAAATTGATAAAATTTACATCTATCTAACATTTATATAATCAAATGGTCCATTTAAACCTTTTGGAATTAATGAATAAATATTTGTTTAATATTTTCTATTTCTTATTCGTTTATATACTAAGATTGTTCACTAAGTTAATATAAGATTTCATTTAAAGTAGTTTCTTCAATATTGTTTTTATGAACATTTAATAGATTTATTGAAATTTATCGATTCATAAATTAAGATCTAATCTTTTATAATTGAGAATATTTGGATTTGATAAAAGTATTAAATTGTTACCAATTATTGAGTTTCAATTTTTCTTTTGCTTAATCTATCTTCTATATTACTTAATCTAAAAGTAAGAGAATGTTATCAATTAATAGAAAATCTTCATTATGTTAATAATGGAGTTCAGCAAAACAAAGTTTACAACTTAAGTAATCATCTTTACATCTAAGACAAATACCAATAATTCCATTGATTTTATGATGTACTTTTTAACAAGAATCCATTGTAATTATTATTTATTAATTTAATGCATTATTCAATCGTTAATTGTAAAGACTTCTCAGAAGTGTCTATATTATATTCGAAGAATAGTGAAAGTAATGATTTGCAGTCAAATGAAAATCCGTAATCAATCAAATTTGAAAACTAGAGTACCAAAAGAGTAAAGAACTGAAGAAAATGATGAATTCATTCAAAAATTTTTAAATTATAAGGCTCACAATAAATAATTTGAATATAACAATTTACATAGATTGGAAAATAGCAAATTGAAAATTTATAAGGAATCGTCCTATTTTGGTTAAATAGCAAATGGAAAAAGAAATGGAAAAGGAGTTTTAATTTGTAATAATGGAAGAACTTATGAAGGACATTTTGAAAATGATAGAAAGCATGGTCAAGGATATGAATAGTTACAAGATAATTCGATCTATGAAGGAATGTATATTAATGGAAAACCAGAAGGAATGGGTAAATTTAATTGGGCAAATGGTGAAAGTTATGAAGGGAGTTGGTTAAATGGTTTAAAACATGGTTAAGGAATTTGGATAGGAGTGAATAAAGATTCTTATATTGGAGAATGGAAAATGGGAAGCCCTAATGGATATGGTGTATATGTTACAGTTAGTGGAGATAAGTATGAAGGAGAATTTCACAATAATCTAAAGCATGGATAAGGAATTGAATATTTATAGAATGGTGATATATATAAAGGATAGTATGCAAATGGAAAACCAGAGGGTTAAGGAGAATATTGGTGGAATTCAGGAAGCTATTATAATGGAACCTTTATGAATGGATTGAGACATGGTAAAGGAACTTGGATTAAAGATAATAATGCATAGTAATCTGATTGTTATGAGGGTGAATATGTAAATGATAAAAAATGTGGGTTTGGTATATATAGATGGGAAACGGGTAGTAGATATGAAGGTAATTTCTTTGAAGATTTGAGACATGGTTTTGGAAAGATGTTTTGGAATGATGGATCTTATTATAGTGGTATGTGGGAGAAAGGGAATCAAAGTGGAGAAGGAGAATATGTAATTTATTTGAATAACATTAGTGTAAAAAAGGGGAATAGCCAAAATTTGGTATTTTTGAGAAAAATATACTTATAAAAGAGGATTTTGATAAAATAAGAAAATAAGCTCCATAAATTAGGATAAGATAATATACAAGTAAATATAAATGAATATTATGTAGCAAGTTAAAGAAGTGTGAGAGCAAATAGTTATTAGGCTAATAATAACTATGTAAATAGTTAGATAAATTAAGTAATTTTGAGACCAACCAGTGTAAAATAAAAAACTTAAACAATTTAGACTCAAAGCAAAAATGCATTTTAATCAAAGAAAAAAAGACAATTTTCATTACAAAAATAATCTATAGATTTTAACTTTTGAATAATATATATATTATTTGTAATTAATATTAAAATACAATAATATATAATTTATATTATATATTAATATTTTATCAAATATTATACAAAAATAGTGATTTTATTATTTATATATAGATATAAAAATCTGTTCAAAATTTTCATCTCTTTTTTTTATTTGGACGAATTTCAATCTAAAATTATTTAAGGGTTTCTCCATTTGCATATAATTATACAGCCTTCATAGTTTGTTCAGAAATAAAGTAATGTCTTTTCTTTTAAGAAGTAGTAGACATAGATTTTTCATCTAAAGTTCTTTTACTTTTATTATTGGTAGATCTATTTTCTGAATTTAATTTTTAATCTTTTTATTCTTTTGCTGGAGGTAAATGAAAACTTGTTGCACTTTTAGTTTTAATAGGTTTATTTATTAATATTCTATCAGTTGGATTGGGTTAAACAATTTAGCTAATTTATTAACTATTTCTTTCTTCACCTAATTGCTTTTTCTTTTTATCAAATTCCTCTAAATAACTTTAATATTTAATACTGCTAGAATTCTCATTTTTTCATTTTAGATATTAATTTCCATCTATTTTTTAGTTTCTTATAATTTTTAATATTCATTTTATTATTATTTTAATCTTCTATCTGTTACTTCAAATTTCTAAATATTGAAATTAAAAATTATATACATCTAATAAAATTGCATTTTTGTATTATTCTTTTCTTTTTTAAATTTAATAATTTTATGATGCATCTTCTAATTTTAATAATTCTTAAACATATTTTCTCTTCATATTTAAGATATTTTTCTATCTTAACTCTTCTGCATTTAAAAATTATTATTATTTTAAAGCTATAATTCTTTGATTCTCCAATTCAGTTTATTTATCTAGATATCTTTATTTCTAATTAATATTTTAGAATGAATTAATATACCATTTAAACTTCTTCCATATGAGATTACAACATTAGACTACTTTCATCTCTCTTCAATTTCCTTTATTCTTCCAACATTTATTTCTTCAACTCTCTTTCCTTTTCTTAATTAATATATTCTTAATTTCTTCTATTCTATTCTTAACTAATAATCATTTTCTTTTATTCCATCATCTATTGTTTTTGTTATTCCTAATTTCTCTTTTATTATAATAATTATTATCTATTGAATTCTTGCATTGTATTTCTCATTTAAATATCTTTTTCTTTAGAATGAATTCTTTATTCAATTTAATAAGTCTCTAATTATTTTAAAGCAGTAGCACTTTAATATTTTTCTCTAGCTCTTTCTTCTTTTAATTAATTTTATTATCTAATATATTACTACTTCTCTAACAACATTTATTCCATATTTTTTAATTTCTTATTATATTCTTATTGTCTAATTAAATTTTCATGCTAAACTTATTATTCTTACTCTGCCATTCTTTAGGCTCTTCTATTCATTTTTTCCTATATTTCTCTTTCTCTTTCCTCCTTCTCCACTTGTTTCATCAAAGCATATTTAGCTTATTTCTATTGAATCTTTAGTTCCTCTTCTTAGAACTTATGCATAATAGTTTCATTATGTATATCTGCTTATAACTTAGCCTATTTGAGTTTTTATTCTCTCAATTTGAGTTTTTCTTCTTTCTCTAACATTCTTTAATGAAATTCTTCTTCTTTCATTTTCCTTAACTCTTCTATTCTCTATTCCTTAATTTAATTCTTCCTTTTCATTTCTTCGATCTTCATTTCAGTTTATATTTCTCTTTCAATTTCAATCTTCTATTTGTTTTACAATGTTCTAAGCATCTGTTCTTACTTTTACATAAAAGATTGACTCAATTACAATTGACTAGATTGAGACTAGAAGATAGATGATAAGTTACATTTCGTTCATGTTCTTCAGAACTATTATTATATTCCTATCTGACTAGATCTAAAAATCTATCAACTCTTTCACACATATGCTACAATTTGGCTTCAACATAATAGTCTACATCTTCAAATTAGACTCCTTATTGTAAGATCTCCTCTCTTGTAGGATAGTAGAGATCTTAAACAACTAAACCTAGAGTAGCCAATACTCTTTTTGAACGAGGACTACCTTACAAAATAGATTACATACGTAGTTATTTCACTCCTCACAGCAGGATTGAAGTTTAATAAACTCATAATAAATAATAAATATAAAAATGAGAAGGAACTTTTAAAATCTCATAAAAGATCCTCCAATAAATGTATAAAGAGAATAAAAACCTTAATAACCTGCTGTGGTATAAGTAGCTGAATGGAATAAGGCATTAGAATATTTAGATGCAGGAGATATAAATAAAGCTTATGAAGAAATATTAATATCAGAGGATGATTTATATTTATTAAGATTAATGACAATTACTGGGCCTTGTGTAAATAAATTGAATTAAAAGATTGCTTTTTAATTGCATTAGAAGATTAAATTATTAATGAAGTCAGAATTTTGGAAGGTGCTTGCATTATAAATGTTGGGTAATCTCTCATCAAAATAAGAATGTTTAAGGATTGAATAAAAGTAAAAATTACAACAATTACTATATTAATGGAGTAAATCATGGTAACCTTAGATTAGTAAGGAAACTGTATTACTATACAATTCAGGAGTGTTTAAACCTGATCATATTATGTGACTTTTTTTATATACAATTATATAAAATATGTTAAAATCAAGTCGTTCTTTATCATCAAGAAAAAATGATAAATTAGTAAAAAAACGAAACAAATCAGTATAAGAATAGGGTAGTTATGGAAAGTTTTTAGAATTCCTATAATCTTAAGCAGGACAATCTTATAACCAATTTTTATATATGCAAGAATTCTTTAACACAAATTTATCATAGTTTCCTACTGATGAAGAAATATCTTAAATATAACATAATCTACATGTTAGTAGTGGAGTGTTATCATAAAAGAAGAAAAATTGGACAATAGAAGAAAAGAAAGTTTTGATTTGGTTAGTGGGTAAATTGAGTTAAGTTTAAGATTTGGATATAAGAGAATTACCTGATGAATTTTGGAATGATGTTTCTGAAATGATTTATAGGAGAGATCCTATATAATGTAAATAGAAATGGTCATAATTATAAAAGACTGATTTATAATCAAAGCCATTTACTTAAGATGAAGATCAAGCATTACTTAATATTATTAATAAATATTAGGAATGTGAATAAGGATAGAAATGGAGTCTTATTGCAAATGAATTAAATTTACATAGTAGAAATTATAGATCAAGTAAATAATGTAGAGAAAGATGGTTAAATCATTTAAATCCAAAAATTAGAAAGTATTAAATTTAATTAATAAAATTAGAGATCCTTGGAAAGATGATGAAGATTTTTTATTACTCAATTATGTTATAGAACATGGTAGAAAATGGGCAGATATTTCAAAATTATTTAATGGAACTAGAAGTGAAAATAATGTTAAAAATAGATTCAATAGTTTAATAAAAAGAGAAAAGGATTTAACATTAAAGTAATAAATATCAAATTTATATTTTAGTTTACAAAATGGATAAATTGTAACTATAGAATTTATGTTAGGAAATCTAACAGGATAATATTTAAATAATGAATAGATTTAAGCTATTGAAGTACTCAAAAATAAAATTATTTGGAGACAAAGATAATTAAAAAATAATTAAATTATATAAACAGAATTTCTAAGAAGTTCAATAATTGAAGATGTAGAAAAAAATGAAAGAATATTAATGAAACGATCTACTGTTGTCAAATATGTTGTTGGACATCTTAATGATGATCAAATATCTACTGAAGAATTGACACCTTGTTTAGTAAATATAGAAAAGAATATGATTTACTTTTGTTCTAAAGAATAAATACTTTAAATTATCAATAGATAAATTAATTAAATCAAAGATAATTTAGAATATCTTTAAAAAGAAGTTAGAATATTTGATTCTGGATTAATTAATTAAAAAACATAATTAAGCATAATTAGTGAAATTAATGATTCTAAATTTAGTTCATTCATTTGCGGAGTCGAAGAGAATTAAAGTTTATACGAAAAACCAATTTTTATTAATTAACATTCTAACCTTGATAATTACCTCAATTTACAATCTAAACATTCATCTCAATTATTACAAGAACAACCTGAAGGCACTAAATTTCTATACTTAAATCCAATAGAAATTATACATTACAATGCCTTTCAAAGTATTAACAAGGCATACAAATCAGAAAATCTAATAAATAAGACTTCTTATAGTGTTAAAAATATTCCAAAATCATCACCAAATGTTATTGCCATTTAAACATCATGATTTTCCTTATCTTGATTTATATGTATATATATATTAATATATGCACTACATATTTAAAATATTTAACTAAACTAAATTTTTACTTAAATTTCTTATTATATTTATACTTCTATATATATCATATCACTTATTAGATATTCAATATTAGAGTATATATATATATATTTTAAAAATATATCATTTACAAAATAAAATTTGACTTTTCATTTCTTAATTGTACTTTCAATATAATCTTAACATTTCTTTTTTTCAACAACATATTTAAGGAAATATTTATATTAATTTTATTTCTTCAATTCAATTATACTCTTTTTACCAACTGAAAGACATCTTCTTATTGTTGGATAATTTGAGATTACTTTTTTATGAACAAGATGAGGAATTTTAAACCAAAAATCATTTATACATTGATTTTCTGATAACCATCTCTATGGTGCTTCAAATTAAAAATTGAAAAATTATTCATCTTCAGTATCAAATTTGATGTCTTCATAATTAATTGCACCAATTTAGTAATTTTTTGGCATTTTTTATAATAATTATTATTTAATTTCATAAATATGATAATAAATTATTTATCATTGAAAAAATAGATTGGTCTTCATCAAGTCTCTCTAAAACAAAACGTAAATTCTCTCTCTCTTATGGTGATATTAATTAATATTGACTACTCTACCATGTTTCTTTATTCAATATTTCAATAATAGCTTCAATAATAGCCTATTTCAATTCTACATTTTGCAAATGTAAAAATTAAAATACTTTTAAATGTATTTTTGATTAACATAATTATTGAGTTTATTAAAAATTACCTTTCTAAAGATAAGCACATAAAGTAAAACAGGCTTATATATGTATCTATTCATCTGGTGAATTCAATAATTGGATAACATAATTTGTAATATCTATTTATGTAAATATGATATCATAAAATTATTTTGCTCCACAAATACAGAATTCTAAAACCCATAAAGCCTAATTCTAAACCTATTTACTAATTAATAATCAATAAATTATAATTACTTATTAGAACATAATTTCTATTTTAATTATTGAACCAATCCATTTTTTATCAAAATTTCTATATGTGCTGGACTTTATTAAGCAATTTCGGCTAAAATTCTCAAAGTCAATTAATCATTCAAACCTTCATTCAATATTTACATCAATTCCAAACCTCCATTAAATTTAAATATTGAATTTATCTAATTTATATAAATTATAATCTATACATATCCATTATGCATTCCTACAAATGTCAAATTAAGTAATATTTATAATAAATAATTTAATTTATCCAAATTTTTAGTTGATAAAGCACTACATATTGGTTTAAGAAACACTTCTGCATGTTTTCTACAATCATTATCCTATTTATATAAATCTTATAGTAAAGATGTTATTAGTTGTAAATGTAATTCAAGTACACTATTATCCATTTGATTCTAAAATTATATATAATTATTTACATGAAATGCATGACATATACTATGCACAAATATTTTACTTCTTAATAATTCTCCTCTTGATTAAAATGTTGTTGATGAATACATCAAAATTTAATCAATTTTAATAAAGGTATAAGATAATCTAGATATATCATCATATCCTGTTTCTAATGGACAATTCTGATCATTTCCTTTTATACACAAACCCTTTCGAAAAATCTCAGCTTCCAATAGAATAAAAAGCTATGAAAATGATATAAGCATCTCATTAAATTTAGGATAACTTTACAAATGCTCATCTGGTAATAACACTAAATTATTAAGATAGATCAATATATTTTTGAACAATTCCCAATTAGAATAGAGTTCATTTAAATTAAGTAATTTAGTCAATTAAAGACCAAGATCATTTTATACCATTTCAACTATAGGTTTATTTACTTTTTCATTTATTAAAATTAGTAGATCTAGTATTTTAATTTTTCCCATATGATGCATTTATTGAGTATAATAAATAGAAATTTGGGCATCTGAATTTGATACTTTTCTTTTTACATTGAATATCTTTTCTAATTGATTTCTTCTAATTTCTGTATGAAATTACTCTCTTTTACATCTCAATAAATCAGTCTCATTCATACTTAATAAAATAGATTAAATATCGAATTAAATTGTTTCATTTCATTTACTTAATCAAATAAAAATTAATTGTATATCTATAAATGATTTATACTATATAAATGCACAATAAATATGAAGCTTAAAAGAAATTAAATATATTCTTATAGATATTTTGCATAATATAATGAAATGTTTTTTTATTGATAAATATATGTATTTGCCTCATTCCTATTCATGAGTTTAATAGAACACTTTCTAAGTTGTTCTGAAGCTGTCAATATATCTGACTAAACAATTTGTCATGGCATCTTGATCTTATTCTGTATATTGACCATTAAATTTTTTCATATCTGGAACAAGCTAGTTAAAGCAATTCTTAAAAGCTTGACTGACAAATAATTAACCTGATTAGATGGAACTCATTAATTATTATTATTATTAATTAAAAAAAATATTTATATAAATAAGTATCATCATTATTTTTATTTAAGTACTTCTACTAATCTTTAAAGAGCCTTAAAAAAATTACGTGTCTTTATAAGAAATTAAAAATTAGGTACTACAGATTATATATATGTAAAAGTTAACTCTTTTTACTAAAAGTAATCTGTTTTATTTTCAAACATATTTACTATTACTTTATGTTATGTATGGAATAATTATAATTATAATAATACCAAATGTTTATTCTTTTTTTTTATCACTTCACTATAAATGTATCCTTCTCCATCTTTCTTCTTATCAGTTTAAAATTAATCTACACTTTCTGTAATAATATATTTTCTTAGAGTGTTTTCAATTTCTTAATGTTACAATGCCAATTAAGATAAATTTAAATAGTTTTATGTCTTGATCTTGTATGTTAAATAATGACACATATTTATGATATCTGAAATAGATAATTTACTATTCATATAATTGGTCTAAGATTTAAAAAAACCATCTGCTATAAATAAATTCAATAGTTCTCTTAAATTGACTCTAACATCCTTAAAGAAATAGTTGGTTAAACAATAATAACGAAAATAGATATTATAATTTGAAGATGAAGAATAAGGCATAGGATTTAATGGTTTTAAGATATCTGCTCTTTTATTATTCAATGGTTCTAAGAAACATTCTACATAAGCTGATCCTAATCTTTCAATACGAAATTATGCACTGCAAATAAATTCCATTATTTAACAATCATAAAAATTTGTATTCAAAATATATCTACTTTTAGAAAATTTAAATTGTTAAGTAACTCTAACATGATTATTAATAATCAATTTTTCAAATTTCTCAGTTAATTCTGTTTATACTTTATAATTATATCTTGAATTTTCCATTGATTATCTTTTCATTAAATGTTCCTTACCTATAATCTTTATTTTTTATTCTGTAAAATCTTCAAATGTTTCCATCAATCTATCCATTAATGTATTGAAATTACTAAAATTCTTATCATGTTCTAAATTTAATAAAAATACTTCATTCAATAATCTATTCCAAATTTATATTTCAATTAATTTATTATGATTATCCTCATTATTATGTAATTTTCTTGAAAAACCTAAAAATTTCATTACATTATCTGATATTTAATTATTTTGATTAATAGCTTACTTAATTACTTTATTTTTCATTAAAATTTCATTACTAACTTAAGCAAATCCAATTCTAGATTAAACCCTCTTCTTTTATTTTGCAGATTGCAAATCAAAAGGAGATTATTCTGTTTTCTTCATTAATTTGATTTTTTATATTAAATTCATATCTAATTATGGATGCTTTTTAATATTTTCATGATTTACTTTCTCCTTATTAGATAAATCATTATAATCAGTAAATTAAGAATTATCAATTAAATTGAAGATTACATGATCTTTAAAATCCATTTCTTAAAAATCCAATATATTAATATAAGTCATTAATTTTCTTTTACTTCTTGGAAAATAATAGATAATTTAAAACATATCTAAATAAGTATGGGCAAGTATAGAAATGATAACAAATTCTTATTTTAACAATTTAACATTCTTCATATCTTTAAATTTCATTTCATTTACTATTTTTTTTTTATTTTTCTATTTTATAAGATAAAACTTTTATATATAATGTCCTATAACTCTAAATATTCTATGAACAGTATTTAAATAATTTTTATCAGTTATATTTTAATCAAAATTATTTTTTGGAAATTCATTAAATGTACATCTTGTAACTTTTTCATTATAATTCACATTTAAAGATTACTATCTATTAAAAAATGAATTAAGCATGAATTTATTTAAATTTACAGGAGATTAATTTTAATTATATTTCATTATTTAAGGTACTCTATATAAGAATCTCTTATCAAATTTAGTATTAGATATGATAGCTTTACACCAATTAAATATAATATTTGAATCAAAATATTTTTCAACATCAAATTATAATTCTAAATCAAATTTATTAAATAATAAAATGTATTTCTTCAATTTAGAATTAAATTCATATAATTCTACACTTACAAATAAATGTTCACCATCATAAATATATATTTTCTCTGAACCTTTTTATTATTTTTAATCTTATAAGAAATAAACTTTAACATGAACATAACATGATTAATTATTCCATAACTTTAAAATATATATATAATCTAATCTATCAAGAAATTACAATAATTTTTTTGAATTACTTACTAATAATACTTTTATTTAATGATAATTTGGTAATTATGCTTTTAGATAATTGTAAAATTAATGATCTTTCAAATATAAAAATGAAGTTGGAGAATACAATACTCGTATAATTCCTGTTAAGATTTAGCATTTTTAATGTTTATTCATTCTTTAACAATTAGAAATTTAATGAATTAAATGTTAATCATGTAAATACAATATTATAGGTGATTGATTTTTTTTGATATAAATTATCTTCATAAAATTAGTTTAATCAATAAATAAAAACTTACTTGTAGACATTACAAAATATTAATATTTATTGTAAATCATAGTTTATTTATGTAAATCACTCCATTAATCTTAAAAATCAAATGCATAATCTGTTACTTATTCAATTTTTCTAGCTTCAACTGTTATTCTCATATCAATTTAATTTATATCCTAAAATAACTTATTGAAAGGTAATAATTATGCTATTTAATTCTCTTTCTCTCTATTTTCATAACCTCTTCTAATATCAAGTTACTCATTAGGATATACACTATATTTAAAAACACAATCTATTTTATTATATAAACTTTGATGATCCATTTTTTATATAAAATTATGAGTTTTTGATAAAATATGAAGATATTTTGGTTATATAATGATCTTTCTATTTTTAATATCTAAAGTAAATGCATTTTTTAATACTAAATCAGCTACTTATGAATATGAACATTATTCAGAAATAATGCTTTTAAGAATTTAATCAAAATTACATTATTGTATGTCTCCATTATTAAATGTAGTTTCTTATAAAGCTTATCCTAATTTACAGAAGTCATCCAATTTTAATTTTAATGGTTTAAAAGCACGTTCACTTCTTGATTGTTTAATATCTTGAAGGAGTTACTTTTCATTCCATTTAAGTGATTTATCTCTTTCAAATACAGTAACTTCAATTCTTACTTTGAAATATTCTTATTTGAATTTCCAATCAAAATGTGAATAATCTACATCAAAAAAATTAGTTATATTTTGAAATCCTGTTCTAACTGAATGTTTTTATGCATTAAATAATAAATCATCAAAATGGAATTTACTTTTTAATGTCAAATGTAAACTTATCAGACAATATTTACTAATTTAATTACAAATTTAATAATCATAATGATTCAATATATCTTATATATTAATAGTTGCACATTATATATAAATTGATTTATGAGAAAGTTCATATATATCTTCAAGCATTTAATCCTAAAAAAACATACTATTATTATGAACAAAACGGAATGCCAATATTTAATTAAGTATACTTTTATTTTTTTCAATAAAATCCTTATATCTAGTAGATAAATCCTATGGTTTTTTATATATGTTACGTCTATATTCTAAGATCTATTGTTCAAGTATTCTTAATTATAATATTGTATCATGAACAAGAGGTAAATTTAATATATATTAAGTAGCATCAGACAAAAGATTACAATCTTAAAATTATGGTAATAATTCATATACTGATCCAAATATCTTTCTAATTCTCACTATTTATGATGTTTATAAATAATTTAAGATTTCCTTTGTTTCCACTATAGCATTGATATCTTCTTCAGTAATATTCTTTCTAGAACGCATTGATAAACCTTAAATGAAATTTAATTTGTAATTTTTGGCACATCCATATTTAGTATGATGTAATAAAGCTAATTAACCTTTTAATTCTAAATAACTCATTAGATAATCACGAACAGTTGGCCATACAGTAATACAATTCTATTCTCCAATATCTTCTTTTTGAATTGCCCCTATTGGAATATCTAAACGATAAAAATATTAAGATCTTCCTTCACCTTTAAAAAATAATACTATACATGTTCGATCTAAAGTAATATCAGAATATTAAATTGACCAAACAACAACATTTTTGTAGAAGATAGAAACATATCTAATAACAGGATAATATAAAGATTATACTCTCTTTACTAAATAATCATTAGTTTTTTGTATCATTTTTTATGTTTTAATTCTATCATAATTTTTAAGAGTATCTGCAACTTTATAGAGTGTACAAAATAAACCTAATGGATTTACAACAGGTTATCCAGGTGATGATAATGGACTATTATAAGAAGGTGAATTAGCTTTAATAAAATCAATATCATCTAATCTTTTTTTTAATGCTTTTACTCTATTAGGATGTACTCTATTGTTTTTTACTTTTTGTTTTGGTTCAAAATTTTTTTTATTTAATTTAAAAACTTTTAATCTAAGACAAGCCTATAAAAAACGTATACGTTTAAGTACAGGTTCTGAAAATTAAGGTGGTACTTGGCTTTATTCAAATATAGTTTTTTATTTATTTAAGAATACTCTAGTTTATTTTCTCCTTAATATTAAACCTTCATTTAATCGATGTTAAACATTCTTCAATTATGCCAATTACTCAGCATTTCCTTAAAGAATTTGAGAGATTTGCAATGGTTAAGACTATTACATTTTTATTTTGTGTAAAATGGCTTTGTAATTTAAGAGATTAAGATATTGATTAGCTATTAATTTTGCTAATTTAAATGAGGTTGGTTTAGAATGTAATTTTCTCAACATTAATGCATTAACTAATGTGAAGATAGAGAATCTTCTATCTATTTTATATTTTTCTGCCAAATACTCCTAATATCTTTAAGAGTCCAGCATTCTTTTTTTTTCTATTTCTAAAGCTTATTATTCTTTATGTTTCCTTTCCTATTCTAAAAGTTTTACTCTCTCTCTTTCCTCTTATTCCTTTCTAATTTTTTCTTCTTTTTCAATTTTCATCCTTTTCAACTTTTGGTACAATTAAGCTTGCTTTTCCTAATTAAATTTAGGTGGTTCTATAGTTCTCAAATGTCCAAAGTTTTAAACCTAATCCCAGAACACTAAAGGATCAGTCTCAGTTTTTGCTTTTCGATGTTTTGATTTGAGTTTAGAAATATCATTTTAAAATATGGATTACTCTAACATTCTTGAAGTCTGAGGATTAATGTAACGTACAGTTGATTTTGGAGTTTGTAAAGTAATACGAAAAGAAACATGAGATTATTATCTTGAATCATTTCTACTAGTTGGTCTAGTTGTTTTGAGTAGATCCAAAGTTGGTATTTTGTGTTTCATTAATAAAATTAACGATGTCTGCAAATGTAACTATAACAGCCTTTTTCGGAATGGCCGATGATGATTTCAAAGATGATGTCTATGATCGCTACATCCGAGATCTCCATAGACCACGCAAAACAATTTATGTGCCCAAACCCCCTTCCATTGTGACAAAGCACTTGAATGTGAGGAGAATCAATACTGAATACTGAATAATATTAACTATATCTATCACAATAACTTTTCAGGATTAAGAATATTATTCGAATCAAACAATCTCTATCAACTCCTACATATACTCAAAAGTTTCTTTGCCCCATTTAAACTTGCATGTAATATCATTTCAATTAACCTACTTCCATATTCACCACACTTATACACCCATTCAAATTCTTTGTAAGTGAAAAATGATCTTCTCTTCTACTCTTAATATATTCCATATGCATCTCCTCTACACTTTCAAACACAATATTGTAATTAATGTCCCCATCACCTAAATGTCCATAATATGCATTATAAGGCCCTTCCCTTCCATAATACACTTACTCTGCAAACTATTCAAATTTATCAGGAGCTATGCTAATAATATTAATATTCATTTACCATAAATCATATGTCAAAACTTGTCCCATCTTATGTAGATTTTCTAATACACTCTCTCTCCATCTCCACATTATCTACAACTCTAATTCATTCTAATTGAACACTATCTCTTCTTAATGTTTCAATAAACGCTTAAAATAATACTACTATTTGTAAATCTCAATCAAAATATAATATTTATCAGCTTTAAATTCAAATTAAAACATTCAATTATAGATTAAATGACAAATATCTTTATAAAATCTTCCTTTCCATAAATTCAAAAGTACTTAATTCCTCAAATTTTTTGGCTGATCTCAAAAAATATATAACTTCATCAAAACAAAAACAAGACTTTCCTTAATTCAGGAATCAGAGAGCATAATACATTTGCATATGTAATACAGTTAATCTAGAATATTATTTAACTATTATATCCAATTTTCCTTCAGATCAAATAAAACATTATTTTAATCAGTTCTAGTGTTATCCTTTCTGTTTTTTTTTCAATAAATTTAAGATCTTTCCATTTGGCAATACAACTTCTAATCTGAGAATGTAATTTCTTAAAGGTACATTCTTAACTACATTCAATACTCCTGCATTTTTACCCAATATTTCCACCTAATTAAAAAGAACCTCATCTACAAGCATTCAATCTAAATTAATGAAATACTATCTTATACATCTATATAATTACAAATAATCAATCAGAGATTATAATATGATTCCAGATTTTGCTGTAATTATAGATGTTTTAATTCTAATATGTTTCAATATTTCTTAGACTTACAATCAATTCATTCTATACTAAAGTTGCTCCTTTTATAAAACTTGTATTACCTCCTTAAGGTACCACTTTTATATTGTTTTAGTTGCAAAATTACAAAACTTCACCCAACAATTTATGATTAAGTAGGAGTTCCAACTAATTCTGATTCACCTAAATAAAACCTCTATAAATCATAATTCAAAGGTTTCAGATCAAAAGGATCTGTTATCATATTCTATTTTTCCACAATTTACTTAAAAGAATTTAGTTATTTTTCAATATAAATTTAATATACTATTACTTTCATAATAATTATGTTATTTGTATATGTATACTTTTACTTACAAAGTTCCATATATTGATTATTTTCTAATGAAATACACATCAAAGATCTGAATCGTAATAAAAATGCAGTCTTGTTGTGTTTTTAGTTTAATTTATTTATTTTCACCTAAATCATATGTATTTAATAATAATAATAAAATTAAAAATTATTTAAGAAATTCAAAGTATTTTGTAATAATATTGTATTTTATTTTTGTAAAAAGTTAAGTATCATAAGATACTAGTTAATCAATTTATAACATCTTTGATTAAATTTGACTCAATATTAAAATATAATTAATCTTTAATTATAATATACTTTAAAGTCATAATTATAATTTAATCATTATTACTTAATGTATAAAAAATAAGAGAATAATTATATTTTAATACTCAGTTAATAATAATATTATTTAGATTAATACTAAATAGAATGTATTTGATTTTTTAGATATTTTATGAATTAATTTGTGGTTTTTATTTTTAATATTATTTTATTCATTCACAATTTTCCATCTTTTATTTGTTTATTTAAACTTTATAATCTATTTTTCTTAATTTCTTTTAAGGTTTCTTCATCTATTTAAGGTTGATTCCCATTTTTTTAATTAGATATCTTTTTGAGATGTTCAATTTCCAATTCTTTAAACTTTTTCATTACTTCTTCTCTTTTTTCACTCTACAAACCTTTCATCTTTTCTATATTTTAAACTTATTTTCTAAATTCATCCTTGACTGATTAAAATTAACTTTGCATGCATTACTAAATGTAGTTATCTAATAAATTACATCATATATTTTTCTTCTTTATTATAAAATAGTTTTATATTTCATTGCAATTTCAAATTACTCATTTTCTGTATTATTTATTGATTCAGTGGATTTATTAATTAGATCTTCTGTTTTCTATTAAAATGATACACTCTATTATTTTTAATATTCAACTATATCTAGATGTGTTTACATCAAAGCATCCTCTAACTTAAATAATTATTTAATTAATTCTGATTCTTAAGCAAATTATTTTAATATAATTGATTTAATTTATTCTTCATCATAAGCTTATTTCTCTGCTTATTATTATTAACTTTATTATTATTGTATCTATTATATTTATTATTATTATTATTATTGCTTTTCCATCTTCTCTTATTTCTATTACTCTTTAAATTATTGTTCAATTTATAATTACATCTTTGATAAACTATTTTATTTCTTAAGTGTCTTTTTTATGTCTTCATTTTCCTCTCTTAATTATACAATCATCTCTTAAAAATTATTTGGTGTAGGATCAATATTTCTTGTTCTGTGAGCATATAATAATGTATTAAATGAATCTTCATAATTATTTGGAGCAACATTAGCAATCATAACAGTTTTAGNCATCTTTGATTAAATTTGACTCAATATTAAAATATAATTAATCTTTAATTATAATATACTTTAAAGTCATAATTATAATTTAATCATTATTACTTAATGTATAAAAAATAAGAGAATAATTATATTTTAATACTCAGTTAATAATAATATTATTTAGATTAATACTAAATAGAATGTATTTGATTTTTTAGATATTTTATGAATTAATTTGTGGTTTTTATTTTTAATATTATTTTATTCATTCACAATTTTCCATCTTTTATTTGTTTATTTAAACTTTATAATCTATTTTTCTTAATTTCTTTTAAGGTTTCTTCATCTATTTAAGGTTGATTCCCATTTTTTTAATTAGATATCTTTTTGAGATGTTCAATTTCCAATTCTTTAAACTTTTTCATTACTTCTTCTCTTTTTTCACTCTACAAACCTTTCATCTTTTCTATATTTTAAACTTATTTTCTAAATTCATCCTTGACTGATTAAAATTAACTTTGCATGCATTACTAAATGTAGTTATCTAATAAATTACATCATATATTTTTCTTCTTTATTATAAAATAGTTTTATATTTCATTGCAATTTCAAATTACTCATTTTCTGTATTATTTATTGATTCAGTGGATTTATTAATTAGATCTTCTGTTTTCTATTAAAATGATACACTCTATTATTTTTAATATTCAACTATATCTAGATGTGTTTACATCAAAGCATCCTCTAACTTAAATAATTATTTAATTAATTCTGATTCTTAAGCAAATTATTTTAATATAATTGATTTAATTTATTCTTCATCATAAGCTTATTTCTCTGCTTATTATTATTAACTTTATTATTATTGTATCTATTATATTTATTATTATTATTATTATTGCTTTTCCATCTTCTCTTATTTCTATTACTCTTTAAATTATTGTTCAATTTATAATTACATCTTTGATAAACTATTTTATTTCTTAAGTGTCTTTTTTATGTCTTCATTTTCCTCTCTTAATTATACAATCATCTCTTAAAAATTATTTGGTGTAGGATCAATATTTCTTGTTCTGTGAGCATATAATAATGTATTAAATGAATCTTCATAATTATTTGGAGCAACATTAGCAATCATAACAGTTTTAGAATTGCCTTATAATGCATCCTTTAATAGTCTAGTCAATTTACTGCCTCTAAAAGGTACAAATTATTCTTTTGAAAATAAAGCCTTAATGCAATTACCAAGTACTAAAAGTGATCTATTAATCATTGCTCCCTCTACCATTCTTTATCCTTTATTTGTAGTTTGGGAAGCTCTTTCAGAACCTGCTAAATCAACAAAAGTAAAAGTGCATTATTTGAGCATCAATTACAAAACTGTGTGTGATCTTGTAGAGTTTTCATTAGCACCTGTAGGTTCCTTTGCTCTTCTACTATTACCATATTTAATATATTGTGTTATATCATTGAGAGAGGGAACAGGTGCTTTGAATAAATTCACAACCACTAATCCTTTATTTCCATCTTCTCTCAAATCCAATAATTTACCAGTTAAAAGATCTCGGATAGTTTCATTATAAATTTCTAAGAAAGTAAGTGATGCCTAAAAATTAGGTATGTTAATACTTAAGCAGCTTATTCTTTTGATAATCGACCAAACAAATCGTTCAAAGCTCTTGGTATAATACCTTACTGATTCTGGCTTCCCATCATACTAGAAAAGATTTATGATAATAATATTACGTATGAGTTTTGCCACTTCCTGTAGCTCCATATGCAAAAATAGTTACATTTTAACCTGAAATAAGATCATCCAAAAGGGGTTCTGCTGATTTTTCATAGACTTCTTTTTGATCGGCTTATTAATCAAAGACAAGGTCAAACTCATAAGATGCATCTTTAATTCTATTCTTTTTCAGGATCTTTAGGATGTAAAATATAATATAGAAATGTCATTTTACATCGACAGGGTTATTGAATTCTAATTCAGGATCAAGCAAAGTAACCGTGGAGCCATTAACAATAATGGTTTTAAAGGTTTATTAAACTGGTTTAACTCTAATAGCAACAGTGATATTATGCATTTATTTAAATTGAATTTTTTAATATTTTACTTGTATATTTATTTGTATGAAAACTTATTATTAATCATTGGAAGATTCCCTTCTTGGGAGAACTGCTTAACAAAGCAGGTTCTGGTTATTCATCGAGGAATTGTATGGCTTCTCCTTCAGCTAGAAAATGATTAAATTATTTAGATACCATAACTGATATCAATTCCTTAGGATTCTTGGAATGGATTAATTTTAAATGCACCAGTTCCTTTTAATGGGATAATAAAGATGGCTACTAAGAGTCCCCATCCAATGAATGCTAAGATACCTACAAGTTATAATCCTAATTATTTAGGACCATGACCAGTTACCCAACCATTGGTAAGACTTAGAAAACCAACTAATATAGTTCCTAATAAACCAGGACCCTAAAAGAATAAATTAATTATGAATACCAAATGTGAAGCAATAGTGTAAGCAGGATCATCAACATGAGATCTTTTGATAACAAGTATGAGGATAATATAAACGACACCAGCCAATACACCAGTAAGAGCAGATTCCCAAATTCTAACATCATTAGCCATAGCTGATATAGCAACAATACCAGCAACACTACCTCTAGATAGTGCAATTAAACTTGTCTTATGAGTTTTCAAATATTATAAAATGAAACTAGTAATTGCTGATAATGTAGCTGCTACAATAGTATTAACTGCTATCAATCCTTATTCATATTTATTTTCTTTTCCTTTTTAATTAGCCCCATTAATGAATATTAAAATTGAAATTGTCAATATAATTGATCCATATCCAATATTAATTGGAGAATGATGTGGGAAAATACCAGGATGTACATTTCCAGCTTAATCTCTTCTTTCTTTCAAAAAGAATGATACAACCAATGCTGTAATACCACCAAATACATGAATATAACTTGCTCCTGCAAAATCTATAAATCCAAAGGTACTCAACCATCCTGTTGGTTAGACCCAATGTAGTGCTATTGGGTATAATATAGCTGTAATGAATGCTAAACATAAACTAACTGAAAAGAATCTAGATCTTTCTAATGTTCCTAATCCAAATAGAGATGCAACAATGATTGCTCCAACTGTAGAGAAAACTAAAGTATTATAACAAATCTCTATTACTCAAATTTGTATAATCATCTCTTGGGGATTCAACTTAGTATCCAATTCCTGCGAATTTACTTAAACCAATGAATTTATTTCCTTTGTCATCTCCAAATGCAAAACCATATCCTAACTATCAAATATTAATATATTTTATTTACAAGCCAGAAAAACAATATAGTTATAACTGATCCTAATAACACTGTTATGACTGATGATTGTACAGATTTATAGCGAACAGCCCCTGAACTAATGAATGCAAATCCCAAAATTGTCAATAAAGCACTGAATGATGTTATCAAAACCCAAGTTGTATCTGTATTTGCTGGAGTAGGAGTGCTACTATTAGCAGCATTCAGAACAGCATTAATGTCTTAAAGATGATTCATTAAATTTATTTATTGTGGGATATATATTTTCAAATTCATTTATATCATCAAAAATAAATACAAATAAAAATTAATCATTATTATTAATCATAATAATAATTATTATTATTATTATTAAATAATATATGCAAACTCTTGTAGGAACACAAAAAGGCTAAATATATCATCTAGAAATCAACAGACCAAAATCATTGTAACTTTATTATTTCAATAAAATTAGAAATTCCATGTCCTCTTAGCTTTTCTAAGATTTCAAAGCTGCTGTTGATATCATTAATAAAGCTGATGATGTTAGAGTTGTTGTTTTAACAGGTAGAGGCAATCATTTTTGTGCTGGCTTAGATCTTAAGGAAGCTCCCTTAATGTTTTAAGTAAGATCAAATTTTAAATACAGTTCCATGAAGACATGGATTAAGCAAGAAAATCAATTAGGATTTATGATCTTCTCAAAGATTGGTAAATCGCTATGACATCCTTGTCAAGAATCAAAGTCCCTGTAATTGTTGGTGTCTAAGGATATTGCTTAGGTGGTGGAGTCGATCTCATCACTTCTGCTGATATTAGATATTGCTCTGAAGATGCTAAATTCTCAATTAAAGAAATTGATCTTGCAATGTAATAATTCTAAATTTATATATACTTCAGGGCTCCTGACATAGGTACTTTACAAAGATTGGGTCTATAGAATGCTAATACATCATTATTCAGAGAATTAGCATACACAGGAAGAATATTTAATGCTCAAGAAGCACTAAAATTAGGATTAGTAAGTAAGATTGTAAAGAATGAACTTTTAAATGAAGAAATATTTAAATTAGCATAATTAATAGCTACAAAATCACCAATTGGTTGTTATACAATCAAAAGCATATTAACAAGAGAATAAAATTTAGATTAGCATTTAGATGTTATGGCCAGAACAAATATGGCAATGCTCTTTACAAATGATGTTCCTATAGCTATTACATCCTCAATGACTAAAACAAAAGCAGAATATCCTAAATTATGAGTAAATAATAATATATATATATATAAAATAATAACTATTATATCAGAAAATATCAGAATATTTTGGTTCATATTTCGTAATTTTTTTTTTTGGAATGCTTAATTAAAAGAATTAGTAATAAGAAAATATGAAAACATATAGGATACCTTTATTTACGTATGGAACAACTATTAATAACATTTCCTTAAAACAATTAGAAGAATCTCCATAAAAATGCACTTAAATTTAATTAGATGATTCTTCATTTACAATTTAGTTTTGCAGCTTTTCAGAACTTTGTCGAAATATATTAATTAATAAGAATCTAATTTTGTTAATATAATATGAAGAATTGATTGATTTTGATGATAAATTATAGAGTATATTTGATATAATACAATTTGCACAGTAAATATTATCAATAATTTAGAGTTAAGAAAGTGTTGTGTTATATAAACTAATAAGAATCAATCAAGAAAAGTCAATGGAAATTAGATATCATAAAAAATTATATTGATATTAGTACTCACAAATTTAAATATCCTAATTAGACTAATTACAATATTTAATTTATTCAATCTTCATAAACTCTATTTAATTCATTACACTTTTTTTAAACAACTCCAAAAGATCCAGATTTTAATAAAAATAATGATACATTATTATAAATTTTATCTCGAAACAAAAATGAATTAGAAGTTGCTTTAATCTAAGGAATAGTAATATTATCTGATCTTTGTTTTCTTGAAAATTAAACTGCAAATAATAAACCAATATAAATAATTGAAATAGAAGGGAAAGTAAATTACATTAATTCAAATGAAGATAAACAGATATTTCGAATTAAAATAAGTGATGATACAGAATTAAAAGATTAAACATTTATCTCTAATAATCTAATTTAAATCAAATAACATTCTCCATAAATATTATTTAAACCTTAATTTGATTCTATTGAAAAATAATAAGAATTTTATATGAATTATAGAGATACTTCAAATTTGTATGTTATAATCGGTGGAACTTAATGTAATTTTTATTTTTAATATTTTAGATGATATAAAGTGTTTAGAATTTGCTTCACTTAGTGATTATACTTCTTTAAGATTAACTTTATCTAATTCTAAATTTGTTTATACATAAGAATTTTAAACAAATAATAATAATGGTTTCAATATAAATAGTTAGATTGTGTAATATATTTTATTTAATTTTAGGATATTGAATAAAAAAACTGATAGTATAATAGCTTATGGTTAGGTTTAAAAAGATAATTTTGAAATTCAATTCGCTTAAAGAAATAATGTAAAGCAAGATTAAAGTGAGTTAGTAGAATATTATATTCCTTTAAATGATTAAGATATCATAATAAATGTTTAAAGAGGAGAATTATAATAAAAAGGAAATCATATAATTAAATGTAGAATTTGTATGGAAAATACATCTAATACATTATTGATTCCTTGTGGACATTTGCGTTATTGTTTTGATTGTTAATCTGAATTGTAAGAATGTTTATTTTGTGAAACAAAAATTTAATAAAGAAAAAAGTTAATTGTAAAATAATTGGATTAAGATAAAAATAATTTATTAAAGGAATTGATGTGGAAATATTAAGATTTACTAAAATTATCATTACAATAAAATTTAAATATTGAATAAAATTTAAAAATTAATAGATATTAAAATGATATCAATTTCAATTAATATTATTGTTAAAAATGTAATAAATCTAAAGGAACTGAATATATTAATTGTTAATAAAATCATTTAATTAGTTATTGTTTAGAATGTTCTTAATAAATTAAAGAATGTGAATTTAAAGGTTGTAATTAAAAAATTATTTGTAAAGGACATATAAAATTTAATTTTGAAGAGTGATTTATTTATAAATTGATCAATATCATTTAAATTTTGATTTCAATACATGAAAATTCTTCAGTGTTGAAGTAGACTTAATAACAAATGATTAAGTTTTCTTTCTTGCTGATTTCAAATTACTAAAATCTTAATTTTAATCATCATCATCAGTTGGTTATGTTTATATTTATTCAAAATGAATACTTTTAGAACTTGAATGAGGTCCAATTAATTTTTCTGTTTAACTTCCTACTAAAATGGGAGGTTATTTTTTCTATTCTTATTAAAGATTATGATTTCTAGGACTTTGTATTGAAACTTGACTTCTAGGAGAAGAAGGACTAAAAGTCAATGTCTTAGCTTATTTCATTCTCCTAACAATAAATTAATTTTGTAATTAAATAGGTTTTTTCAATTACATTTAATTAATTTTGGCTAATTATTCTTAAACAAACCATTAATGATTTAAACATTAATGTGAACTTAATCTTTCTTCAGGATTTGGTTAAAGAGTTGTTTTAATAAAATTCATTCCAAGAATACTTAGATTTATCATACTGAAATCAACTAAACCTTCAACATTTTATTCTAATCTTTTTTCAAAATCACCTTCAAAAGGCATTTAACCAGTCATCAATATATATAATGTAACACCTATACTAAATACATCAACTTTTTAATCATAATTTTAATTTAATAGAATTTCAGGAGCAATGAATCCAGGTGTACCACAACATATATAATGATAATTAACATCAGGATTATAAAAATCTGCTAATTAGAATTTCTTTATACAAAGAGTTTCAACATTATCTTGAAATCTAAATATTAAATTTTCTGGTTTAATATCACGATGTATAATATTTTTAGAATGAATATAATTAACTGCTTTAACTAATCGAAAGATAAGTTTTGCAGCTTAATCTTCTGAAAAGAAATTCTCTCTTATAATATAATCCATTAAATTTCCTCCCATTAATAATTCTTATACAACAAATACTTAATCTGTACTCTCAAAAACTTCATAAAATTTAATTGTAAAATCTGATTATAATCTTCTAAGAACTGAAATTTATTTTTATATAGCAGCTCTATCAACTTCATCAAATAAATTTGATTTCTAATATATTTTAATTGCATATTCATTTCCATCTTATTTATTCTTGGCTTTAAATACCTAAGAAATAATAGTTATTTATTAATATACTTCTGAGAATTGACCTCTTCCTATTCTTTTTCTTAAAATGTAATTTGAATTGAAATCTGATTGTATAGTAAATCTTTTTATATATTTGAACCAAGATTAGGCATCACAAAATATTTCTACAACATCAAAACACTTTATTAATCTAATAGCATGTCCATATTTTTGATGATGAAATTACTCTATTATAGCATTTTCAAAGTCAATCCACTTTAATTTATCCTGATTTAGTAATTCTTATAATTACCTTCTTTGTTTTATAGAACAAATAGTTTTCAACATTGATCAAAGTCTTTTACTTAATGTCTCCTTTCTAATTCACAAATCTCACATCATCAGAAATAGAGTAACTACTTATTGGAACAGGAAGAGCAATTGATTTCATCCATTTCATTGTTGAAAAATTGATTTGAAAAAAGGATTTACAATGTTTGTATTCACAACTATCTATTAATATTGAATATATACCTTGGATTTAGATCTTTTATCATTATTTTGATTCTCTTTATATTAATTAACTTATTTTTTAATAATTATTATATGATATCATATAAATTTATACTTTCTTATTTACACCAAAAAACTAAAGTTAAATATGTTTAATATAATCAGAATGAATCAATACAACAAACAGCCAATCCTTTCTTCTTATCATTCTTCCTTATTGCATCCTAATATGTCCATACAAAATCACCATAATCCATCCACCCTAATTATCTAGCTACATTATAAACTCCACTATAAAATTCTATCTTAGTGCATAAATGATATCCACTTATACATGCACCTGATGCTTCTTCTATATTACAACTTATGCATCCAAAATGAATACTAGCACTTTCTAATTAAAATTATGCTTAAGCTTATATAAAATAAGCCTTTATCTCTTCAGTATAATATTAAAACTTATCCAATAAAAACATCATACTACAATAATCCTTAAACCAAGGTGTATTACCTACATATAGAGCATAATCATTAGGTTTAGGAGCTGCTTAAAATATTTTTATATTATCCAAAACCCCATTAATATACAATTTCAATTTACTACTTGTACTTAATAAAGAAACATAAATCCATTGATTAGCCAAAGGTCTACTAACTGAAACTAATCCAGTATTTTCTGATGTTACTGTTTAATCAATATAGACAATGAATTATTTATGTTTTTGATCATAGTATAAACTTGGATAATGAGTCTCCTCATTACCTTTTTAAAATATAGGACAAACAGATCTTGGTCTCTCTGCTCCACTGGTTCTTGGAAAAAACAACCACATACTGTAGGTAAAATATGGAGTTTATTCGTTTTATGGCATTTCTAAAATTTGACTTCCCTTAAACACTCCAGAATAACCATCATCATATAATGTAGGTCCTCTTTCTAGTTCTTCAACTTCATATTCTGATTGATCTATCTTATTTACTACTTTCATATCATTAAATGACAGTAATATTTTTAATGTATTTAAAAATGAGTTCTCCTACATTGGAGTACCTAAGTATTAGTTCAGAGTGTACCATTTCCACTACAAAATGGCATATCAAATTCCATATCGCAATCAGATTCCATTTCTTCACCTTCTGCCAATTCATCTTAAGATTTTACTACTAGAAAGAATACATAAAATATGAAAAACATTATTATATTAATAATTCTTTTTAACAAGCTCATTATTATTCACTCTAGTAAGAATCCTAATCTCTCTATCTCAAATGCATCTAATATATAATTTCCTTCATAGCCAATTGATTTATTTTTATCCTCTCTTAAAAAATAATCATTTTCCTATAAAAATTAAATCAAATTATGCATATTTATTTTAGGAGCTACAATTTTTAATAATTCTTAAATAACAGTTTCTAATTTAAATTCACTTACCAAAGTAGGAGTGAATGTAGAACAACCAATTTATTGACTTAATTAATGTAATTGACTTCTCATTTTACCTATTGATGTAGATTTACAAACTCTTTAATTTTATTATTGTATGATGTTTAATAGAGCATAAGTACATGTATTAGTTTCCAAAGGTATTTCTAAGATTAATATCAATACTTTGGAATATTATATATTATTATAATTTATGTCTGGAGTCCAAATCATATATTATACATATTTTTCTTATGTTTTTGGAACTAAAATAAATAAATTGATTTATTACTAGCTTCAAATTTATAATATTTATTCAATAAACCAATGAATGAATGTAGATCATTTTTGGTCATTGAATATGGATTCTAAACCTAATTTTTAGTGTACTTAACAATTGGAGAATCTGTCTTTTCATAATAAAGAATCTCTTTATATTATTCTACTCTTGGTTTCAAAACACTTGTAAATATTTCCAAAGAATTTAATTCTTATTGTAAAAATAATAAGGATTGACATTCTTAATAACTTATTTCAAATTTCTAATATAATTTAATTTATACTTTAGTTGAAATTTGTCTTATAAATTTTACAAGGTCCGTATTATCAATGTTATTAAAGCTTAAAATATTTTTAATATGATCTCTAAAGTTATTTTCTTTATTCAAATATTATTCTCTAAGCCATAGTAAATGACTTTTCAATTATTCCCAATCTATAGACTGATCATTTTCTGTACATTTCTCTAAAAAGTTTATTAAATATTTTAGTTATTTCAACTTCTCTTCAAAACTAAAATCAACAATTTTTTGAGAAAAATTTTTGATTTATAACAAGAGCTCAATTATTTTTTGCTTAAGATAATAATCAGGTTCTGCTTTTTGAATTGGTGATAAAATTAATGCACTTGAATATTCTTGTTCTATTTGTTGTTTATGAGGTGGTGTAATAATGGGATATCTGTTTGAATTACGAGACAATGGATTGTTATTTTACATACCAAATTTCTATTACTTTTCTTAATATATAATAATTAAAATAATTATGGCATTATAGATTGATACAAAATTGGTTAATGTATTAATACAATTAAATTGATATCATCATTTATTAACTCAATCAGAACTAAGTATATTAGAGTTTGGCAATAAATATAAAAATTGAAATAACAAATTTTGTTTAGATATATATTGGATTTTTGAAAATTAGAGAGAATATATATATATTATAATAATTTATAGACAATTTTATTAATTATTCCTATTCAACAATGAATTTATTACATCTGGATTTTCTATATGAAACTATCATTGAGTGTTAAGAATAATATGAAATTAGAGTTTATTCATTATAAAAAATAGTAAATTTATTATTATTCAAATATTAATAGCATTTTTATTCATGTTACATAGTAAATGGAGAAAAAAGACTGATATTATTTTTTGATTATATAACATAATCTGTTTGTATAATTTATTTCAATAATAAATTTAAAATGAGTCGTGCAGTGTTACAACCTTTTGAAGTTTATCAAAAAGCAAGAGTTTAATTTGTGTAGACAGTAGCTGAGTTAGCAAAAAGACCATAAAATATTGAGGCATTGCAATCAGCAGGTAATGAAACCGTAACCAATATTTTAGGTGTGATGTCCCTATTAAGACCTTTGCTTTTAGATTGTGTACCATCTATTCAATAATCAGCAGCCTTAGCATTAGGAAGATTGGCTAAGCATTCTGAAGATTTGGCTGAAGCAGTTGTTTCCAATGAAATATTGCCATAATTAGTAAGTTCGTTGGGAGAACAAAATCGTTTCTATAAAAAGGCTGCAGCATTTGTACTTAGATGCGTTGCAAAACATTCATCAACTTTGGCAATGGCTGTTGTCAATTCAGGTGCTCTGGAAGCTTTAGTCTAATGTTTAGAAGAATTTGATCCAAGTGTTAAAGAAGCTGCAGCCAGTGCTCTTCGTTATATAGCCAAGTAAATATAATATATATTCTGTATAGACATACAGCAGATTTAGCTTAGGCTGTAGTAGATGCAGGAGCTGTTCCATTATTGGTGCTCTGTATTTAGGAACCAGAAACAACATTGAAAAGAGTATCAGCAGGAGCTTTATCAGAAATCTGTAAACATTCAGCCGAATTGGCTTAGAATGTAGTTGATGCAGGAGCTGCACCATTTCTAAGTGCTTTAATTCCTCATCATGATGCTGAATTGAAGAGATCTGTTTGTTTTTGTTTGGCCAATATAGCAAAACATACAATAGATTTAGCAGAAGCCATTGTAGATGTGGATATCTTCCCAAAGATTTTATATAGATTAAAAGATACAGATCCTGGAGTTAGGTAAACGTTTTTATTAATCTAATAAATAGAAAAGCTGCAGCAACATGTATTAGAGAAATTGCTAGATAATCTCAAGATTTAGCTAAAATGATATGTAGTGCAGGAGCAGTAGTGTCAATTGTTGATTACATTAATGAAGCAAAAGGTGATGCACGTTTACCAGGCATAATGACATTAGGATTTATTGGAGCTTTTGATGAGGCTTTGGCAATGGGAATTATTGCAGCAAAAGGAATTGCTCCATTAAAAGATGCTTTAATAAAAGAACCTGATCAATCAGTAAAGAGTGCTTCTGCTTGGTCTCTTGGTATGATTGGTGGACATTCAGCAGATCATTCAAGAGCTATGGCTGAAGCAGATGTTCCATCCCATTTATTAGCTGTAAATAATTATTGTTATAATTTTAGGTTTATAAATTTCCTGAATCTAGTGAAGATCTTAAAAAGAAATCAAGTTAAGCTTTGAAATCGATATTATAAATGTGTACTTATTTACCTGCTCTTGAACCATTAATCTCAGAAGCTCCCCCTGATATTTTATAATATGTCTTACATTAATTCCAGAAGACATTACCTAATGATAATGCAGCCAAAAAGTATATAATATATATTATCATTTTTAGACAATTTGTATTATCAGAAGGATTAAAGAAGATTCAAGAAATTAAAGCAAATCCAGGTTCTAAATTAAGACAATATATCGACGAAATAAATTCTTATTATCCACCAGAAATTATTCAATATTATAGTGCTGGATACGAACAATAATTGCTTAAGAAATTGGACGATTATAATGCAGATTGAACATTTATAATATTAATCCAAATATATATTAAATTACAAGTTAGCAACATAATTAAAATTCATTTATGTATAAATAACAACAATAATAGTAATATTCACATCCAGCATAATTGATTCCATCAGTTTGTACTCTTAATACATAAGAAGAAGATTAATAAGACTATTAATTAATATAAAGAAAGCTCTAATGTTACAAAGATAATTTGAAAATAATTCAAAAAAATAACGAAGATGATCGCAAGTATCTATCATCATCTTCAGATGTCTTACAATTGACTGAATCATAAGAAGATGATTGTGAATAATTAAAATAACAAATTAATTTCTTACAAGATGAATTGAGTAAAACAAAATAAAATATGATGCAAATAATTGAGGAATTAACTTAATAAAGAGATTTACTTATATATAAAATTCAAGAATTAGAATCTACTATAGATAACTTATAATAACAAAAACATCTTAGAAATAAATCAATTCATTCTACATTATTGGATATTACTTATGAATAAGATTAAACTTAAGATTATGGTAGAAAAAGAACTAGATCTAAATATGATGATTAGAATTGTTGGAAACGTATTTTTGAAGAATTGGCTGATATGTTAAAAACAGAAAATGTAATTCAAGAAGTTCATAGATTATAATAAAAATGCATTAAACAAGATAAATTTATAGGATGTGTATAAGACTTAGTTATTAAATTAACACCAAAAGATATATTTGAACATTCTAAACCTTAATTAAGAGATTGTTGGCATTGGATTAAAGGTATATGTACAGAATATATGAATCTAAAAAAGATGTAAGCCACTCTTATAGTGGAAACATGTTCATAAATTCTCAATGTATAACCTTAAGATATTGTAGGCTAAATTCAATTTCTAATCAAAAGAATAATAGCCTAAAAAAATTGATTGTTATTTTATTTAAATAACTTTTTCAAAAAAATTATTTATTTTTAAAATCGTTACAACTTTCAATATTTTAATATTTTATTCCTCTCATCTTTTAATAGAGAATTTAATCTTACTTTCTATTCATAACATTATAATAAAGTTATCTATTATAATAATAATTCAGTTTAATCTAAATAAGATAACTTTTTAATTTATGATAAATTATATTTATATAGAATTTAAAGCATTATTATATGTATGTGTAAAATTTATATAGAATTTAGAATTTAAAGCATAAAAATCAATGATCATATGTTATTGCATAAAGGATTGTTATATTATAAATATATAAAATAATAAGGTTGAATATTAGAGTTCTTGTTAATAAATTTTAATTAAAGAAAATAATTATGAAATACATCTTTATTTATAAAAAAAATAATCTCAAAGGACAAATAATCTAATATCTTTTTTCAAAATTTTCAATTGCATTAATAAATTTAATAATAATAGAATATAAATTTAATTTTATTTAAAATAGGTCTATCATTTATCCTCTTCTTTCTCATTTTGTCTAATAATAAAAATAATTATTATATTTTAATAGATTAAAATCCATTATGTAATCATTAATATTTACTATTTACCCTAATTTAAGAAAAAGTAAAAAAGAAAGTTCAATTACTTTAATAAGGAACAGAAATTCAAATTATTAAATTTGATGATGATTATTTAGTACATATATTAATTAGTCAGTTTTATATTGCATTAATTCTAAATATCTTATCTTATCCTATGGTTATAAATTAACCTTAAGAATGAGATATCCAATAGATTGCTAATATGGAATTCAAATGAATTTTATGTGTATGCAAAATAATTCTATCTTTTATATTGTATATCAATAATTAACCAGCTTTATTTCCAAATATCATTATTTATTCATTATATTATATACATGATTAGATTGCAGAATCAAATTTAGTTTAATAAACAAAATCATATTTTTAAGTTGTAGGATTAAATTGAATAAATCTAATCATCTTATCTTCTGAGAATGAATAGATATAATTATCAAATATAAATAAATTTAATATATTTGAAGTATGTCCAGTAATAATATGTTTAATTAAGAAATTAAAACTATCCCAAATTTTAATTGTTTAATCATGAGAAACACTTAATAATTAATTATTAGAATAATAAAGTTTATTGCATCTTTTTGAATGAGCATTTAATTTTGTACTAAATGTCCAATTTTTATATATATAAATTGATCCCACCTCATCACCAAATATTATAAACTTATCATAAGACAATAATGAATAAATTTACTTTGTTGTATCATTAGCTATTTAAAAAAATAGCTTTGGATTTGAATTCTAAAATTCATTTTAATTATAAACATATACAATTTTATCATCTCCTGCTATTGCAACATATATATTTTTTTCTAATTTGAATTTGATTGCTGATCTTAATGATTTAAGACTACATTAAAATATATTTAATATAGTTGTATTAGAATGTACAATTATTTTTCCTTAAATAGTTGTTAAGAGGATGGCTCTTTCATAATTTTGATTAATCTATTAATTAATTAACACCATATCTGTAATATCAAACTCTAGTTTATGTGTATGAATATGAGAAACCTTATATTCTACTCTATATTTTGCTATTTCTTTTTCTTTTATCATAAATTATAAATTAGATTTTTAATACTTTTACCAAATTTATTATTATTAATCAATTTCAAAATTTCGTTTAATTCTTTCCCAAATTTCTTCTTTTTTCTATTATTTTTTTTCAAAAAATTGAATAAACAATTACTTATTATCAAGTATATTCAATGGAGTAATTAAATCCAAAAATTCTTAGGATTACATTATTGATGTAAAATATCTATAATCACTTTGTATCATTAATCTTAGTAGATTATAAATTTTAGAACCATAATATTTGTTAATTAATTCTAAATATTCAGTTTCCTATTAATCTTCTATCTCAATTAATAAGTATAATTGCATATAACATCTACCAAGATTCTTTAAACTCTAATTATTACTTTAGTATTATTGTTTTATAAAATCTAAAATTAGATATTCTTCTAAACTAACTTCAAATTTGATGCTTTGTAAAAAATTATCCATAAATTACAAATTTTCATTATTATATATAATATTTGATGGCTTTATATTTTTAATCATAAAACCATTTAATTCTAATTCATATAACTTGATTATTGTGTTGATTAAATTTTATGTTACATTAAGATTCTATGTTTTCACTTATAATTCATTAGCATAATCTAATGGATTTACTTCATAAATCTTCTCATTATCATCAATAAGGTCATTATATAACTCTTAATCCTCTTTCTATTTTTGTGTTTCACTCTAATTTTACTATATTACTTATCTAAGTAAATTATAAAATAGTTAATATTAAATATAAATAGTATAATTTTCTTCTATATGATAGTATTATGGAGCATAAAGAATATCAGTTTATTTGCTTAAATATTGTTCTAATTCTAATGTCTTAATCAATTCATTTAGATCATAAATATTTTCAAATTTGTATTATTTTATTAAATGACCACTTTTATTTTCATAGACTTAATAATTAATTCCTTCATAAATTACATATTTAATTGTTCTATCAATCTACTTTTATTGCTATAACAAATCAGGTTTATAAATCATTATAAGATTAAATTATTTTACTTAAAATAATTATATTAAATATATTATGATCATCCTATACTCAAAATTAATACTAATGTTTATTGGAATAATTTCTTATTAATATTTATCATATAAATACTTAAAAAATAATCAATATTTATTTTATTAAATGAATAAAATGTTAATTTTCATTCCTTTATTGATCTTTTAAAATGTCTATGCTGAATAGACAAATTATGAAAAATGTGCTTTAATAATAAAAAGTATATTTGCTGGATTATCATTAACTTATTAAACAAACTAAATCAATTATATGGAGAATTTAGATTGTAATGGTTTTTTAGATGATATATCTAAATCTGTTGAATATTCAAATGGTCATAGTTTTGAATAGCTAAAAATTGGATGGGATGAATTAGGGAATGCCCTAGGAAAAATTTAAGAATCGATTATCAAAAACATGAACTAGAATGCACTTGACAATAATTCATAATTATTATGGATAATTAGTTTTGTAAATAATATGAAATTAAAATTAAAAAATTAAATTGTTTGTGAATTAGATGAATAAGCAGAGAAAATTATAGAATTAATTTTTGATTTAAATATTTTTAGTATATTCACATATGAATTCATTAGGTGACTAATTGAAAAATTTTAATGAAGAATAGTATCAAACATATGGTTATTCAATTGGTTAAATGTTGTTAAAAATATAAGAAAAAATTGTCAATTTTAGTTCCATATCTTAAGGAATGGAGATAGCTTTAAAAGTATTTAGTGGATTTTAATATGGAATATAAGATCAGTCTCTAATTAATAAAGATTAACTAAAGAAATGTTTAGAGGGTGCTGATTAACTTGTTATTTATTATGATGATTTCTCATACTAAATAGAGAGTTTTATGCATATAATATACCCTTTTTGTGTGCACAAATAAATTTATCTTGCATTAAACCATTATATAAATGGATTAGATAAATGTTCAGATTCTATTACTAATGCTTCAAAATTAAGCCAAAGATTAAAACAATTAATCAAAGTACTAGAAAATAAAAAATTGTTAAATAGAATTGATTAATCATAATTAATAGAGTCTGTAATTTGATATATATTAATAAAAGGCATAATATGCAACTATTTGTTGGCATATGGGATATTGGTTTGGATTTGGTGAAGAATTAGGCATTTATTTAGCATCATTAGAAATAAAATAGTAAAGCAATTAAATTTATCAACGAAAATTTTGAATAAAAAAAGTAACAAATATTATTCAATATTAAATCTTTTATAATTATATATATAATAATATAATAGAAATTGTTAAAAATCAAAACTACTTTAATTTTCTATATTCTTCCAAACTCATTGGATATTCACATGGTTTTCCTGATTCCTTACATCTTTGACATTTAATTTTATCAAATTCTTTAGTTTTATTTATCTTATCTTTAACTATCCATGGTTTATAATCAGGACAACCTTCTCTGTGATAATGATTGCCATGAGCCACTATTGGAATTCGATCAACAGAACAAGCTGAACATAGATCTCTTTTGCAATTAAAACATTTCACATGATTGCATTTATCATCTTTTGTTTAAATTAACTAACAAAATGGACAAAGAAGTATTGGCATACCTTAAAATGCTTTTTAAATCTCTTTTGCTAAACTTGGACATTATTAATTCTAATATTAATATTAAATTTACTTGTTAGTTTTGACCATGATATTCTTGACGACAAAGACTACAAAGCATAGTATTACATTAAAAGCATTGAAGTTTAACCTACTTATTTAGAATCTCTTAACTAGCTTTTATTGCCTATTAACATTTACAGCATTTCATAGGAATATCTGCTAATACTCTCCTTTTTACAATTTCACCAAAAAGTGCAATTGAAATATTCTTTTTTAAAAAATCTTAACGATTATTAAATGATTAACCACAAGAATAACATGTTATTTTTTCAAAACTCATATTAATTTTTGCTTTTTAATCTAAATCCTGTTAATAACAACAAACATGCACTTTTTTATTACAACAAGGAGTCACTATAGATTCATCTAAATCTAAATTATATTTCATAGTGCATATTATGCAATCTAAAACATTTTATTATTTCTGTTAAATTAAATTAGTAAGAATTCTAGATTAAAGTACTTAATTGTTAATTGATTCATTTTCTTCTAAATTATTAATTTATTATGTACAAAACACTACTTCTTCCTCTGTGACTTATTGTGTGGATATATTCAAGTTAGAATTAAATTTATCTTATTATTTTGGAAATTAATTTTAAAGATTTAAATTTTAGAATTAATCTTAAAACTATTAAATTGATCCTGTTATTGGTTATTGTCTCTCATTTTGATTTTGATTTGGAGTCAATTTTATTTAAGAAGATGATTCTTTTGGAAAGTTGTTAAAATTACAACTATTAGTTACTGATGTTTGAAAAAATTTTTTCATAGGATTTTATTATTATTATTATTAAGTGAAAATCATTTATGAAAAAGCATTATGATTCTTTAACAGCTACCATTTTTGATTCGCATTTGATTGCAAACTAGTTATATCCTTTTATAGTTGACCGTTTTAAACTTATTATTAATTTATTTAAGTAGATTAAGTAAATATCTATTTTTGAATTGGCTAATTAGATTATGGATATTGAGAAAATTAAGGCTATTAAAATTACATTTAATTTTTTGTATTAAAATTTTATATATTTGGTATAGAAAACAAAGTATCAATATTTTAGTTTGTTGAAAATATGATATGAGCTATATTCCCTTATTAATCACCATTTACATATAATAAAATTCTATATTTTAAGTCTTATTCATTTATTTCTAAAACTTAAGTACCATTTAAACTTTTATAATAAGAAGGTGTCTTATCTTGAATATGTTTTTCATAAATAAAACTTTCTTATATCAAATCACCAATAGGCTTGAACTCAAAGCTTTGAGGAAAAGGGTTCAATGATTATTTCTAAAATATCCAATGACAAAGATAAATAAATTAATCCAACTGCAAATCTTTCAAATTCATCTTATTCAAATCTTAAAACTAATCTTTCACTTTCTAATTCTAAGAAAGTTTTAACATTTAAAAAAAAAATACTCCAAAACTTATTTCTAAATCTCTTGTACTAAAATTTATTAATGGATAGCAATTCCATTTCAAAAGTTTAGATTCTAAATAAGGGGGAAAATAGATATTATTTTTTTTTATATGTTCCAAAATTTCTGCTTTAGTATGGGTCATTGTTTAACTAACAATAAATTCTTATTACAAATTCATTTTCTATTAAAATATTATAATTTATATTATATAATTTAATTGAATAGAAAAATAATATTACGCAAATACTTATTCCTAATTTTATATAATTACAAGTATTTCCCATATAACCATCGATATTTTATCAATTTAGAATTAATAACACTTAATACACCCATTCTTAAAAAAAGAAGGCTATGCTTTTTCAAAACTTAATAATGATTGAGAAATTCTTTAATATTAAACTATAGCTTATTAGATTTTATAAGAAGATATATGATTAATTTATTTTTAAGATTAACTTTTCGATAATGAGATTTTTCATTTAGTCTCTAATTATATATAAGTTTTTTTAATGGAATAAATAAAAATTTACTTATTAAATTAAATGATATAGAATGGGTAAGTTTATTTAATCCCCCTCTTCAAAAACATTATTTTGGATAGCAAGCAAAGTATTAAATATAAGCACATCTAGATTACTTATTTTTTATTATCTGAAAAAAATATGTACTATGAAGGAAATAATGTTCACTAATTAATTGGAAAAGTATAAAGAAAATGAAATAATCTTACAAGATTTTGATGCTACATTTACAAGGATTAAAAAAAAGAAGTATTATGTAAGAATAAAGTATGAATTATAGGATTAATTTATTTCGATAGTAGATCATTAAGAGTTTGTATTTAATTAGACATTAGGCACAATTAGCTTCATTAAAATCTTGATAAAAGTAAATAAATGTTTCCCTTATTAGTAGTTAGTACAATTTAGCCTAATAAATTAGAAAAAGTATTTTTTGGAGAACAAAAATATATGTTAAAATGAAATAGAACTAATTTTAATTTATGAAAATAATATTTAATACTATTTATCATTTTGATTCTCTTTGACATTGTGAGTTAGGAAATAGATAATTCAAGTATCCCACTTTCATTTATCTAAATAGTATAGTATAATAAAACTATTAAATAGTAATTATTTTATATGAAATACTTAATAATAACTATTTATAAAACAATAATATATTTCAAATTTTATTTAATTTCTCCTTAAACTGTCCAACTTTTCTTCCATTAGAATACATTCCAATATATGTAAATTTGTTTCTGAAATTATAGATAATTATATACAAAAGGTAATTTTAATCTATTTCAGTACATATACCATTCTTCATTTCTTCATCATCATAATGAAAATTTCCTCTAAAATACTTGAATTTGAAATAACTTACACATATTTCCAAGAATTTATCTGTTTTTGAAATATTTACCAAATCCATTCTCCTGTCTTCTTACCTTAATCATAAGTTCCTTACCAACTTGTTATAAAATTTCTTACTAATAAAAATATATTTTTACCTAAATCCTTTATCATCAAATTCTACCCAAATTCCATGTTTACGGCCATCTTAATTATAATCGCCTTGTTCACTTGTTATTTTTTTTAATTAAATACATAATTAAGTTTGTATCTCTTATAATTTACCATTATTTTATTTTAACACCATTTCTGTATTGTCCATAATCTATCAATTAATTGAATCTTTTCATTTTTAATGTATATATACCTCCAAAAGTTTTCATTTGGTTATACCCATTCTTTATCTTTCATACCATTTCCATCATACTCCCCTTACCCTCTTTTTTTTTATATAAATTTAATACATTCTTTTAAACTCATTCTCTTAAAGTCCTCTATATTTTATCTCACAAAAATTAACCTTTTTTCCTTCTTAATAGTCTACATTATATATTAATTAACGAGTTCTAAATATTTGAAAATCTAAACCTGCAAAATTCATCATCAATATCAATCCATGATTATACTTTTCGACCATTTTCATAAAAGCCTCCCCCACTAATCTTATAAAATTATAATTACATATCAGTAAATTTCTAATTGGATTATTCCCTAAATTATATTTACCACATTCCTTCCTTAATCCCTTTATTGTACAACCCTTTATAAAGTATTTAAGAATGTCTTTTATATTTTTTAAATACTCTTTGAAGTTATTAGAGATTTCTATCCAATTCCCCTCTTTCCTTCCTAATTTAAGCTAACCTATTTCTCTTTATATTATAATTTTTTAAATTACAAGTCTTCTAATTACAAATTAGAGCCACTGATTTTTCTCAATTTTATCATATGTTAACCCTATATTATACCTGCTTAATAATTTTCATTTACAATTAATTGGCAAGAGCTTACAGTATTAAATAAATTTACTCAGAAAAATTTTTAGCCAAATCTTCCCATTTGCCTTATTTTCTTCCTTTTTTATCATATTCTCCACCTCCTATAATCTCAAATGGTTAGCTATCAGAGTATCTATATTTAATTATCCATTTGTTAGTTTTTATTCCATTATGATATTATCCTTCATTCACTGCTTAATAATTTCTGAATATATAAGAGGATTTATTACTCATTTTAATTTTCAAGCAACTCTGTCCAATTACCAATTTTAAAGCTGTTTAAATCATACTCACCACCTCCTCTTTATATATAAGTAATTTATACATGATCTCAGTTTATTTCTCAGATTATCCTTTATCAAATTTTATTGTTTTTTATTACAAAAACCACTATCCATTTTTATTTCCACCTTTATACTCTCCACACCAAACTATTTTACATTTTCTATTAATATTATTTTTAAATAAACTCTGAAAAATAGCTAGTTAGTTCAGTCCATTAACCTTCTTTTATACCTTCTTCATTATAAAGACCTCCACAACTAAATGATTAAATAAATCAACTCATACATTTTCTTAAACCTTGTTTTTTAATTTCTTCTAAATAATGTATTCCACTAACCTTATTTTATTCCATTTTTATATTATCCTGTCAAAATAACTTAAAAATCTCTATGAATAAAATACTCAATTTTACTCTTTAAAATTATTGCTTAACTCTGTCCATTCCCCTTATTTTAGTTAGTTTTGATCATATATTCCACCTCCTCTAAAAGATTAGAATGATTTAATTACATTATTTTACAATTTCTAGTTAAAGGTTCAATCCATTCATAACTCCACTTATTAATTTTCTACCCATCATTATATTCACCTTAGTAAATTACATAAATTTGACTTTATTTTAAAATAATCAATACGGTGTTATATATTTGTAGAATTTTGTCCAAAACCCTTATTTACATCCATTTAAATTGAATTCACCTCCTCCTCTAAAATTTACAATTGAATTTACATTTTCATGTTGTTGTAAACTATATTTAATTCCCCTTATTTTTTCCCTTCTAAATATTAACAAATTTTAAATCCCTATTTGTTATTATAAGTTTTGATTTTACTAAAATTTTTGATTTGCAAAATTGAAAACTTTGGTTTACATACTTTTTATATTTAGAAGGGAATTCATCATCATCATATAAATAAATAATGGATTCCACTTTTTAGATAATGAAGCATTATATACATAGATCGCAAAGATTGATCACATTTTATAAAGGATATGTCTTTATCAATTACATCCTTATATATGATTTCCCAATCATAATAATCAAATCTTATTTTATATGACAATTACTTTGTTTTTTTCTCCAAAATAACCCATTTACCTTATTTTTTTCCTTAACTATCATATTTTCCTCCACCTCTAGTATCATTAATATGAATTCTCTTACATAATTGTCCATTCCTCACTTTAATTTTTTCTATAGAGTATATTCCATTGATTGCACTTTTAACCGTTATTATATTCACCATTTTAAATAATTTAGCACTTTCTAAATCAATTATGAAATTAATTAAAAACTTTGAGAAATTTTTGTCTATTTTAATCCATCTTCCTTTTTTGAGACCCTATTCGTTATATTCGCACTTTTCTATCTATTAATTTATTAAAATATTTTGAAATGATTCATTACTATTGTCTCTGTATTTAAATATAAATGTCGAGTTTTTTAACCCTAGATAATACTATCCATAACAAATTATCTAGCATCCACTAAAATAAATTTAAAGTTTACTCTTAATCATTGTGCATCATTTTGAAATAGGGGATATTATCAGGATATTGACTTATTTCTAAATTTAATCTTACTTTGGAAAATAAAAATCATTTAATATTAATTCTAAACAATTTTGGAAAAAGTTATGAAATTCTATGCAATTAGTAATTATTTTCGAACTATTATTGTTCTAAGTTGTTACCCTTAAAATATTCTTAATTTTAGTTTTTCAAAAGCTTTCTTCTGAAGATCTTAGCTTTATAATCCATAATTCTTTTCATCTATTTATGTACTTGTCACTCTCTATATCATTTAACTGAATTCTTCTGATTATTATATTTAGTATTATTAATTAACATATTTATAAAATATTATCATCCAAAATTCTACATAAAATGATGATTCTATTATTTTGATTGGATTCAAACATCTATTTACTATTATTTGGATTACATTATACTATACCAAACTTACTATTTATATTATCACAAAAACTTAAACATGGAAAATTGTTTTAATACTGTTTTATATAATAATAAATGTAAAATGAAATATCGAAATTGAAATGCTAAATACATTAAGAAAATAAGGTGCAATTCATTTGTATGAGTACAGAGTGCTAAGCCTTAAAATTATGCTGCTTAAATTGTCAAGAAATTCATGATATACACCATACTTCTTTGAAAAACATAGATTGTGCTTGGGAAGAAATAATATAACATAAATAAAAATAGATTGAATTAAATAAAACTTTAGAAAATTTTTGGTCACAAATCTTAGTCATTTTCCCTTAATTAGATAAGATCATAAGTTTTAATAGATTTTTAGGTTTTAATCTTATATTTATAGAACAATTTATAGTATAATTGGAAAAGGAATTAAAATAATAATTGAATTGTTAAGACTTAGATTAAATAATCTAAAAACACAAAGCAATGTTTGTGTTATTTGATGAAAAAGTTTAAATTTGTAAAAAAAAATATTGTATTAATAATCTATTTAAATAAAGGTTAACCAGAAAATTGTGATAAATTAGATGTGGATAAGATGTTATCACTTTTTTATGATGCTAGAAAATTATATAAAAAAGGTGATAAGTAAAATGCAATTGATAAATATACTGAAGTGTTGGAGTTAAATGAAAATTTTATATTTGCAAGATTAGATAGAGGTTGAAATGATTAATTTAAATAAATTAGGAAAAATGAATATAGGTTTGAATTATGAATAAGCATAATTTGATTTTGAAGAAGTATTAAAGCAAGATGATCTAAATGTCAGAGCTTTAAAAGGATTAGGTAATGCAAATGTATAATATTAGCTGTCTCTTAAAAAATGAAATGCAATTATAGTGAAGCCCTTTCTTATGCATAAAAAGGTTAAAAATTGAACAAAATATCTCCTCAACTTAATTTTTTCATTTAGGTATTTTTTGTTGTAATGGATAGCTGATTGTTACAAGTTTGAAGGTAGAAATAAAGAGGCACTACACTTCATTAATTTAGCAATTGATTAGAAAAAAAGAAAATATGAGAATAAAATGAAAGTTTATTATAAAAATAAAGGTAGATTCGTTTAATAAAATTAGCTGAAATACATCTTGGTCTAAATGATATACAAAATGCAAATACCTTCATAAATAAAGCATTAGATATATATCAACATTATGAATTAGCAATAAATATCAAAGGTACTTAAAAGTATTATTCTTTTAGAGAGAATTAATAAGATTGCAAAAATGAAGAATGTAATTTTGTGAATTAATTATTATATATTATGCTTTTATTTTGGTTGAAATTTTTATTAAATTGATAAAATTTCATAAATAAAATAAAATGATAGATAATATTTTCCATAATGTAGAAAATCTTCATATTCAAACTCATGCACAAATCAAAAAAATATTTGATCGCTTCCATAATTTAAAGTCCAAGCTTCTTGAATATATCAATTCAATTTAAGAAAATTTATAATTATGGAATAAGGAGTTTAATTCTAAATTTAATTAACTAAATAAAGAAGATGTAGCCTAAGCAAAAGTATAGTATCAAAAAATGGAAGAAGAAAATAAAAATTGGATTACTAAAATTTCAAATGCTTTAAATAAAATGAAGAATTGTGATGAATACTAAAGTTTTTTTAATTAACTCTAAGGAATTCACAAAGAAGATTGTGAAATTAAATTAATAAGTACAATAATATAATAGGAATGTGAATGTAATGCTATTTCAATCAATAAATCTGGATAATTGATTGCAACTGGAGATGCAGAAAATATCAGCATATGGGAATGCAAAGAAGGAAATATGAAAAGAGTTTAACAGATAACAAAACATCCATAATCTGTCTCTTGTTTAATTTTTAGCAGATATACAAATTCATTTATTTCTGCTTGTAAAGGAGGCAGAATTCATTGTTGGTAATAAACTGCTGGCATTGGAAATTTTTAATCTAAATCTGAATAATTTCAATATGGACCAATAAATTGTATGATATTAAACAAAGAAGATAATCAACTTTTTAGTGGAAGTGAAGCTAATAGAATTATTGTTTGGAAAGTAGATTTTGAATCTTATGAATTAACAAAAATGTAAGAATTATAAGCATAAGGTTATGTTGAGGGTTTAGCTTTGAATCCATCTGAATAGATTTTAGCATCCACATTGAATAATAAAGAAATTGCTATCTATAAAAAACAAAACAACAAAAAATGGTATTTTCATTCAAATGCTACAAAAATCACTGATGAGTCTGGATCAAGAATATGTTTTTTATCTGAAAAGAATTTCATTTGGGTCACTGGGGGATAAGTTGGAATAGATTCTATTTGTTTTTTTGTAGAGGATAATGGGCAATACAAAGAGACAGAAAAGAAAATAAAATTGACTGAAAATAAAAAGGAATATGATTTTCATCAATTTGATATAATTTATTAGAGAGAGAAAAATATTGTAATTATTAAATAAAAATTTTAAATATGGATTATGAGAGTTAATTATAATGGTGAATTGGAAAAAATAAGTGTAATTTAATGTAATTCTAAAAGAACTGTGGGAACTTTAACTCATGATGGGAGCAAGTTTATATATTTTGAAAGAATTGATAATAGAGTTGGAAAATTTTATATATATAATCTTGAGCTAAATTGAATTTTATGAGGGATCAGAAAATTCTTAAAATATATAAAGAATTTATTATTAATATTTTTAAAATTGTGTAAACTATGTTACTATACATAAAAACCTTTTTTGAAAATTCTTGATATCCCTAATACTTTTATCTACCCTCTAAGTAATAACTAAATCTTATTTTTCAATATCATAATCAAAGATTATAAATTGTATTAGTGTATAATATTCTAGAGATCTTTGATTTGGCCTAACCAAATAATTGAAATATGTTACTGATAGCCTTCAAATGAATTTCTAATCTCAAATTTTAGAAAAATAACATAATAGTTTTGTAGTTTTACTTTTATTTATTGAATAGGATTTAAAAATCAACTCTTATTTTAATTCAATTGCTGATACTACTGCTCTAAAAAAACAATAAATATTTAGTTTTCTCCTTAAAAATTTTTAAGCTGGACGACAAGCTTTTTTCTCAGTTACTAAAATTATTATTATGGAATACAAACAAAGTATATCACCCTTGAAGTCCAATTAGATAGATTCTACAAATATCTATGGAAAAATTTTGAGATTTTGAATTATTAGTATTTATGGCTGAAATATTCTTTTAGAATGAGTATCAGAGTTATTAGAATATGATTTGGCAAATAATTGGAAAACCAAAAACGTTTTAAAACTAATATTTATAATAGCCAAATATTAACAATCTTAAGTTTTTATAATATTTATAAAATCATAAGCTGAATAATAAAATCTAAATGTTAATCGAAATTTTAAGTTTTTAAATAAATCTCAAATTTTAGAAGCACACATTTTAAAGTCTATCTTAATTATTTTGCTACATTTCCCAATGATTTTCAAATTATTCTTTATGATAACAAGAGAGATTCAAGTAATTTATCTTAATGATATACTTCTTCCTTTTTGTAATTAACCCATCTTGTTTATTCCTTAATTTGAAACAACTCAATAGGAATTAATTATAAATGATATTTTTATAAAGATAACCAAAAGCATTTCAATTGTAGATATTTATAATTAAAAATGAAAAGATTTAGTCACTTTAATAATAGCAATTGAAAAAACTAATTAGAATCTGATTTAATTGAAGAATTTTTAAATAAAAGAGTAATTAAATTTAGGATATTTAGAATTGATGAAATCAGATAAGAGAAATTGATATATTAAGTTTAAATTTAATTAAAATATTTATAGCATTTTTTAAATTTGTGCTAAGCTACATATCAACAAGGTATGGAGTAGAATATCAAGTTATGATTTTTAAATGTGTCACATTTTGGAAGATTCAAAATAATATCTAAGATAATTATAAAGGATTTTTTGTGATAATAAATATATTGTGTGTTTCTGCATTTTATGAAATAAGAATTAAATTGTTTGCCTTTTAGGATCCTTAAATTTCGGTTATAACATTCTAATAAAATGATGAATAGGAACTTTAAACTGATTCTGTGTGACAAAACAATATAATTTATATTAAATCATGCATTTACAGAAGCAAAGAATGGATTATGATCATTGATTGGTAGTAATCCTCAAATAGTGGAAGTTAAAGTAAATTTTGAATTTAAATAATTTTAGATTGTATAAGTATATCTTCAACTGTTATTTGTATCATTTAGTACTAATTCAGATTCATAAATAGAATATGTAAGATTGAATATTCTATTGAGTATTGAAATTTTGGCTTAAGAAGTAGACAAATTATTTTGAGATACCATCATTATTGTTAGTTTAAGATAGACCTCTTAGATTTGATTATAGAGGAAATCAGATTCATAAGAATTATAATGAAAGAGGTTATGTTATCAATGGTGAAAGAAGTGAACTTGTCTTCTTTAAGTATAATTAAATTATGAATTTTAGAGATATTTCAATTGAATATATATCCAAATATACTAGTTTGGTTCCCATTTGAGTAGATTAAAAGATTCCTCATAAAGATTTTGACTTTTATGCCTACACTTTATTTATTTATAAATTATTAATAGATTTATAAATGTAGGTAAGTTCATAAGCATGATGATATGAAAATAAATAATATTTTGAATTTACAATAAGATCATAGACTTTAATAATTTCTTGGAATTCTACTAGTTATAATTTGATTAGTAATACCTGCATGTTATTTTATATCGATAAAAATAATTTTTGATAAAAATAATCAATCTAATTAATTAATTACAAAATATTTATTGATTAGATCATATAAAATATACTCATTCTTTTATTTTGATATATTTTCAAGATTCTGACATATTTTCAATTATATTGTTTTTATCACATGCTTATTCTAAAATTTACTCTTATTTACTTATAGAAAAATCGTTAAATAATCTTAACCCACCAGAGAGTTGGTGTTAAAATTTATTGTAGAAATAGATTTGTAATTTTAATTGTATTGATATTTATAACCAATATTAATCTGAATCTACACTAAGATTTTCAGTATATTGTCGATTATTAGTATTTATTTATTGAAAAAACTATATATAACTAGAACTATTACAATAAGAGATACAGATTATTTACTCTCTAATCTAAAATTTTTAACAATTTAGTAAAATGAAATTAATAACCCTAGGCTTACAGGAATGTTTAATTATTTATTTTTTTAAATATTCTTATTATATTTTCTAAAATCATTCCAAAGAATAATAATATTTCTGAAAATTCAGTAAAGAGGAGATAAATGAAAATATTCTTGAATCTATTGTTAAAATTTTCCAGAAACTTGTTGCTTAAAATTTCCAAAAAATGTTAGCTTTTATTTAGAATTTATTCTTTTTTATTAAGTAAAGAATTTTTTACTTAAGATAATCATTCCTTCCATGTATTAGAATTTATAATTTATGAAGATTATTCTATACTATTACNTAATGAAAGAGGTTATGTTATCAATGGTGAAAGAAGTGAACTTGTCTTCTTTAAGTATAATTAAATTATGAATTTTAGAGATATTTCAATTGAATATATATCCAAATATACTAGTTTGGTTCCCATTTGAGTAGATTAAAAGATTCCTCATAAAGATTTTGACTTTTATGCCTACACTTTATTTATTTATAAATTATTAATAGATTTATAAATGTAGGTAAGTTCATAAGCATGATGATATGAAAATAAATAATATTTTGAATTTACAATAAGATCATAGACTTTAATAATTTCTTGGAATTCTACTAGTTATAATTTGATTAGTAATACCTGCATGTTATTTTATATCGATAAAAATAATTTTTGATAAAAATAATCAATCTAATTAATTAATTACAAAATATTTATTGATTAGATCATATAAAATATACTCATTCTTTTATTTTGATATATTTTCAAGATTCTGACATATTTTCAATTATATTGTTTTTATCACATGCTTATTCTAAAATTTACTCTTATTTACTTATAGAAAAATCGTTAAATAATCTTAACCCACCAGAGAGTTGGTGTTAAAATTTATTGTAGAAATAGATTTGTAATTTTAATTGTATTGATATTTATAACCAATATTAATCTGAATCTACACTAAGATTTTCAGTATATTGTCGATTATTAGTATTTATTTATTGAAAAAACTATATATAACTAGAACTATTACAATAAGAGATACAGATTATTTACTCTCTAATCTAAAATTTTTAACAATTTAGTAAAATGAAATTAATAACCCTAGGCTTACAGGAATGTTTAATTATTTATTTTTTTAAATATTCTTATTATATTTTCTAAAATCATTCCAAAGAATAATAATATTTCTGAAAATTCAGTAAAGAGGAGATAAATGAAAATATTCTTGAATCTATTGTTAAAATTTTCCAGAAACTTGTTGCTTAAAATTTCCAAAAAATGTTAGCTTTTATTTAGAATTTATTCTTTTTTATTAAGTAAAGAATTTTTTACTTAAGATAATCATTCCTTCCATGTATTAGAATTTATAATTTATGAAGATTATTCTATACTATTACAATGTTATATCATGTCAGTTAAACTTAGGAAAAATGTTTATTAAAACCGAATAAAAATAATCATAATTGAATTCTTATCAATTGTTTACTTTATTAAATAATATAATAAGATTAACCTTTTTAGAATTAATATCTACCTCAGGTAGAAACCATCTTACAGCTTAAATGGGAAGGGGCGATGTTATGTAATTGATATCAACCCTGAGACAAATAAGTTAATTCATACTACCTCTCTCAAGTAATGTAAATAACTGAAAATTGTATCTTAAATGAATTATAATTCATATAACACAATCTTAAAAAATAAATTCTTTGCCTTAATTTCTTTACTAAAAATTCATCCAGATGTAAAAGCACGATTATAACTTTTAAAAGTGTAAACTTTAAACATGCAATTAAATTATTATCCTTGATCTTTTCCAAAAGTTCTTATTTCCTGATTCTGTAATAAAACAATATTTATTTTATTTTTTTATCACATTGGTCAAAGATGATATAATTCTCTAATTTTATTGAAATAATACTTTATGGAATATCAAATGATCTAATGAAGCATACTTTTGATACTAAAAAGTCCAATAATTGAATAAAAACACTTAAAATAAAGTAGAAACTACTTTATAACATATGCACATCAACTTTCAATAACATATATATGTAAGTTCCTCTTCTAATAAATCATCTATTTATTAAATGGTTTTGTATTTTTTAAAAAAGATATTAAATTATAATTGCAAAGGCTTTATTCTTTTTTTTCATGTTTTTCGCAAATAATGATAGTAAAATGTCTTCAAAATAAGAAATATCTGATTTTGATAAAGGTAATGAAATATGTAAATGCTAAAAAAAATTATGCTATCAATGTTATTACACCAGAGTCTTTAAGAATGAGTAGATTATGCTAATTTATATTTTAGAACAATTCATATATAAAAGTTCAAAGAGGAGAATAGGGAAATTGCTACAAGATAACTAAAATTTAATTCAATGTTATAAGATGCTCAAAGTCAACTTAATATGATGTAAGAAGAAATCAATTTGATATTTACAAATGTAAAAGATGTCATCAAAAGTCTTTCAGACTACTTCTCATCTGGTGATATGAGTTTTCAAAAATTTCTTAATAAAAATGAAAAATTTATGAAATTCTCTACAACAGAATTAAATTTCTAAAAAGATTTTTTAGAAAGAAATAAGTTTGTTGAATAGACTAAAAGTAAAGAAATACTTGCTTCTTTAATCGAAAAAGCAGGAATAATTTTTGAAAAAATTATTTAAAATGCATATAAAGCCAATTATCTAATTGAATAAATTCAAGAATATTAGTATCAAATTATAATATATAAAGCATCAATGAAAAAATAGAAGAAAAAATAGAAGAAAATATAGAAGTTAGTGAAGGATTATTGGGTTATAGAAATAGATTAATAAAAAAACAATTTAACCTTTTGACATAAAAAAATGGAGATTAAGTTTTCATAAAGGATGGGCAACTCCTTGGGATGTAAACCTTATTTTTTAAAAATACATAGATTACAAAAGAATATGGGATCAGTAACTGGATAAGTTAGACATAACTTAGAAAAAATCAAATATTTATAATTCTAAGGATAATTTGGTATTAAGGGGTATCGAATTAAATAATGGATATATTATTGGAAAGGATTATAAGTGGGAGGTGGTTATTATAATTTACTAGGATAAAAGGAAGGGGAATGGGTTGATTTAACCGGCAATTATTGGGAGTATGTATTCAAGAAATTAATTTACTAGTTTTAGGAAAATTGTTGAAAAGGGATCTTACAAATAAGGTAAAAGAGTTGGAGTATGGTATATTCATATGAATAACTAAGTAATGTACATTATTTTTAATACTTAATTAGGATAGGTGGATCATATGATGAAAAAGGTAATGGTTTAAAAAATGGGAAATGGACCGATATTGCGGAAGGATATTAGCAACATCAAGAACTTACCTATAATGGAGAATATTTAAAAGGTAAAAAAATTGGTCAATGGGTTATTAAGTTTAGGGATTAAAATATGTAATTATTTCAAATTTATTAAAAATAATAGCGGTGGAGGCTCATATGATGATAAAAATAAAGGAATAAAGACAGGTAAATGGATTGAAATTAGTGATAATTTTAATAATTTAACTTAAATACTATATAATGGAGAGTATATCAATGGTATAAAGGTTGGTCGATGGGATAGTTGGATTAATGGCTAATTTAAGGATTAGAAATATTACAAATTGTAAATATCAATAATAAGAAAATATAATTTCAGCGGTGGTGGATCATACGATAATAAATGCTGGGGATTGAAGACTGGTTACTGGGTGGAGAAATTGGATGGATTTTCTCTATATAATAATCTAATTTCTAATGGATAATACAAAATTGGTAAAAAGTTTGGAAAATGGGAAATTAGGCTTAGGAATGAAGTGATGTAATGATATAAAAATTTTTTAGAGGAGCTGGATTTTATGATAGTAGAAATTTTGGAATTAAGGTTGGCAACTGGGTTGAAACGAACAATTAATATTCACATAGATCTGAAATAACTTATTTGGGTGAATATTGGAATGGTCGAAAAGTTGGTAGATGGAAAACAAATTACTAGAAGAATTAAGTGTAATTTGAAAAAAAAAATGTTAAATTATTTTAGTGGAGGTGGCTCATTTGACAAAGGAGGCAATGAGGTCAAAATAGGAAAATGGATCGAAATTCATGATGGTTATCGATGGGATTCTTATGTAACATCGAATGGTGAATACAAAAATGGAAAAAAATTTGGTTTTTGGGATATTAAATTTATGAATAAATCAATGTAATATGTCATATACTGAAAAATATATTTTAGTGGAGGGGGTTTATATCATGAAGGAATTAAAAATGGAATTTGGATTGATATTGTCGAAGGGTTTCGTGATGATTTACAAATAACCTATAGTGGAATGTACAAATAAGATAGAAAAGTTGGAAAATGGGATACTAAATATAGAAACTATTATCTTTATCCATTTTAATTGATGTAATTTGATTTCAATTTATCATACCTATAGTGGAACTGGATTATATGATGAAGAGGGTAAAGGTATGAAAATTGGAAACTGGGTTGAGATTAGCGACAATTATGAACGAGGATAGGAAGTAATTTATTCTGGCAAATATGAAAATGGGAAAAAAGTTGGGAATTGGGATATTCTATTTCATCAGTTTGAAACAATGAAGATGTAACTATCTATTGATATATTTTAACTTATTATTAGCGGGGGTGGAAGGTATGATGAAGGAGGTAATGGAATAAAGATTGGGAATTGGATTGATATTAGTGATACATTTGGAACAGGATATAATTAATCTCAAGTGATCTATCATGGAGAATATTCGAATGGTAAAAAAGTTGGTAGATGGGATATTAAGTACAGGATATATAATAATGATTCTTTTTTAACTATGTATTAATTTTAGAAAATCATTTAATTATATTTAGGGGTGGCGGATGTTATGATGAAGGAGGCCAAGGATTAAAGAATGGCTTTTGGATTGAAATTAATGATGGATTTTAAGATGGTAACTAGATAACGTTTAATGGTGAATATATAAAAGGTAAAAAAGTTGGTAGATGGGATATTAAGTTCAGTAAATATATAAGTGCACCATTCTTGTTGATGTAATTAAATACTGATTAACTTATTTTAGAGGAGGGGGATCTTATGATGAAGAATGTCGTGGACTTAAAATTGGTAAATGGATTGATATCTAAAAGGGAATTTCAATTTACAATGAAGTTATTTTTGAAGGTGTTTATAAAAATGGTATTAAAACTGGTCGGTGGCTGGAAATAAGTATAATAAGTAATGAGGTTTTATCTGATATTTAATATGATGATTGAATAATAATAATTTTTTTATTAATGATGTGTTAAAAAGCAAAATGATACCATAATTATTGATGATTAAAATATTTTTCCAAAGATTTTCTGAAAAAAAAAGAAATTATAATGGAATTTTTGGTTCTAATAGAGTAAATTTACAAATATTAAAGCCTGTTTCTATTGTTTTTGTTATTGTATTAATAATATTTAATCGTAAATTATCTTTTACTATTAATTTATTTAAAAACAAAAAATTATAACTAACATTGAATAAAATTTGTTTTACCTCATATAATATCTTAGATGATTTAAGATAAAATGCCTCTTTTTCACTTTTTTTTTGATATTCATAATTATTATAAAAGTGTCAATAAGCATTTTTGCTCATCATTCTAAATTTAAATATTTCTAGAGGATTTGTTTATCTATTTAATGCAATATCATTTATATTTGCATCTCGATAACAATTTTTATGAACCTTAATAATTATTCCTTACACTTCTGACCATAGGTTTTTGAATAGGAATTAAAGTAGGTATAGAATACAATAAAAATAACTATTAAAAAAAAAATAAAAGTAAAAGATTTTTGATATTTATAATTTTCTTTATAAAAGAAATTTCATATTCACTCCTATTTTATATTTAATTGACCTTGCAAAAAGCAACTACCTTTAATATTATTATTCTTCATCAAATCTTTCTATTTAGGCTATAAGAGAAGCTTTTGAAATATTTCAATAAAGTGTTTGCCGCATTAGAATAAATGAATCAATTGATACCTTTATTTTTTATAATAATCTGAATTTTATTAATCATCTTTTATTGCATAATCATTATATGTTAATGCTTCATTAAAACAATCTAAGTCATGTAGAAAACTTGCTGTGGTAAAATTATAGAATTATACCCTTGTTATTTTAATAATCTGTATTATTTGGATCTTTTTTATTGTATAATCATAATATTCTCAAGTCTCTTATAAATGAATTATATGATAGAGTAATTACTAGTCATAATACATTTATTCGATACCTTTATTATAATAGTATCCAGCATTTTAAGGATTTCTATTAATAGCTTAATCTTAATATTTAAATTCTTCTTTATAATCATTAATTCTATTCGAGTGTTTGCTTTACAAATAATCAATTTTAATCTACCTTTTTTTTTTTGTATGAAATATAATATTAATATATATCTATCTATTTAAAAAGAAATTCATAATAATACAATAAAAAATTTTGAATCTATTAATTGAAATTGGCTTTTTTATTTATTAATTTAGTTTCAAATTTATTTTCTTTTGATTATGATTATTCTACTTAAATTTAATCATTTTATTCATATTATTTTTATAGTTTTTTAGTTGATTCAATAAAATTGTGTCAATTTTGAAAATATACATAAGTATTCCAAAAGCCAGAACAAAAAAACTCAATTAATATTGCTATTAGGAAGAAAGGAATAAAAAACTCTAAAATTATTTTATCACTAAATGCAAATGAAATAGTTATTAATATAATAGAACTTAAAAAAAAATTTGATATTAAGGCCATTACATATTCCTTCTTGAAATTGTAGGGATTGTAATAATATAGGAAAACGAGACAAAAAGATGAGGATATTTAACATAAAGTAATCTACATAAGAAGGGTATAGTAGTAATTAACCATGAAAAAGATTTAAAAGATTTTGTTGATTTATCCAAAAAATTAATAATTATATCCGAATGAATTTTTTAGGATTTATGTTTTCATAATAAAGATGATAAAATCTATAATTCTATATATCTCTTAAAAATGTTTATTTTTAGCTTGAAGCTTCTGAATATTTAATATTGATATGTTTGCTTAAACTATTAAAATATTATAATCACAAATGTGATAATTGCAAAAAAATTGATTTAGACCTACAATGATATTTGAATTATTGTTTGAATATGATAATTATAGTAAGATTTTTGTAAGGTTTTTAATACATGTTCAAATAAATGATTATGTAAAATAATAAATTACTTTTTTCCTACTTTAATATCCAATAAAAATAATGAAATTGTTTATTTAAATTAATTTAAGAGATGTACTGAATTCTATATTAAAAGATTTGTTATGTATTTCAAATATGGATTTTATATTGTCATTATTGATTGACTTTGATTGAATTTTACCGATTTTATTTTTTAATAGAAATATAAAAAATACTAAAATGTTTCTCCTTTTTTATAGGTATTTTTATTTTCAAGGCATCATTAAGTAGAGAAAAGAATGAATAAAGTAAATAGTTTATTAGGAATATGATGATAGAAGATAGTAAAAACATAAATGGAACTTATAAGTTAATGAATAATAGATAAATACCTTTATCTTTGAATCTTTTTGGTGCTTCAAAGTAATAATTACAATCAGGTTGATTCAATCCTTAATAAGTTGGAAAACCAATGAGGTTTGACAAATCACTACTTAAGAAGAATAATTCCACATTGAAAGGATAATTAACATTAAGAAAATAGAAATTATTGATCCAACTCATTGTTATTTAAAACAATATACTCATTCGGTGTGATATCATATAAAATACTTCTATCATTTTCAGAAAGTATTCTGTTTATAGAATTTGTATACAATAATTTTGCATGAATTGTATTAAATTTATAGATGGATTTCTTAAAATCAAATTTTTTTAAACTACAAGTCAATACATCTACTTAAGTATAATTATAGTTGTAATCTTAAATATCCATATTGTCAATGATTATATTAATAGTATTGCATAAAATTTTGAATTGATATTCAGAGTTTAGTTTCAAATCATAAGTATTATTAGTTTAGGATAAATAATACTTCATTTTATTAATTTCAATATCTGAGAATTCTAAATTACATTAAGAATCACAGCCGTCTCCATTATTTTGGTTATTATCATCACACTACTCATATGATTCAGCGACAATTCCATCACCACAAATAGAATTACATTACTTAGTTTTTATATCTCCAAATAGACCAGGGATTGATTCACAAAAATCTCAATCAGATCGATAACATGATGTACATAAATTTGATTGCAATTTGCAATTAATACAATTTGAATCACATAATTAGCATTAATCTTCTACATTGTAATACTCATCAATGCATGATTTACAAAATAAATTGATCCTATCTAAATTTAAACATTAAGTACACTCTTTATCACATGTCTTACATGTTGAAAAGTTTAATTTATCACAAACATAACCATTTTATATTTTACAATCAATGCATCCATCTCCACTTTAAACATCACATTCTTCTTCTATTGGATTAATTAAACCATCCCAACATATTGAAATACAAAGATCACCATTTAATAGAAATCCTTCATTACATTTTAAGCATTTACCATAGTAACAGACAGCACAACAATATTTTTAGATATCCTATTCTATATCACATTTTTCATATTAAATCAATTCACAATTAGAACAACCATCATAGTTATCTGAGTTACCATCATCACATTATTCATTACCTTAATTGATAGAATCTCCACAAAGAGTCTCACATAAATTGTTATATCTGTTTAAGTAATACCCATAATTACATTATAAAAATAGATTGTTTATGCATATACTACATTTAAATATACAAGATAACGAAATAACATCTAAATAGTAAGCCAAATTATATTCAATTTCTATTTTAAAAGAACTTTGTCTATATATGGTTTTTTTTCTTAAACAGTAATCCACAAAATGAAAGTTAACGATTATTTTAACATTTAATCTCCATAGGTAATTACTTATTTGTTGACATTTAATAATGTATAGATTTATCCACTTGATATATATTTAATTTATAGTCACGAGGCCATATTTGATCCTATATATTTGGATTCTGTCCTGAAAAATTTTCCTTTAAAGTTATTGTTTCTAATTATTGATCATTTAATTTATATGTAAATTTATTGTTATTTAATGAAATATCCCCTAAAATCACTTCAAAAATATTCTAATAAATTAAAACTCTTCTGTCCAACTTTTTGTAAATTTAAATTCAGCATTACCTCATACTAATGGTCCTCTAAATATTCTTTTATTTGAAAAGTAGTTATAATAAATAGCATCATCTTTTTAGAAATTAAATGAATTATATGATGAAATAAACTAAAATATTGTATCCGTAGAGCTTTTTGCTGTTGATAGATCATAAAATTCTCTTACTAATTATTTAAGCCTTAAATTGTTATTTTTTGAAATAATATCAAAAATGCTTAAGCAATTAGTTCCAAATATTTTTGTGTATTCTGGACATTAATCCATTCATTATCCAAAATAGAGATATTTTTAGGGTTTACAAATTAAACAACTTTATGCACTTGTACATTTAGGGCAACTATCTTCACATTTATCTTAAAGATCTAAAAAAAACTATTAATTATGATTACTTATATCTTCAATACAGACATAATCTTCATCATCTTTATTATTATCATATTTATCTTAAAATTCATCTGCAATTTGAAGGAACTTTTAATCTGTTCGATCCTTACTAGAATCACATGAATTATTAGAACTCAAACTTATGTCACTATAACAAGTTAAACACTATTCCTTACCTTGACCTGAGCAAGTCTTACAAGTCTTGTAACATCTATCTAAAATCAGTTAGACATTTCTAAATAAATAGGCTTCATCAGAAAATGGTTAATCAGTTGTATTTCAAGATTAACTTATTCTTGAGAATGACTAGCTTCTTTTAAAGAAGGATTTGCGAATCAACTTATTATTATTATCATTATTTTATCCAGAACATTATTAAAATGATTTACCCAAGGAAGTTGGTTTTAAGCAAAAAGAGTATTAAAAAGATTTTTCAGATATTGCTAAAAAAAAACTTTCGTTATCATCAATAGTAAGATAACCATATATAGATTTAAAAGTGGGGTAATTTAGTGTCAATTATTATGTTCTAAATTTTATAATATATTTAATTTTTTTATCGTAGCTTTACTAAGTCCATTCCTTTACTACAAATAAATGCTTCTAAAGGTTAAGTAGTTTAATTACTACATCTCAAAATTGTATTAGTAAATAAAATCTATTTAGTATTAAATTCTTCATAAACATTGTGTAAAAAACAATTAGCACTAAGTAATAATAATAGAACAATTAGATGATAGACTTACCTTTACATTTTTAATTTATTTATAATATTTGAAATTAAAAAAAATGTTCAAAATTTAATACTAAAGAATAGATTAATAGTCTAGGATATCACAAAGAGTCACAGAAAAAATATTAGGAAATTCAGTATCAATTCATTCACTTCTGAATAAATTATTTAAAGAATAAATATAAATTTTCCGAAAGATTCTTAGTTGTAAACCTAAAAATGAATAGTCCAATTCAATAGATAATAATTAGTAATATTAATTCTAATTTGAATGCTAAATAATTATTTAGAAGTATATATATAATTATGTTAAACTTCAAATTAATGATTGTTTGATCATATATTTTTTAATGTAAAAAATTATCAATTTTGCAATTATCTTATATCCAAAATCAAAAATATATACTTAGTTTATATTTTAAGTGAAATGTTTTATTGATAATATTTAATTACTAATAATAAATCATAAGGTGATAATATAATAATTATTAATTTTGATCTATCTGTTGAGCTTTAAGTTATGAGGAATGTAATGATGATAATATTTATTATTTTGATGTTTACTATAAATGAAAATTTTCATGCACTCAATAAATATATATTTTTCAGAAATATATATGTAACAATAAGAATATTTTAGATTTTATGGAGTTGCGCTTGCTAATATATTGTGATACCAATTATCCAAATTAAGAAATTACATTTGATATACTTCTTTTAGTAAGTAATTTTGATCTTACAGATTTTGAGTAATTCTGATGAATTACAAGAAGACTTATAAGTTAATGCTCTATATAAAATGGAGATTGAAAATTTAATAAGTTTTATGAATAAACTATTTTAAAAATTGAATTAATAAATGAGTTATTAAGTTAAATTCCATTTACAATTATAAATAAACTTATAAATTATAACAATTATCTAACAGTATTCTGATATTAATTTATTACATAATATGAATTTAAATAATATAGCTTCAATTAATAATATACTTATTCTTAAAATTTCTTCAAAAGCTTTATTGATTGTGAAGGATTTATTAATGCACAGGTTCACAATATAGATTATAATACATCAGTTTTGAGTTGAGATTAAGTAAAAAATCTTATTTCTCAATAAATCTAGAAGATTCGAATTACTTTTCATATCAATAATAAACATATAATCAATCAAATGTTTTTAATTTTTTTTTAATTAGTTTCTCTTTTAAACTCTATTCGGAATTTTTTCATGCATATGAATATAGCATTTATTAGAGTTGCCTTAAAATACTCGTCCAACCTCAACACAACTTCCACTTCTAAAGTTTTCTTTTACTATTTGAATCGCCTCTCTATAACTGTATAGCGTAGGATATTTTTCTAACAATTATTATGCACTTTTTTGAATTTTAGATGAATATTTCTCCTTTTACATGAAATGGTTTGTTCTGCTTTCTTTAAAATTCATGATTTTTTTTTCACAATAGGAATTAATATTAATTTAAATGCTTCTTTTAAATTTTTAATTAATAAATAATTTTATTTTAATTCAGTTGAATTCTATTATTGTAGTTAATCTTGAATAACATATATATAATGATTTTATTTAGCCTAATTTAAGATGTCTCATATAAATAAATCTTGTTTGAATAAAAAAATAACCAAATAAAATATAGTTAATCAAAGAGAAAGTTAAAAATTCCTATCATATTCTAAGATAAAAATCTTATCTGTCCTTCTTTAAATGAGTAATATAATTAATGGAGGAGAAAATGATCATTAATTTCAAAATCGTTGATGAAATTCAAGATTTTACAATTAATTATTCAGAAAAATCTACTGTATTTTAAGAAATTCATCAAAATAGATAATTTACAAGTTATATCCTTTAAAAATTACAAATAGTCTGGATTGGATTTAATTATTGGATCTTGGAAATTTATTGAAGTAACAGAATTGTTGATAATTGGCCTATAAAGTTAAATTTGACTATTCTATGCTCAATAAATTATAAGTGTGTAATTTCCAATTTCTTTCAACATAAAAGTAATACATAAATCTACTTAAATAATAAAATATAAGGCTAATGATAAGCAGTTCAATGATGGATAATTATAGAAACCATATATATTTTCGTAATGTCTAAATATTGAGGCGTTTTATAATAAATGAGAAGGGTTGAAGAAACATAAATTTTTGTCCAAAATTCTGAACTGATTTTAAAACCTCAAATTCTAATAGCTATTAAAATAGAATTAATATTAAATAGAATTAAATTTATTTAAAAACGGAAACAAAAGAATTTAAGTTATTAGAGTTTCTATCGTGGAGAAATTGCAAGAATATATGTTATTTTTTGTCTTTTTTGAAAGAGACTATCGAATCGTTGTTGATCTAACTTAAAAAAACAATAATATTCATATTAGTTTCTGATAGAATTTGAACTTTAAAATTGTGTCAAAGCAGAATAATCTATGACTGAATGGTTATTATTTAAATATGTAATAAATGATAGGGAATAGAAATTGGTCAACTAAAGAAAATCAATTAATCTAATTCCATTTATCTTAATTAAACCTTACTAAATAATAAATGTCAATTTTAATGCTAGATATAAAATAAGTTAAGGACGCATAAAAAATCATTGATCATCTTAAGTCATACAATAAAGATTGGAGAAAATTATAAGAAGACATTAAAAAGGAAATTTCCAATTAAATATAGATTGAATGTCAATAGGAAAGATAATAAGTATAATGGAATCCATTAGACTTGATGAAGTTGAAAAATAAGTTATCATAATCATTTAAAAACAATGAGGAAATTAATTTTCTTCTTTAATATATATAAAGTAAAGCTAAGAAATTCTAAATTTGATTTTATGTTCTGAATTTTATTCGCTTAGTGAATATTTATAATTAATTTCAAAAATTACAAATAAAAAATAACCTTTTTAAAATAAAGGGATAGTAAAAATGGATGAAATTAAAATAGATAGATCTATTAAGGAGAATTAATAAATAAAAGATTTGTTTTCTAAATTTCAATCCTTAAACAAAAGAAGTAACGATCAAATCAATTAATAACTTGAATAATTATACAATTCCTTAGAATAACAACAACAATAAAATTTTTCAGTTTCTGATTTTAATTCATCTCCATAATTGGAATATGAAGATCTATTATACTTATGTAAAAATGTAAATCAGCATTTCTCTTATTATCCAAGACCTGTTTAATTATTATCTGTTATAGAATTATATAACCATTAAGATAAAAAGGGTCGTTTAGCATAGATAAATACGGGGAAAGGAAAAACTCTAATTGTAGCAATGCTAGCCATTCTATTGTGTAAAAGAAAAAATTAAATGTCGACATTGTAACTAGCTCTCCAGTCTTGGCGATTAGGGATGCTAATGATTTAGCTCCATTTTATCAATTATTTTCAGTATCGGTAGCTCATAATATAAATGAGTATCCAAGCAACTTAGAAGAGATGCTTCCATGTTATAAATCTCAAGTCATATATGGAGATCCTCATAGTTTCTAAGCTGATATACTTAGACATAAATATTCAAAATTAGGAACGATGGAAGACAGACAATAAGGGTATATCATAATAGATGAAGTTGATGCTATGCTTATTGATGGATATAGCCATAAGACTTTATTAAGCACACCAATTCCAGGAATGCTTGACTTAACCAAAATACTTAGATTGATTTGGGATGAAATTTGTAAATCAGAGCCAAATCTATCAACAGATAGAAAAGTTATGATAATAGACGGAAAAGATTATTATTGTATTGGTTTAGTAGATTATGTTTAAAAAGCTTTGGAAATTTAAATAAAGGAAATTAAATACCTGCCTTTCGATTAAATTATATCAACTTTATGAAGAAACTTTGGATTGAAAAGCATTAACTTTTAGGTCTAACAGGTACATTGGGATCCTAAATCACACAAAATTTATTAGCCAAAAAATACAATGTTGACTTTGTTTTCATGCCTCCTTATAAATAAAGTCTCTTGAAAGTAGAGCCAGGAATAGCAGCCTAAGGAGAGAATGAATGGTTTGAAGAAATATCAAAAGGTGGATTATAATAGTTGGAGAAAAAAAGAGCTGTACTAATTATAAATAGAACTATTGAAGATGTTCATAAAATTGAAGGTTATTCAAAAAATTACAATATTAAATCTACCACTTATGTTGACGATAATTAATAAATATCAAAAGAAATTGGTCCAAATCAAATTATTATTGCTACAAATTTGGCTGGAAGAGGAACAGATTTGACTGCTAATAAAGAATTGGAAACTAATGGAGATCTGCATGTCATTATGTCTTTTTTACCTCGTAATGTTAGAGTTTAACTTTAAGGGTTTGGTAGAGCTGGAAGATAAGGCTAATAGGGTACAGCCTAACTTATAGTAAATTTCTAAACAAATCTATATCTGGGCACATTAAATTAAATTAAAACACCAGAAGATGCAATAAGTTATTATAAAAATAACTAAAAACAATAAAATTATACTTACTTAGATGTTCTTATATTTTTTCGAGATTTAAATGAATAATAATATTCAAATGAGATAGAGAAAGAGATGGATAAATTACAAAATTAAGACAAATGTTTTGAAAAGTTCTATAATATTGCAAAGACTTAGGTAAATATTAAAACACATAGAGCTGAATATCTAGCTTTGGAGGAAAAATGGGGACTTTATTTGGAACAAAATTAAGATAAAGGAATAAAAGAAGATGAAATCGAAAGTGTTTTTATTTCTAAAGAAGTGTAAAATCCAAAACATTTGATATATTAGGGACTTTAAAATGGAGATTTAAATATTTTCAAAAAGGCAGCTGAAATAGCTATTTGCGATCCTTAAGTGTACTATTTTAAAGGATTATTTGAAATTTAAAATGAAGAAATATCAAACGGAATATAATCATTGGAGTAGGCAAAATCATTGTTTCAAAATAAAATTGATGATGAAAAAGGATTTGCTACAGCTGCTAAATTAAATAGAATTCAAGTAGATTCGTTTTAAGTAAAGTAATAAATAAACAAACCTTCATAGACAAATATTTAAAAGGAAGATTCACAAATGAAAAAGTTAAACTTAATAAATGATTCAAAAAATCAAAAAATATCTGCAGTTTAATTTTTGGAATAAAGCAAAGTCTCAAAAGATGTTGTTGAATAGAAAATATAAAACCATTTAAAAGTGTATTAAAAAGCAATAGATAATATTGATGAGCTTTTAAACACATTAAAAAACTTCCAATCTGAAAAAGAGGAGCTTAATTTAAGTTGGTAACCAGTAATTACGAAAGAAGAAAAAGAGAACGCTGAATCAGAGCAATGTATTAAAGATTAGCAAGAGGTTATTGATGATGGACCTTTACCTTAGTTTGGGAAACTTACTAAGATAAAAAAAGAGAAAAAATGAGGTGATTATAATTGCAATGTTTGCAATAGGATTAGGTTAATTTGTTATCGGGTGTGGAATATGTGCATTTACTTGCGGAGTAGCTTTACCCATTGGAAAAGCATTGATTACTGAAGGAAAATTAAAAAAACTTAGCTTTATATCTGAATCAACAGCTTCTGAAATTCTTCAGTTAATTAATTTGTGCTCCAAATAGTCATAAGGAACTGTTGAAGGATTTAATCATAGTCTAGTTTAAGCATCATTAAAGTTTATAAAGTTATAGATGGCCAAAGCTAAATCTGAAAAAAATGTCTATGAAATTAAAAAAGATTTGGTGGAGATTTGTTAAAGAGAAGGAAATAAAAAGTATGATTAGGTAAAAAACGATATTTAATAATATAATTAATTTAAGTAAGCTCTTAATAATGAATTACAAAAATTTTCCAATATTATTTGGAATTATTTTAATCAAGATTAAGAAGTCTAAAAAAAAATTATTTTTCTAGATCTTTATTATGAATTATTCTTGCGATCAACAATAAGTCTAAAAAATGGTTACAAATAATATGGTATAGTCTCATCTTCAAAAATATTTTAGTATTCACAATAAAACTGTTCAAAATGCTTGTAATTAATTGTAAATTTCAAACCCTCACTCTATGAATTAGTTTTATTAAATAGTTATGAGACTTAGCATTACCCAAACATTGAATGATTTAAGACCTTAAATATTATATACAGAACCATTAGAAATTGTATTTTAATAGGAATATTTGAATAAGTTTCTCTCACTATAATAGTAGTCCAAAATTATGAAAAACGACTTAGAAATTCAACAGAAGGAGCTTAAATATTAATAAGATTTGATTACTCGCCGAATCTAAAAGTCAAGTAGTGAAATTATGAGGATTAATTAGGTATTATAATAATGAAATCATTAGGCGATCGACTAGTTTAATTTTAATTGGGAATTAATAGAACAAGTATTGAAGGATATTAAAGAAATATAGAATTTTTAAAATTAGTAATTTGTGAAGGAACTTATTGGCAACATGAAAAATAAAGGGATGATCTATGATGATGGGATTTCATTCTCTCCAAAATTTTAACAAGAATTTAAGAATTTCTTAATGAAATAAAATTTTAACAAGAGGATGAAAGATATTACCCAATAAGCTATGGAAAGCAGCTTAAATTTAATTTCTAAAATAAATTAAACATCAAATAAAACACTGAAAAATAAATTGTTAGAAGCAATAGAAGTTGAAATGATTGATTAGGTAAAAAAATAAATTTTCGACTTAAGAATGTAAAATGCAGATAAAAAGATCATAAGTAAATTCAATTGATAATATTAAATTATACCAATTAAATTAATTTTAAAATATATCTTATTCGCAAAAAATAGTCTGTTTTTATTATTTATTCAAATAGAGAGATTAATGGGATTTTAAATTCGTTATTTTTAGTATGATTTCCATTTCCACTCTATCTTTTTATTTAGAATGTAAAAAACTCAATAAGTTTAGAATAATAACTATTTTATTAGATATAATTTTAATATCTATTAATAGAATTTGATTTAAATGAAAAATAATTGACCAAGCTCAATCAAAGATACAGATATTCCAATTTTGAGATAACAATTCCTAAATTACCTATGCCAGAATAAGAATATTTTTAATTAAATTTACTTTGTTGGTTTGCACTAATTGAATAAACTTTAAGTTGCAAATGATTATTGATCATAAAGGGAATTCATTTTAATTAAATCTAAAAACAGCTAAAAGATTTTAACCATTCCAGAAATTTTTTTTCATATTCGAATATAATTTAAAAAATAACAGGCCATTTAAAAATAAGTATTAAACGACCAAAATAACAAGAATTTTATACTACTCTTACAGCTAAACTAAACGAAATAAAAGAAAACAACTAAAAAATAGATTAGCATAATAATCGATAAAGAAATATCTAATATTCATCACATACAATTAAAATTGTTTTGAATAATTAAGCATCATATCCAATGAATAGCCATTTTAGAGTTAATGATTAATTACCCCATAACCTACGAGATTCAATAATATTTCAAAAAAAAAGAAAATCAAAGTAAAAGTTTGGTATTTCGCATTTATTCTTATAAAATACTAAAATAAAGACATTTTAAGAGACTTATCGAATAAAAAGACTTTAGGTTAGAATACAAATTTATGTGATATTATAATTAATCCCCTTTATAAAGTATATCTACAAAAACCTAGAGAATATAAATTTGGGCCAATATTAGTTCTAAGTTCTCAATCTAAAATATATTTATTTAAGATTCTCCTATAAGCTAAAAAAATTCAATCTAATAAAATGAACAGCTGAATTATAAAAAAAAATAAATTTTATACAAAAGTATTATATATTACCCAAAAAAGTATAAGAATTAGTTGGAAGATAAAAATCCTCCTCTATTTATAATATTAAGGAAACTTTATAGGCATTCATAATATTTATGTTTAAATGAATTAAGGTTCAAATTTATACGATATTTCTTGCTAATCCTGTAATTAAAAATAAAAAAACTAAGTTTATTAAATCTTTAGTTTTAAAATAGTACTTGTTGCCAAACAAATTGTTTCTGTCTTTCTCTTTAAGATATCAGAAAGTTTTGTGAAAGATAGTATCAACATAAAATTAATTAAACAGTATTTTTTTTGGTAGATGGTGGTGTGTTTTATTTAAATCAGCTAAGACAGATCTAATTGCATAATTCTAACTCGAAAATTTGTTAGGAATTTCTTTAGGTGTCTCATAATTATGTAAAGTCATAATCATTTAATCAAAATAGTCTTAGAATTTCTAATAAACAGAATTAATTTTTGCATACTTGTCTGGAGTTTTTCTACCNGAAATTCTATGAGCTTACCTACTTTTTAGTAATTAATAAATTAGAAGGATTTAAACTGTATCAATATAGATTTGATAACTAAATTAATTCAAAATTAAAGACGATTTAAGACATATAAAACCAAAAAATGTAGCAATAAATAATTACAATAAAAAATGAAATTTAAGGCATCATCATAAATTATGATAAAATTAATCCCAAATAATCTTGACTTGAATAAATACATCACATTATTAGACTTTCTTACAAATGAAATAAATTATATATTTGAAATCTGTAATAACAAAGGAGTTGCCAAAAGTAAAACAATAAAATATATTATTAAAAAATTTTAGTAATCTACTTTATAAATATATATAGAATTTGTCATTTGCATTTATACTCAAATTTATTTAGAAGAAAGAACAGTAGGATTATAAGATGAAGAAGAATTTTGAATATCATGATGAAAAAGATTCAAGATATTGGAATCAGAATTTGAAAAAGGAGTTGAAAGTGATTTTTGAGAAATTTACCTCGAAAATATTGATGATTGAAATAATTGCGCATCAATTAGAAAAAATACTCTTTAATTGCTAAATGCATTGATGTATGTACGTGTAAAATTTTAAGTTGACTTAAAAAGAATAAGTTTCAAGGATTTTTAGTTTAGATAAAAGAATTGAGATCTGTATATGTAATATCACTTAAAGATCTATTCGCTTCAATTTAATCAATTGCCTTTACTAATATTAGTGGCAGATGATGTAGGAGATTTAGGAGTTGTGAATTGGTTCTATTTAAGTACTTTAAAAAAAATAATTTTTTAAGAAAAGTAGGTAAAAAAGGAAGTTAGATTTAGGGTAATTAAAAATAAAGAATTTTTATTGCAAGAGACATACTTAGAATTCTAATTGTTTGTTGCTTGAAGAACCAAAAAGTGAATATAAATAGTTTGAGATATTTTTAAAATTGTATTCAAAATTAAACAATTGCTCAAAGAATTTCTAATTTAGTATTCAGATGTCCTTTATTTTCTTGAAAATAGCAAAATATTGTTGAATAGGGAGACTAGTAAACATTATCCAATCTTAAATAAGTTTTTGTCACATTATATAAGGTATTAAATATTGATCTAAAATAAAGAATAATTTTGTAACTTATGTTTATTTGTTGTATGAAATCCTTTCTAAATTTACAAGGTCTTTCTAGGTTAAAAATTAAATTATTAATTATAATAAGAAAGATTGATTGCTTGAAGTAATATATCAATTTATTCTATGAATTATACATAAAATTGACAGTAAATTAATGAATAAATTCCATTAATCTCTACTTCTTTGATTATTTTAGAAGAACAAATATTGAATTGAGGAATTTCTAAATTGCTAAATTTTTCAATTTCAGATTTGAGTTAAAAAAATTGAAAATTAATAAATTAAGTTAAAATATAATTAAATTACAAATTGTTAGAATCAAACGATGTATTTTAATAACAATCAACCCCAACCTTTTTTTCGTCTGAAGGATTTTTTTTGATCATTTGTTTTATACTAAAATTTGTTAAATAATAAAGATAATAAATTCTTTACATGATATCTCTTGAAAAAGATTTTTGAGTTGTTTCTGATAACTTTATCATCTTATTTAATTTTTTAATTGTTATTTATTGAATTCAGATATTTTTAAACTCTCTTCGCTGATACTTCAAATCAATTATTTCTTATGATAATTAATAAATAAATATGTGAATAAGCAAGTAGCATAATAACAACACAATTTCTAGATTAAATTGTTCAAGAATTTTAGTTATAGTGATAAATAAATTCAAAGATTAACAATTTTTGAGTCTATTCAATATAGGAGGAAATATAGATAATTGTAAAAGAGGAATTAAATTAATACTGATGATTTACACATAATAAAAGCTGAAGCTTATTATTAATTTTCATGAAATTTGTATTGTATTTTCATTTTTTACAATAAATTATTTCATAAATAATTAACCTAATTTTATGAGCATGTAAGTTCATAAATGAAATAGCAATAAATAAATAAGTAAAATATAAGATAAAATATCATTAATTACGTTTGGAAAAAATGAAAATCTTTTTAATTTTGGAAGTTCATTTCACATCATTAAACAATAACAATAATAAATAATGCTGGAATCAAATATAAACAATTATGAAATTTGGAAAAAATTATCAAAATGTTTAAATACAAGAGGATTATAAAGAATATATCAAAATTTGACCTATTGAATAGGTAGAACATTAATAGAAATTAATTCAATAGGAGAGAGGATATCTGAAAATATTATTGATTGATCTAGAAGTAATCTGACATCCCTCTCTTTGATTATATTAAATGCTCCGATGTATATTAAACATAATAAGTTTTTAAACTATTAATTATCCATATAAAGATATACACTTTTATAAAAGGAAGACACAATTATAAATGTAACACAATCAATTTAATTGTTTATATAAAATAATTCATTGCAAAAGTTTTATATTATTTTAAATTTAGGAATATAAAGTAATTTTATTTTAAATTTCATTAAAATAATTATTTGCCAATAATTATAAATATCACTATTATTATTATT